CCCCCCCCCCCCATTTAGCATGCGTAATTTATAAATCTATGTCACATAGATCCAGAGAGCAATGATAATCTGTGTCAAATATTTAAGACTGTGTCGATTTGAAGTGTCGCAACGCCTTGTCTTTGATTTTATCATACTAACTCACGCTTTCTTTTTTGTAGTCCTAGACATGTACATTTTAGAACTACAAAGTGCTTGTTTGTAGTTTTAGTTTTCAAGAAGAAATTGGCAAACTTCTCATCGATTTTAGCGCCGTAAAAGCTTGAAACCTTTGGATGGTTGTGATGTAAGAAAAAAAGTTTCTGAAAAAAACCTGAAAATCAAAACGTAAAAAGTAAAAAAAGTCCCAGGACAAAATGTCACTGAAAATAAAATTTACGGTTTTGGAATCCTGTGATTTATTTTTTCATAGAACCAATCAAAGTAACAATCAAATCAACCAATAGAGAGTACTCAGTTGATTGTGCTTATTTGTTATACTCTGTATAGTTTTTCGTTGTTTGTACCATTAGATCGAAATAGATTCCTATATTAAACGAAAATAGGTTCCGAATTTAAGCTCTAGCATTAACTATTTGATTTTTAAGGAAAAATTAAAAGGAATTTCCAACTTTGATAATTTGATCTAACAGAATTTAAAGTCTGAATTATCTTAGGCATGGGGTTGCGAAGATATTAATTTAGAAAATTATAGTTTGTTGAGCTCATTTCGTCCTTATTTTGGCGAGCTTTCCCCTGACATTTAGTATTTGCAATATGTGTTTTATTTATAAATAATAAATACATTGTGGTCCTGGTTTTAAGTAAAAATAGATGATCTATTTGTGTACATTATACTATGTGAACTCATTCACTCAAATATTATTCATTCTTTCTTCCAGAAATAAAAACATGAACACTTTCTTTACAACCTGTCCTAAACTAACCCGTCCCTGTACTCCTCTATGAAAAGAACTGTCCTACCTGAGAAATATTATAATGAACCCGTCCCTGTACTCCACTAAGAAAAGAACTGTACTACCTGGAAATATTATAATGAACCCGTCCCTGTACTCCACTAAGAAAAGAACTGTACTACCTGGAAATATTATAAATGCACCCGTCCCTGTACTCCACTATGAAAAGAACTGTACTACCTGAGAAATATTATATTGAACCCGTCCCTGTACTCCACTAAGAAAAGAACTGTACTACCTGGAAATATTATAATGAACCCGTCCCTGTACTCCACTAAGAAAAGAACTATACTACCTGGAAATATTATATTTGAACCCGTCCCTGTACTCCACTATGAAAAGAACTGTACTACCTGAGAAATATTATAATGAACCCGTCCCTGTACTCCACTAAGAAAAGAACTGTACTACCTGGAAATATTATAATGAACCCGTCCCTGTACTCCACTAAGAAAAGAACTGTACTACCTGGAAATATTATAAATGCACCCGTCCCTGTACTCCACTAAGAAAAGAACTGTACTACCTGGAAATATTATAAATGCACCCGTCCCTGTACTCCACTATGAAAAGAACTGTACTACCTCAGAAATATTATAATAGAACCCGTCCCTGTACTCCGCTTTGAAAAGAACTGTACTACCTGAGAAATATTATAATGAACCCGTCCCTGTACTCCTCTATTAATAGAACTGTACTACCTGAGAAATAATATAATGGAGCACGTCCCGTACTCCACTATGAAAAGAACTTTTCTACCTGAGAAATATTATAATAGAATCCGTCCCTGTTCTCCATTATGAAAAGAACTGTACTATAGCTGAGAAATATTATAATAGAACCCGTCCCTTTACTCCTCTATGAAAAGAATTTTACTACCTGAGAAACATTATAAATGAACCCGTCCCTATGCTCCACTAAGAAAAGAACTGTACTACCTGAGAAATATTATAATAGAACCCGTTCCTGTACTCCACTAAGAAAAGAACCGTCCTACCTGAGAAACGTTATACACGAACCCTTCCGTGCACTCCTCTAAGCTAGTATTGCCCAAAATTCGTCTTTAAATCAAGTTCTTATTATTGTTTGTTTCAATTGTAAAGAAAACTAAATATTTGATAATTTCGATGGATTAAAAAAAAATCACTGAAATAAAATGACTTGCTAGGGCAAGAAGGGGAAATGCTTTATTGAAAAAATAAAAATTAGGGTTTGTTTAAATTCATGATAATATTTCTCTGAGATATTCTAATTGCAAAACTTTATACAAACTATTTCGCTGTAAAATCTTGTTCTGAGTAAATAAAAGTAAAAAAGAACATAATACAAATTCTGATGTGTGGACACTAATTTACAAACAGATTTCTCAAAATTAAACTGTCATTAGTTATTAGACAATGATAAGAAAATAGAATCATTTGTCAAGATCTTCGCTTATTTATAAATATCATCTGTAAAAGTTCACAACGCCTAAAAATAATTGTCTTTGACGGAACCTATACATCATGACAGGACAGAGAGAGAGAGCATGCACTGCCTGCACGGAACTCCTTTGGCCTCTCGAAAAGAAGACATATAGTGTTAAGTTCTTTTTGTGTTGTTGTTAATCTATGGGTTTTTCGTTCACAATAACCCTGAGGCAGAAACCCAAAGGAGTTACGCGCATGAGCTCTCTCTGTCTTGTAATTCAACGCGGCATGCGCGTAACTTCTTTGGGATCTGCATTAGGGTTATTGTGAAAGAAACTCCCCTGAATCTTGGAAAAACAACATCTAGTGTTCTATCTGTATTGTTATTAATTTAAGATAGAGACACATTAATGTTCTGAAGTGAACCCTGATTATTCTGGAAAACTACGCGTCCACTTTTACAATTCAAATTTGCTGCAGTCTTCCTTTAAGTATTAAAACATATGAGTTAAGTCAGAAAAAATACGCTAAGGCCCAGGAAATTACAGTTTGAAATATGTATTTTTAGATATTAATCTTCTGTATACATATATATACTTTGCTTGTCTGTCTGAGTGTTTGTTTGTTTGTATCCAATAAACGTTACAACGGCTGAACCGATCGGGCCCAAATTTGTTGTGGGACCTCACGTGACTCTAGGGATGTTTTATGGATGATCGAATTTTTAAAATTTGCCTCTATCAAAATTTGATTTTAAAAAATGTTGAAAATCCGGATTTTGTTTTTCAATTTACAATTCTTTTTTGCAATGTTTTTAATGTTTACAATTGTAATAGAAGATGGGCGCGAAGCGCCCTACAAGCCTAGTATATTTTAATTGTTTATTAAAGGGACTGCAAAGCGTAATTTCAAGTGACCTTTCAGTTTAAGAAGTGACATGACTGATTCACAAAGATACCCGTTCAAAATTTGTCTGAACAATACTGATGTAATTATCTTTATTTTTCTATTTTTAATTTGATGATTTTAAATTGCAGTCCTCAGTAAAAACCCTCCATTATATACATGCATGGTAATAAATCATTACTAAACCCCTTGGGGCTCCATGTTTAATAAAAATGTATAAATAGTAATTGTTCAATAAAAGTTGTAGACACTGAAATAATATCCACTTCTACTGAGAAATGTTTTGCAATTTTTCTGTGAATAACTTGGAAATTGTTTTTAGAAAGAAAATATTTAAGTTTTCTATTATTATTTATTCTTAGAATTCTACTGAAGATTGTGTTATGTTATCTGTATGATAAAGCTTTTCGCTCATATATGTATATATATATATATTTATTTTTAATTTTAATAATAATATAAATTATTTACATTTATGTTAGCTACAGTTGGCCATATGACTGAACCGAATGGGCTGACATTATTTGAGGGAACTCATGTGTTTCCCGGGGGTAGCATAGGCTAAAAAAATGTTTTGTTTCAACATTTTTTTTTCAATTTTTTAAAATTCCTCGAGCAACGCCGGGCACTTCAGCTACTAATTAAATATAATTAGATAAACGATAAAAAATAATAGGAAAAGTGAAGTGAGAAAAAGAAATGGTTTCAAAACAGTAATAATGATATTAGCCAATTGACATGTTTATTGGAGCTCTCTAAAGAATTCTAAATATATTTATCCTAGATTTTATGTTGACACAACACATGGAACTCATTTGTAAACAAAGTTTTTTTAATATTAAGAAGTTTCCTGGAGCATGAATTAGATTCCCAGTCTGAATTATACTCGGAGAAACTAGAATTTAGTCCAGATCCTTGGATCCACGTTTCAGGTTCGTCTCCAGGTACTCGGCAACGGTGTGGAAAATTTGCACCGACAAAAACCCAACCCATGAGCTGCATAGAGGTTAGGATGTATGGGAGAGAGAATAAGAAATAATTAATTTTCTGTTCCAAACCAAACTCTCCCAGCTCCGCCAAAACATCATCAAAAGTCACTTTCTTCACTTTCTCCTCAGTTTTCTTAGTTTCTAGGTTGGATAGAAGCGGAGAAGGATCGGAGGGATCAATTGTTTCCATCCTTGCACTAGATCCTTGCACAATGAAAACTGCAGCGGTGAATACTGCAACCCTGGATGGCTTTCTACCGTTTAGTCCCGAACTGCGGACAATTATCTTCGGAGAATTGAGGAAGTTCAACCTGAACCCTCCTCGAACCTAACTAGGTTTAAAGTATAGATCTTTAAACACTTAACAAGGAAACTTTCAAGACGTTTCTCTGTTTATATCCCGACCGCAATGACTGGATTAGATTAGAAGCAAGACTAATAATCTCTAGAGTGTACTTTAGAAGGAAAGCTGTAGAAAGTTTGAAACCTAACTACTTCTAATACTAGAATAATACAGTATTATTATATTAGAATTATTAAGATTGTTTAGGGAAAATAATACTCAAATCAGAAAATTGAAACTTTGGCACCTTTTTTTAATATTTGTTGCCTATTGAATTGTTAAGCTATGAACTGAAAAAAAGTAGAATTAAACAAAGAAAAATGGGTTTGGAAATGAGGCCAAATGTATTACAAAGAACATTATGAATGTTTAATGTTCCAATACATGAAAGTTTATTGATAAATCTAAGATCGTCTTTAATTTACGCGGAGTTATTAATACAACAAAATACACGTGAACAAAAAAATTAAACTTTTCTCTGAGATCTGAAATGTCAAATTGTGGTCTACCTTCAAACATTTAAAATGTCAGAAATATTGTCGAGATATTGTACTCAAAGAGAATAGAATATATATTAGAGGGAAATTTAGAGAATCTCTCGGTATGAATTTTTTCAGTCCCTTTCAGCCTGAAAGGGAGTTCAAAGTGTACAACTCATGTAAATGTTCACAAATTATATGCAGTAGAGTACACTAATACGGTATGTTCCCTAGACTATCCATTTCAATTTCGAATTTTTTAAAACTGTTAAAAAACTTTATGAAATTAGAGTTTGTGGCAAAGACTGAATTCCTTTGTAGATATCTTGATAGAAAGGATTCACTGCGATTTAATGGTCTCACGCTCTCAAGCTTAAATTGTTGAGAATTTTGCCAATTACTTCTAAAAAACCAAAGCTAACAACAAGTGCTTTACAGTGCAAAAATGTACATGTAAAGGTCTACAGAAAAGTATAACTGAGTCAGAGCGGTACAATTTAAACCTACGGATTGATTTATAATTCCTCTTCAATTTCCCGTAGTGGTCAGACCTTACAGAGATAACTTTTATAGAGATCAAAGCATTTATTCTCATATATATAAGTGCCCACATGGTATATCGAGATCGAGCGTTTAACAATATCCCACTCAAAAGATCCACTCTAGGTCTTTATATATGCAAAGTACTTTGGTGAATACAAAACATCATTTGATTTATAGTTATAACGGAAAATCATCGTTTGTTAAGTGAAAGGCATAGCATCTATGTGAAATGATCATTGGTCAATTATAAAACCAGCCTATTTCATAATTTGGTTTTCTTTTAATATTAATTTTAGATTTTCTATAAAATGATATTCCAGGGCCCAAAAGGTTATATAGCATAAATATGTGAAGTACATCTGCAGTATGGAAACAGTACAACAAAATGGCCGTTTTACACTTTTTTCTAGTAAATTCCCCTCTAATATATATTCTATTCTCTTTGATTGTACTCTATAAAAAGATTTATATGTTCGTTTAATATCTTTAATAATTTTTCGCGACAAAAAGAAGGTCGTCTACATTTAAAAAAAATAGTACAACGCTTATTTAGTAAATGTTCTGCATCTTATCCACACTCTTCATCATTGGTAGTCCTGGAGTCCGGGGATGGGAAAAATCAATGGATTGTACTTCAATATTGTAGTTTTATATGTTTCGTTGATCTGGTATAGACCAGTTTTGGTTTCAATATCAAATCTGATAAATCTACTGAGGAAGCTTCAGTGAGTTGTTCACTTTATATCTTCAGAGAAAGAAACTATGACCTTCACAGTAGTTCAGAGAGTTAGATGCATTAGTCCTAAAATCCAAACCAAAAATGAAACCTCGTCGGTAAGCCGTTACCGTTACCTTCGGCACAGTAATTTAATTATTTCTTTATTGAGTTTAAGTTTAAGTTTAAATACATTTACACATATATAAAACTACTGAGGATTGGCCATCAGTTTGTATAGTAATTTTAGCCAGACATGTATCACAATGTTTTGTAGTGTAGCTGAAACTATATCATATATATGAATATGTAAACTTTATAAAGACTTCAAATATTTATCAACTCATACAATTGTTTAATCAGATACAAAATAATATTTTTTAAATGTTCGGGAATTATCATTTAACATGAAATCATAAACATTATGAAATATGAGGTTTATATTNAAGTTGAAATTCAAACAAGTTGGTATTCAGAAAAGTTGAATTCCAAATAAGTTTATATCCAGAGAAGTTGATAACCAAACTGTCCATTATATTTCAGTCTATTAAATAAACATGAATAAAAAGGTATTTTTAATGTTTTGATGTTTTCTAAATCTCAACATTAAGCATTGAACTCCATCCTAACGTAGACCTACAGATTGATTTTATTCCTAATACCCTGCAGTGGTCAGACCCTACAGAGATAACTTTTATAGAGATCAAGCATTTTATCCTCATATACATATATAAGTGCCCATATGGTATATCGAGATCAAGCGTTTAACAATACCCCACTCAAAAGATCCACTAGCTCTAGGTCTATATATATATATATATATATAAAATTGTAATTTAACACAGAAAAAGTTTAACTTGTAAATTAAGATTTCGTTGACAGGTATTTAATAAAGACAATGTACAAAGAAAACGTCCTAAAAAGACAACTTTTAAAAATTACCAGACGAAGTGAGTGCAAAGAAATTAAGTCTTTGCCACAAGCTTCAATTTTCTAATCACTATATCTTTGCAACCTGATGGTGTAAACCTTTGATGTTTAAAACCTTATTAAAAGTTTTAAATATCTTAGGTCTACAACATTGGGTTATAATGATATAGGGATTAGAAAATTAGAGTTTGTGGCAAAGACTAAATTCCTTTGTAGATATCATGATAGACAGGATTGCGTTATTCTTTGTATTTCTTTAAATTAGAATTACCAATGAGAATATCGAATTTGTAAATGATGTATCTCATAAAAATGTTTCTAAACCGTTTTCACAGACAAATTATAAAATGACACTAGACCGTTTTCACAGACAAATTACAAAATCCTTAGCGGTATTTCTAATCAAAAGAAAGATCAAAGACGACAAAAATTTGGCAGTTTATGGATTATGATGGATAATACGATCAAATAAATATATTTTCTAACCTCGGCACGTGTTTTGGAATATTCATAGAAGTAAATATTTCCATTTACTGATAGCGCCGATTTAAGAATTCATAACTCTGATTGGATAATGAGATAGATAGAAAGATAGATGTTACCGCCAAACTATTTTTATTGGTTCAGAAAAGACAGCAAACACATGACTGAACCCTGATTGGATCAGGCGCTAATGGACTCGGCATACAGAAGTGAATAACACTGTATACAGTGGAAGTACAATCTCTTATTATGATGCGATTGGAGAATCCACATAATTATTTTACAACGGAAAACCTAAAAATAACGTTTCCTCGCCAATTTCTTTTTTACTAAGAATGCTACACATAGATCAAATTTTTCGTCGTTTTTCTGGGGTTGCAACTTATTTCAAAAACTCACAAATACTTTTCATAGCCCTAAACATGAAAATTTTAGAACCATAAAGAACTTGTTTTTTAGCATCAGTTTTTAAGAAGTAATTGGCAAAATAATTATCGATTTTTGTGTGAGAGCTTTCAACATTTGGATCACTGTGGCTATCTTTGTTCATATTACCTCGTCTGTACGTAATACACAAAATAATATATATATATATGATTGTGATTGTGATGTGAACTTTAAATACTGAAATATATATGATTGTATATATAAAATACAGACATAATAAATTTAATAAATGACTATCAAAACATTTATTTTTTATCATCTTTGTAATTCTCATCAGTGTTTAAAACACAGATAACGATATTTTTCTTATGATGTGTCATCAAGAGAAAAATCATATACCTCAGTTTATTTAGTGTTTTACAATTTTATTACATTAAAACCTGATTTCATGACATTATGATTTCTAGACATTTTTATTCCTAGACACGTTGAAATCCAAACAAGTGTATATCCGGATAAGTTTATATCAACCTATGTTGATTTTTAAACAAGTTTATATCCAGAGAGTTTATATACAGAAAAGTTGATAACCAAACAACAAGTTTATATCCATAAAAGTTGATAACCAAACAATTTTATATCCAGATAAGTTTATATCAACCCATGTTGATTTTTAAACAAGTTTATATCCAGAGAGTTTATATCCAGAAAAGTTGATAACCAAACAACAAGTTTATATCCAGAGAAGTTGATAACCAAACAAGTTTATATCCAGAGAAGTTGAATTCCAAACAAGTTTATATCCAGAGAAGTTAATAACCAAACAAGTTTATATCCAGAAAGTTGAATTCCAAACAAGTTAATATCCAGAGAAGTTGATAACCAAACAAGTTTATTTCCAGAAAGTTGAATTCCAAACAAGTTAATATCCAGAGAAGTTGATAACCAAACAAGTTTATTTCCAGAAAGTTGAAATTCAAACAAGTTAATATCCAGAGAAGTTGATAACCAAACAAGTTTATATCCATAGAAGTTGAAATTCAAACAAGTTGGTATTCAGAAAAGTTGAAATCCAAACAAGTTGATATCCATACAAAACAATTTCTATATAAGTTGATTTCTGAACAAGGGGATATCCAGACAAGTTGATTTCCAGACAAGATGATATCCAGACATGTTGCTCTCTTGACAAGATGATATCCAAGAAAAGGTGCATTTATCAGACAATATCAAACTTTATTAAAAGCGGATACCTTGGAAAGTTCATATGTATATAAGTGGATACCAAGACAGGTTTAGCTTCAATACCAGATTGAATCAAGTTTCGTATCGTTGCAATTTAGTTTGAAATCCAGTTAGAAAACACGGTACTGATACGCGGTTTTCCGGTTTAGCCGAGTAGCTTTGGGAGCTGGAAGGTTGGAGTGAGAGTTGAAGGATAAATATACTACGTATTGGTCCTTGGCTTACAATATAGAGCCAAACCTACAGGTTATTACGCTTGCCGAGCTGTGATATTGGTGCAACCCTGGTACCCGGCACAAAGTTTACATTCGTCTCAGTTCCTTTTATTCTTTCTCCGCAAACACTAGAAACTCTCTACTGTACACACAAGGCACAGTTTACGCCCGTATTCGGTGTAATACGATACCAACCTTAGTTTTATGCAGGTTATAATACTGCCCTGCCAGTTTTTACAGATTCAAGCATTATATTCTCAACAAAAGATACATTCAGTTATAATGCAAGAAGGAAGGGCAGATAAGAGAATAAATATATGTCTGCTGCACTGTGAATCATTCAATTGATAGAGCAGGGTCGGAGCTGGGAAGAAAATGATTCATATAGTTAAATTTTATTGAATAGTTCTAGTATCTAGTTAGTACACATGTGAACGGTTTAAATGTTTCAACAAAACAGCTGAAGTGGAGAAAGGGGAGTTAGTTAGTTTAATCCAACAGTAGGAGTTCTATCATGGAGAGGAATAGAACAACAGATAATGGAAACGTTCTTGTCGATCCAGGATTTGTTTCTCCTATTTATGATTTCGGTGAGGATGAACGGAGAAAGAAGAACGGATTATCCCGGACTAGATCTAGCAGTATTCATGCTGATCCTCATCAGATAGAGATATCTCTAGAAGAGGGAGCAGGAGATCCTACTGACGAGGTTCTGGACCGAGCAGCAGGGTTCTTCGTGGAGCATAATGAGAACTATGAGATCAGTTGGGCGGATGCCTCCCATATGATCTCTGATGCTGAGACAGATCCGTCTAAACCTCCAGTTCCAGGTCTTAACAAGGAGTACTTAACCTGGAGACTTAGGAGAACCATTGAAAGTATTTTCTTCCGTTTGTTTACTCTACTTCTAATACTGGTAGACATTGTGATAGTTATAGTTGATCTATCCATAGAGGGAAGTCAACCCGGCCTTCAAATAGTTGATCTTGTAATATCAATATATTTTGTTATAGAAGTGTCTCTAAGATTAATCGCTTTAAAACCTCATGCGTTCTTTATACATTGGTACAACGTTCTAGATCTAGTTGTAATTCTCGTCACTTTCATTATATCTGTGATAGCACTAAGTGGAACCAACTGGGCGGAAGGATTGTCCCTTTTCACTGCTCTCAGGTTTGTGAGAATTGTCCGGTTTGTCCGAATCTACACGGAGAAGAAGAATATTGAAACTGCAGCTCGTCAACTTATCTCACAGAACAAACGGAGATATCAGCAGGATGGGTTTGATCTCGACCTCACCTACGTTACCAATCGTGTGATAGCTACTAGTTTCCCTAGCTCCGGGTTGTGGGCAGCATACAGAAATCCCATTGAGAAGGTCGCGCAATTTCTTGACACCAAACATAAAGATCATTACAAGGTGTTTAATCTTTGCAGTGAGAAAACTTACAACACTTCATTCTTCCACGACAGGGTGGAGAGAGTTCTCATTGATGATCACAACGTTCCAAGTGTAGCGCAGTTGTTGGAGTTTGCTGATACTGTTCGAACCTGGTTGGGTGAACATCCTGATAATGTTATCGTTGTTCACTGTAAGGGTGGAAAGGGAAGAACTGGAACTATGATCTGTGTCTGGTTAATTGAATCAGGAGTATTTACAAGTGCATCACTTAGTCTGGACTACTTTGGACATCGTCGGACAGATACAAACGTGAGTAAGAAATTTCAGGGTGTTGAGACCCCTAGCCAGAGCAGGTATGTCGGATACTACGAGATTGTAAAGAACAATGGAAGAATCCTACCGGAGAGTGTTCCTGTTCGCCTCACTGAGATCATTATTACTGGAATGATGTATATCGGAAACGGGACGGGATCAGATTTCTGGGTTGAAATAGACCAGGGGAGAGGAAACACGGTATTAACCGCAGTTTTCGGAACACAGAAGAACTGCACCATGGAGTACAACTCAGTGAAGGATACTCTCCGTATTAAAGTTTTAAACTGCCCTGTACTGAAGGGAGATACCAGAGTTCTATTCCAAACCAACTCTACCAATGTTCCCAAGTACTATGAGAAATGTCCGTTTTATTTCTGGTTCCACACTGGGTTCCTGGAGAACGGAGAACTACTCCTGAAAAGAGAGGATCTGGATAATCCGCATAAGAGTAAAACCTGGGATATTTACAGAGAAAACTTCTCTGTCAAGCTCTTGTTTGCTTAGATGACAAATTCCTAAGTATTTTCTATCAAAACACATGATTTACCTCCTCAGCTTATTTTCTTATTATTTATAATTAAAGTAGTATTAAATATTAATAAAGTGCTATTAAACATGCTATTTTTGTTCGTTGTTAAATTAGGTTATGATAAAGGAACAATAAGGGAGAAAAAAATGGTTCTGAATTTGTGCGAAATCTTTTTCATCCTTGGGTTAACTTTAAATGGAATTTGGTTGCTTTTTTTACTAAGCTGTTCAGGGTTGGATTGGTGATTTGAATATTTCTTTTGTTAATTTCATACAACAAAAATCTTCCCTTCAACTTAAAGAGACTATCGACTTAGTTTTAAGTAATCCTTCATTTGAAGAGTTCCGTGTCCAGTTTACAACAATGGTAAACTTTCAAATTTTGTCTGAGAAACTAAAAATATTCTTGTCTTTGTTCCTCAAAAGGGAACCTAACCTTTGAAAGTGACTTGTGGATTTATGCAGAGGAGACAAGTTATAAATTGACAGAATTGTTCTTTTTGCATGATAGAAAACAACGATATCTTCCTACATATATATCTGAATAAACAGATAATGGTACCACTGTGAATTGGGCAAGTAACTCTTTAAATGGAGGCTCACTCTTATACACTTCCTTAACAAGCGATGTAAAAGGTTAATCTTAATTTTGTCGAAATAATTCTGATTAAAACTGTATAAAAACCATAAGTTTTTATACATCATAACTTCGTTTAATTTGATTTTTATCAACCATGAACTTAATTCAAGAAGATTAATGTATAATTTATCAGAGGATTTACAGTTAAAACTTCTAGTTTTATTAATTCAATTAAATTTTAAAATTTTTCACAATAGAACGCGTTTTAAGTTACACAACCGTACATACATCTTTTAGAAAATAAACAAAGCTCTTATAGATTTCAATGATTAAAACAATTTGTTCAAATTATTCTTATCGTGCATAAATTTCACACTTCCGTTACTTAGTTCCAACTTCTAAGTTTACACAGTAACAAAATAATGTAATTTGAGCGTAAGTATGTAATATTCTAATGTATTTTGTAACATAAAAGGTTAACCAATAATGTAACGATATGAAGGTTGAAAAGATGTAATTAATTATGAGATATAAAGGTTTATCAAATGATCTGGCAAATATGACAAGTGTACAGGAAACCGTCAATTTTAGAAAGAAGACTTTTTAAATTCTTGACAATCGTCTCATCCTACCCGTCTCTGTAAATCATTACATTATTACATGAAGGACATTTTCATTCATTTTCTTATATTTTACACCATTCTGCAGCAGGCGGCAGGAAGACAGGCAATCAAGGAGACAGGCAATCAGGATGACAGACAAGCAGGAAGGCAGGCAGGCAGGCGGGAGATAGGGAGACAGGCATGCATTAGGTTTGATTTTAGTTCTAAGAATAGTTTAGGCTGATCATGGTTTATGAGGTAAACATTGTCAAGCACCAATGAGTTTGAATTTGATAGAAAATCACAATGATTGCATGTTTATTTAGAAAAATCATCTAAACGTTGAATTGTAAAACTTGAGGTTAACCCTATATTGAAGGGGGGGGGGGGGGCGGGGTTCCCTTAACTATTTGGGGCAGATAAATAGCATCATGCAAGACTAACTACAGCTATGAGTTGATACAGTTCTGGATTTATCGAAAAACAATCAGTTTTGATCTCTTCTGCATAATCCGCCAGACTAGCTCTCAACGTTAGTATCTAAAGGGAGACTTGATAAATTATGGAAGAAGATTTTTTAGACTATTCAAAAACTGTCATGTTTCGTGGTACACCCTGTATAAGAAATATGTAGATTGGTTTTCTTAATCTCCCCATCTCCTGATTATAGTTGTTCCTCTTCGGTCCGCTTTATATATATGTTAATCCGTCCCAACAGTAAGATATAATAATCTCTATCAATGGAGTCCAAAAGTGTATGACAAATCATTAGACAACAGAGCACTTTTCAGCATTAAAACTTGATTTCCGGGGCTTTAAAAAATGCAGCCGGTTTGTTAAGGTCACTTTGTCTTTGTGTATCCCTCCAATCTAGGTATGATACATGCGAAATTTGTACAAATTCGTGACCTCGAAGCTCCTCGAGTTTTGGTACGTCCAAGTTAAATTGTAAATTCGCAACTTTTTTGTTGTTCTTAATTCTCCAAAAGAAGAATTATATTTGAAAACATCCAATATAATCTAAATGTAAAATTTACTTTAATTTGTTGACATGAGATCGCTGTGTGCTTGATCTGGAAGCTGGATAATGTCCTTTATTATTAAATATGCTTATACATATATATCTTGCAGCATCATATTGACGTTTCAATTTAAAACATATTGGCGATTAATTATTGTTGCTCTCTTAGAGAAAGATACTTCAGCACAACTGTTTAATAGAATTTAAATTTTTTTTTTTTCTCCATTATTCTTACTTGGAAATTGTCAAATGAAAATTGACTTTCCTCCCTTACATATACAAGTTGTTGTGGCAAAATAGTTACGAAAATGGGCCTTATCTATACATGTAAATTTTATTAGACAGAATTTATAAAAATATGTAGATATCACATACATATTATATGCATATTTGTTTCATATTATATCTTTATGCCATGCAGAAGTGATCATTTATAGCTTTTCACAATAGTTTAACAAACATTAAATCATCATAAAACCCTTCGCAACTAATAATAAAAACAGTTCATGATTATGTTTGTTTACATGATTTTGTTCACTTAGATTTGTTTGTTTACATGATTAAGTTTGTTCACTTAGATTTGTTTTTTACATGATTAAGTTTGTTTAAATTACTTTGTTTATTTTCATAGTTCTGTGTTTTAACATAATTATTTGTTTACATGATTACGTTCGTTATTTGGTTGTTTTTCATCATAGTTTTGTTTGTTTGTTTACATGATTATGTTGGTTTAAATGATTATGTTGTTTACGTGATTATGTTTTTTTTTGCATGATATATGCTTGTTTACATGATTATGTTTGTTTACGTGATTATGTTGTTTATATTATTATGTTTGTTTATATGATTATGTTTGTTTACATGATTATTTATGTATTTAAATGAAAAAAAATATGTTCTTAAATAATTTAATTTATGTTGACATAAATTTGCTTGTTAAATTGAATTTGTTTGTTAAAATGATTTTACAAACAGAACACCGGTCTGCAACTGCAAATAAAAACATGACTATTTTTACTACTAACTTTCCGACCTACTGCAATATCGGACCTACGCCAGCTGTTTATTTTTCTATTATTTGAGGGTTAGGTTAGGTTCAGACAATTTCTGGGCCGAGCGCTGCGGCTAGGACAGGCAGGGGCCGAGCGCCGCGGCTAGGAAAGGCTAGGGGGCCGGGCGCTGCGCCAACAAGTCCATATTGCAGCTGTAAAACTACGTGCTAGTAGGTTGGATATGTTATAGTATAGCGGATTTGGCGTATATAGGTTAGAAGCGGAATATATTGGATTTGCGTAGGTCGAAAAATACACCACCCTATGGGGCACGTAAACGAGTTAATTTTATTTTGTATTTTATAAATAAGTTAAATCTCAAATAATAAGATTACATCATTTATAATTTTGTGTGTAAAATACGTGAAGAATATACAATATATGGCTAGGACAGGCTAGGGGGCCGAGCGCCGCGGCCACAAGGCCATATAGCAGCTGTAATACCACGTGCTAGTAGGTCGGATGTGTAGTATAGCGGATTTGGCGTAGGTCAGAAGTGGAGTATGGCGGATATGTGTAGGTCGAAAAATACACCACCCTATGGGGCACGTAAACGAGTTAATTTTATTTTGTATTTTATAAATAAGTTAAATCTCAAATAATAAGATTACATCATTTATAATTTTGTGTGTAAAATACGTGAAGAATATACAATATATGGCTAGGACAGGCTAGGGGGCCGAGCGCCGCGGCTAGGACAGGCTAGGGGGCCGGGCGCTGCGCCAACAAGTCCATATTGCAGCTGTAAAACTACGTGCTAGTAGGTTGGATATGTTATAGTATAGCGGATTTGGCGTAGGTCAGAAGTGGAGTATGGCGGATATGTGTAGGTCGAAAAATACACCACCATATTAAGATATATCTGCAGAGGTAATTATTTAGAAAATTGAAAAATTAGTTTGATTGAACAAATATTTGTTCAAAAAGACTATATAGTGAAGAAAAAAAAAGATTAACCACGCAAATTGACATAGTATAGCCAAGGCGTAATAAGGAGGATAATGAGCGTCATCAAAACTAACATTTAAAAAATGTTTAGCCCAAAGACGACATTTTTTGCAACAGCTTGATTTTAAAATGCCCCGTTTTATTCAGCATTTCAGCTGCTTCATCTTCCGGTGTACGCAGCTGCTATTCAGTGCTGAGCTATGCACGTGTGAATAGTCCTTCAGTTAGTGAAATATTTATACTCAAAAGAATTATATTGAAAAAGAAATATTATAACAATTGAACACTTTGAAAGAATGAACAGTGCATGTGCTCTTCAATGTCTCCGTGTAGTTTCCGTGGTGTATATTTTGTTTTATTGATAGAGAAATCATGTCCATTACTTCGGAACCGATTTCAGCTAATCGCGTAAAAGTTTGCTTAAAAGTTTAATGCATTTCCATGTAATATGTATTGGTACGGTCGTCCACTTGTTAATTTTCAATTCTTTTTTCGAAATGTATTTATTTTTGAAGATTTTTAGTGCCATGCGGTCCATCAGCTGATCTAATGAACTAAAACGTACTTGCCATTACTTTCATTTTAAACTCGTTTGTTGTTTCCAGGGACAATGGGTATTTCAAGAGACCATTGGCATAAACGCCGGGCAACCGGAGGAAAGAGATGTCCGCTGAGGAAGAAGAGGAAGTTCGAGATGGCTCGCCCCGCGGCCATGACGAAGCTTGGAGCTCAACGTATCCACCCCGTCAGAGTTAGGGGAGGAAACAAGAAGTTCAGGGCTCTGCGTCTTGACCAGGTTTGGAACATTCTTTTCTGCAAGCAGGATTAGATTGAAGTGTTTTCCTTGAATAGGAAATTCTTTTGGTAATTTCCTGGTATATTCCTAGAGAACGATTTTTGGACCCCCCCTCCCTCCTATCAATTTTGTACATGGAACTTATGTGATAGGCATGGAATTAATTGACCATGTCGCCGAAGCGATAGGCCAGAAAGTGTCTTCCTAACCCGTGGCCGCAGCGCTCGGCCCAGAGAGTGTCCTAACCTACTAAGAACAATACTAAATAAATACCATAATTGATAGGAGGGGGGGGGTCCAAAAATCGGTCTCTAGGACAGACCCAGTCTATTTCGACAGAAATATTTCAGATCCCTTGATTCGTACTCACTGAAATAAGTCCTTATTTCTTAAAGAGAGTGTTCGCGAAAAATGAAAGACGTAAGGCTTACGGCGATAAATAATCGTTTCTGATCGCTAATAATCTTACTAATATCTGTTGCGTCTACTTGGAGAAAATTGTTAAAAATGTCTTTTACCGAAGAACGAAGCGTTCACACAAATTGAGGAAGTTGGAACATACGACTTGGATCGTAAAAAAATCAATTTATTATTAAACAAATGCTTTAGATATTAAATCCCCGATATTACAACTTGTTATTCATCGATTATTTTTCGACGCATTTGTATATAGTTGATATTACATCATATTTTGTGTTTTTCGAAATTGATATTTCGCTTACAACTTGTTTTCACGACTGGCGCATTGCTGGAAAACTTGGAAAATGTCTTCTTCATTATCAAAATCCTCGAAACGGGAATGAATGTTTTCAAAAGTGACTCTCGGATCATAGATAGTAAAAAATATTATGAAATATTATCTAAATACGAATGCGTCGAATATAACGATGACTATAAGTTGTAATATCTGATTGCTTTGTTTGGAATTAATTGATTTTGTTACTATCTGAGTCTGTTGCAACTTTCTGAATTTGTAAGGAATCTACGTTCTTCGGTATGAGACGTTTTTAACAATTTTCTCGTTATAGACGCAACAGATAGAAGAAAGATTAGTAAAGCGATTATTTATCGCCGTAAGCCTATACCCCCTTTCATTTTTCGCGAGCACTCCCTTTAACGCAGATGAAAAATAAATGTGAAGGGGTCTTTGAAGCTGTTACATCACTGAGCGACTAAGGACGCCACGTTCAGTTTAATTATTTGAATTAGTTTGTCTAGAACTTGATCTTCCTTTGAATTTTAAATTTCTTCAGGGTAACTTCTCTTGGGGTAGTGAGGCTATCTCCAGGAAGACCCGTATCATCGACGTTGTGTACAACGCTTGCAACAACGAGCTGGTCAGAACCAAGACCCTCGTCAAGAACGCTATCGTCGTTATTGATGCTGCTCCTTTCCGTCAGTGGTAAGCAATTTAGTATTCTTGTGGATGCAGATCTTAGTCATCTCTCCCCCAACTTTTTGTAAATCTTTTACTCAAAGGGAATAAAACTTTAAAAAAATCAATTTGAATAAAGTGTTTCTATTTTGGAAAATAGATGGGAGAACTTTTTTACTATCGTAAAATTGTATATCCCTGTCTTGATTCTGAAAATTAAGAATGAACACTCTTCAATGATGAACTAATAGTTGAATTTAAACTAATTTTACTGTATTTTTTAACTTCTCTTATTAATACGGAAAGTCTCTTCAGATTGGGGTTATACATTTAATTATTGGGTAACCATTCACCCCCCCCCCCCCCATAAACCTTGTCAATCATGCACCCGTCTCTTCCCGTCCTACTGGGGTTTTCGTTTATGTTATGTATCAATACATCTATCTTCCCTTAATGTAAATGACTATCTTGTTATACGAAACCTAAATGGAACACATTGAACTTGTTTTGTTTCTATGTCAGGTATGAGTCCCACTATGCCCTTCCTCTCGGTCGTAAAAAGGGAGCTAAGCTGAGCGAGGCTGATGAGAAGATCCTCAGCCAGAAGAGGTCTAGCAAGACTGACAAGAAGTACAAGGAGAGACAGAAGGACGCTAAGGTTGACCAGGCCCTCAATGATCAGTTCCTCACAGGTATGCAGAATATCTTTGCTTGTAAAGACTTATAATCGTGAAGACTTCAGATTGTAAATCGCCGACTTATTGTTTACAGAAGTCGCCAGGCTTTTTTAATTTTTGAAATGGAGGCAACTCTAAAAGCCCGTTCTCTCCACAATTTTGAAGCAGTGGTCGTGTTGTTCACGTACATGTGTCGACGATAGTTTCTCCGCTAGATGTCTCCCGTATGAATTATGTCTTAAGACAAGATTTATACGTGAGGCATTTAGATGCCAAACTGGTTTTGTTTTATCCAACTTTTATATAAAAAAAACCAACGTAAATAGTTTCAAATATGAATTATCAAAAAATCACAAGGTTAACAAATGGCTTTTTGCTATATACTCTCTACTTGCTCAGAAATATATAAAATGTGAGATCTTTAATATCGACAGCTCTGTTTTGAAATGTAGTATTGAGCTGCAAACATGACAATAACATTTTCTTTTGTCAATCGTCCCTTTTAGTACGTTAACAATACCACTAGAACGGGAAAATATTAGTAGAGAACTGTCTCAATCCTTTCTTTCACTTGGTTTTTTATCATGTTCATATACTGATTCTTCTTAGTTTCATGGTTTAAGTCGTAATTATTTTAAGGTCGAGTGCTCGCTGCCATCTCTTCCAGACCTGGACAGTGCGGACGCTCAGACGGATATGTTCTCGAGGTGAGAATTTCTTAACGCCCCCACGGGGGTGTTCATAATTTCATTGTAAATCATTTGGACGGAATCATCCACCATCACTTTTTTAAAAAATGGAATGAGGTCGCCTTTTTCAGAATTATTACGACACAATACAAATGTTTTTGTTCTTCCTATAATATTTTTATTTATTTTTCAGGGCAAAGAGTTGGAGTTCTATCTACGTAAGATCAAGGCCAAGAAGGGCAAATAAACCATCCACCAAACCTCTTTCGTATGACGGATTTGTAACCTCTTGAACCTGTCATAACAGCGTGAATCTATTTCAGAACAGAATGGGGAAAATTATGAAGACGGGGAAGGTGGTTCTGCTCCTGTCCGGCAGGTATGCCGGTAGGAAGGCCGTTGTCGTAAGGCCTAGTGACGACGGAACCAGCGATAAACCCTTCTCTCACGCACTAGTTGCTGGCATCGACAGGTATTATTCCAGGGTTCAATAAGTCCTTCCTAGGACAGGGTGTCTGAAAATTGAATAATATTGCTTTCGTTAAAAATTTTGGAAATCGCGATGTCGGAATATTCTTAGAAAAGAAGGTTGAGCTAAAACACAAGACAAGTACTTTCCGATAGAAATCTAAATTATCATTCGTTTTTCATGCTACTGTTAAATATTGCTTATATCCATTTCACAACATGTTAAAATTATGTGCCTCAACATAATGCTAGCTTGAAAGACACCCTGTAGAAAATGTGGAATTGTTCTCATGTTTGCACCATAACTTTTACCAGCTGATGTGTAGGTACCCACGTAAGGTCACCAAGAAGATGAACAAGAAGAAGATCCAGAGGAGATCCGTTATCAAGCCTTTCCTCAAGGTAGAGATTTATTTTCAAAATGTAGTTCGAAGAAAAAATTGAAATGATGATTACTTAATCCCGTGATTCTTCGGAAAATGTATCTTATTCCTGGTTTCTGATGAAAATGGTCAATTTATGAAATTTAATATTACCGAATCAATACTTAATAGGTATATAATTTAGGTCGTAAACTACAATCATTTGATGCCTACCAGGTACTCTGTCGAGATCACTTTCGACAAAGCTAACCTCAACAAGGAGACCCTCAAGGTATGTTTGTCGCCCAAGATACAGAAAGGATTCAAATTAAATATATGAAATTAAATGGTTCAATAAACTTCAGACTGAAAAATTGTTCTGTTTGTACGGATCAATTTCTATTTACCAACTAATTCTCTTTTCTGTACAGCCTCCTCAAATACAGCTTTAAATTGCTTGTTTAATTAATCCATATTAATTACTTTCTATTTGGATCATTTTATGAAAATATTCAGACATTGAAAAATGTCTACTTAAACCGCGGAACAACAATCTGAATTCCAAAACATTCATCAATTAGCAAAATGTCGGTTGTGGCTTTATATCCGTCCAGTTAACGTGCCTATCCGTAGACGATACATTGACATTTATTTGTCATAGTTTCGTCTGTGTCGGTTAAGGTAAAACAGGACGAAGAAAAATACGCCAGGACTAGCTTGCTACTCGGATGAGTTTTCATATTCATCTGTCGAGTATGCCGCAAATTCGGGCAAACAACCTTTATTAACAATTAAGATCATTGTGTAATTTCTACCACGATAATTATTGACATGAACTTGTCCCAGGACCCCATGAAGAAGAAGAAGGCACGTAACATGGTTCGCACCAAGTTCGAGGAGAAGTACAAGACCGGCAAGAACAGATGGTTCTTCCAGAAGCTCAGATTCTAAGCCCCAATTCGTCTTAATCTCCTAAATTACATCATACAGGAACTAAGCGTAACCATATACTGTTTTCAGATAATATCTCTGGGTAAGAATGACGAAGGGTACTAGCTCCTTTGGAAAAAGGAGGAACAAGACCCACACCCTGTGCCGCAGGTGTGGAAAGGTAAGCTTACTTACTAGTTTTCTTGAAGTCTTGAATCAAGCGCCCACTGATAGGATTACGTTTTTTAATGTTCTTCAATGGACTGAATTATTTCAAATGACACACCATGCAAAGATGGCAATGTCCGATTTTCAATGGAACCCTTTAAAGCTCCGTTTGATCAAATACATTGAATATTAGGGATGATCAATATTGGAATTGAGCCAACCGCCCACCGGAGATCGCTGCGTTTTCACTTAAAAAAATATTGCAATCAAATAAAAATTTTAAATTCGTCCATAGGGTTGCGATTTGACGATTTAATTTCGGAGAATTCAACTTAAGCCAACAAAAAAAAAAAAATTTTTTATTTTTATGTTATAAATCATTTTCTTGGAAATTTAAAGCTAAATTCAAATCTGAAAAGCGTTTAAAAAATATTTAAAATTGATGAGTTAGAGCTGAAAAAAACTGGCCAAAAACACGAACAAGTTAAAAAAAAAAAAGAAACGAAATTCAGCTCCGTTATTTGGCCATAACTTCTGAAAATTTTAGTATTTTTAAAAATAGTTTTCGAATCTGAATTCAGCAGGACATTTCCAGGAAAATGATGAATCATTTAGTTTTTTGAAATATATTTTTTTAGGTCTTACGACGATTTCTCCAATGTTAAATCGTCAATTTGCAACCCTTTGGACGATTTTGAATTTTTTTCATTACAATATTTTTTTTCTATTTAAAACGCAGCGACCTGAGGTGGGCGGCGGGCTGATTTCTTAACCCTATCCCTGCTGGGGTACTTGAAAACCAGGATATGCTGGGGTTGTAGGAAAAGTCAGAAAATTTCAACAGCCTCAGACCAATACTTGAGTTATGTAAAAAAAACTACAGGGGGGGTCAAATTGACCCCCCCCCAGCAGGAATATGGTTAAAAAAGTCTCAATTCCATCGCATTTATTGATCCATTTTTTTGTCTGTGACAAGTCAATATTCACTTGCGGTTTCTTTGCATAAGTGACTGCTGTTGCGCATTTCTTGCTTATATGAAACAATGTAGATAAAATTAAGAGTTGTATACACAGAATTAGTAAAACGACGATATCTTCGACATGTATGATCAGAAAGGTTCCATCGATGCGGTCGTAAAAGGACATGGTCATCTTTGCATCGAGGGTCACTTGAAATTACGCTTACATTATCTTAAATCAAATTTCCATCCCATCACTTAACTGCATCTCACTATCCTTGGAAAATTTGCATAATGCTCTTTTTGATTTGTCATCAATACTGGCCTGAAGATTTTTAAAAGCCTATTATGAAATAATATTTTTATTTTATGGCGGTGTGTTTCTTAATCTCATTCTAAGTAAATAATTTTCACATGTATTGGAATCAGCATATTTCTAAATAGTTCAAAATTAAATAATATTTCTATTGTATAACCTTTGCGAAACGTATTTTGAGATTTTCAAATTAAGCTAGGCTGTACTTTTTATATTCTTTGTTAACCATTGCTGGAACTTAGTCTTCACATTTATCTCATTTTATCAGACATGGTTTTGTCAAGATCGGCTTCCAGTAAACAACGGGCTTTATCTCTTGAGAGCAGAATTTTTAGTGTTGCAATCGTAGATTTTCTTGTTTTCGCGGTTCAGAATCTAGTTACAAGTTTTCATTGAGAATAGTTTCCGTAACCAAATGTTGCAAGTACCCCATCTTTATCATTATTAACGATATATATGTATAGAGTTCCTTCCACATTCAAAAGAAGACCTGCGCCGGCTGTGGATTCCCTGCCGCTAGGATAAGGAAGTACAACTGGTCCGAGAAAGCTAAGAGGAGGAAGACCACCGGAACCGGCCGCATGAGGCACATGAAGGTTGTTCAGAGGTAAGCAAGATCGATTCTATTGCAGGCCTTGAGCCGCCGGTCAAATTTAGTCCCACCTCTCTTTAAAAATAAAATAAAAAATAATACAGGTTTCTAATTAGTCATTCTGGGAATAACTGAATAAAATCGATTGGATATCTCTTCGTCCAGTTAACGTGCCTATCCGTAGATGATACATTGACATTTATTTGTCATAGTTTCGTCTGTGTCGGTTAAGGTAAAACAGGACGGATAAAAATACGCCAAAGCTAGCTTGCTACTCGGATGAGTTTTTACATTCATCTGTCGAGTATGCCGCAAACTTGGGCTGACATTTATAGCTTCTTCTAAGTATATCATTTTACTCCGGTCTTGAAAATTTATTAATCCCTTCTGGAATAAATTTTCTTGGCTTTTCCGTCCGGTCCCGGTTTTGAAATTTTCTCACTTAACCTGGTGTAAAAGTTATTGTAGTTTTTATCATCGGATTTTGAAATATCTCCGAATTTTTAAAGTCTTGCAAAAAAGGTTTGGTCTTGGCAGGTTTTCTCCGGTTAATTTTTTCTTGCTCCTCGATTTTAAGCCTTAACTTTCCCCGGATTTAAGTCGTATTCCTTGTTGATCCACGGTTTGAAAGACGTGCCTGGGTTCGTAACTTTGTCATTTGAGTTGAAAAGTCTTATCCTTGGGGTTGAACGTCTTGTCATTTGGTTTGAAAGTCTTGTCCTTGGGGTTAAACGTCTTGTCCTTAGGTTTGAAAGTCTTGTCCTTGGGGTTTAACGTCTTGTCCTTTTTGTTTGAAAGTCTTATCTTTGGGGTTAAACGTCGTGTCCTTCGGTTTGAAAGTCTTGTCCCTGTGTAAGTCTTTCTGATTTTGAAAGACTGGTTTGTAAGACTATTTCCTGGTTTTGTTGGCCTAGTCCCTGGGTTTTAAGTCTAGTGTCTGGGTTTGCAAGTTTTGATAAGTTATAAAATGTATATTTTTTACATTATCTAATTGCAGGAAGTTCCGCAACGGATTCCGTGAGGGTACTGTTGCTGTCTCCCAGAAGAAGGAATAAAATATATTATCTTTGTAATAACGTTGAAAATATATATTTCCTTCCAAACCCTAGTTTTCTTAAACTACTGTTTCAGAGACTAGAATGGATGAAAATGTGGCTAAAGAGAATTTGCTGAAAAGGAATTAATATCAAAGCTAAAAGGATCTATAATTATATTTCCGGTGTAGGTTTTTCTCTTAAACGACATGTCTGTCATTCATTTCAAAAACATATTTTCCCTAAGAAATTTTAAGAGTGTCTGGGCTAAATTTTAATGATCGATTAGTCGGACAAAGAACGAACCGTGTCTGAATGTTTCGTAGTTTCGAGTTTGTGCATATTTCAGTGTCGCATCTTGAAGATAATGCAATGTGATAGGTGACGCATTGTATCTTAAAGAACTTAAAGAGTTGGTTACTGTTGATAAAGGAAATTCAAATGGACTGTATTTTTAAGAAGTAAAGATGACTGATTTACAAAACATTTGAAACTGATTCAAGTGTGAGCAACTAGCAAATTTTAAAGCAAGGATGTTGTATAAGGGAAAATGTCTCGCTAAGTATAGATTGCTAAAGTCCTTGCATGACTTATATCAATATAGAAGCGAGGGTTACATCATATGAGGAATTTATCTAAGCGTAGGAGACTTACATTTCCCGTACATTGGAATGCATCTTGAGAAGCTACCTTATTTTACAACCTTGATAAAAAATGATTTGATAACTGTTACAAAGACAAAGAACTTAAAAGACGGAATTTAAAATGGTTGATTTTAAATGACATGTTTCCCATGTTTGCCCATAAAAATTTTAGGGTTTTAATTACTGAATCGCCTTTTGATGTCCATTTTTTTTCAGATCACCAAAAATATTTTTTTTTCTTCACAGATGCTAGGTATGTGCGCGGAGCGCTTTTCAATTGTTAAGGTTATACTTGATGAATTTTCGTGCATAAAATAATTATAAGGATGAAATTTTTCACTTTTTTACACTTTTGCATAAAAAATTTACAATTGTGCCAAATTATGATGGATCGAGGCTCAAGCCACCAAATAACCCAAATATCTTTATCGGATTCATCTGGCATAGATTGTAGAAAAAATAATTGATTTTAAAGAGATGATCATTGAACATGGAAATACAATGCACTCTTAACCAGACAATTGTTTTAATGGAACTGATGCTATTCGGATATACCTTTATAATTAAAACGTATCTTGAAATTACATCATCAGTCTTTTAAAGAAGATTTATATTAAATCAAAATTGATTGACTATAAAAAATCAGATTAAATTTTTCTTTCTTTGTTCATTCATTAAACTAGTATTGCCAGATGTTAGGTATATTTGCGAATGCCAACTTTTTTTTTAATGGTTATATTCGATTTTTAAACGAATTTATGGGTTAGAAGTACATAAAATGGCGATCAAAAGCATAACAATTCTTAAATACTTATGCAGCCTTAAATCCCTGAAAATCATAAATACTCCCTTTAACATCGACTTTGAAAGTTAAGATTTATATTAGGAAGGAATGAAACTTCTCCAAGTCAAACGTAATTTTGACGAGAATTAACTTCCGGAGTGACGAAAAATTTTTGATGCTCTGGAAAAAAAATGAAAAATTTGCCATCAAAGTTTGTTAATTTTTGGATACTTCCTACCCAAAAATTAATTTATTTAGCAAATAAACTTTAGCGCAAGGCTGTATATAATCCCAATTTTTTTATTCTCCCCCCCCTGAAATTTTTTCATTTCCTTCCCCAAATTCGATAACTGAGAAGACATCTTTTTTAAGATTTATACTACAGTGCATTATAAACCCTAAAAGAATGCATTTTTCATAGATGGCGCCGCAGGGAAATTTTTTTATTTTTGGTATGGTGGTACTGGCAAAGAATTTTTGATTGATCATTTGTCAGTCAGGAGTATTTTTCTCTTTGAAATCATTTCCCATCATTTTAATTGGAGGGTATTAAGTGTTTACTCTCAAGTTTAAAAAAAGTTCTGAATTTGTGCGGGTAGCGCAATTTTTTTAATATGTTTGACTATTTGGAAAATTGATTGAGTACGGGGTATTCTGGCATCATATTTTTTTTTAATTGTGCGTGGAATTTTTTCAGCGTATTTTGTTGCAATATTACTATTGGCGATTTGTGAAAAAAAAATATGGTTTTAGAGAAAGTTAGAAATGAAGAGGTAAAGAGCTCCAACCATTCACTTCCCTAAATTCCCCTTTCCTTCCTTATCAGCCAGCCTTCCATCTTTTTACCTTCCCCTTCCATTCCCTACATTCCACATGCATTCTCCTTCTACTTCCCTACCTTCATTTTGTCTTTCCTACCTTCCTTTTCCCTTTCCTACCTTCCTTTTCCCTTTCCTACCTTCCTTTTCCCTTCCCTACCTTCCTTTTTCCTTACAACCTTCCTCTTTGCCTCTCAACCTTCCTGTTTTCTTCGCAATCTTCCCTTTTCATTCCCAACCACCCCTTTCCCAACCTTTCCATTCCCTACTTTTCCCCTTCCTTACCAATCTCCCCATTCCTACCTGTCCACTTCCCTCCCTACCTATCCACAACCCTCACTACCTGTCCACTTCCCTCCCTACCTTTCCCCCTTCCCCATCCTTCTCCAGCCATACCTTTCTTTTGTCTTTAACCCTTTCCCTATAACTTTCTTTTTTTCCCTCCCCTTTTCCTTCCCCTCCTCTTGTGTCTTTGATTTCTTTGCCCCCCTGGGGGGGGGAGTTTTTAGGGGTAAACAATAAATATATATAGCCCTTAAATCGACTGTTTTCCATAATTTAGCGAATAAAACTTTTTTAAAAACTTTGTGCTCAGCCAAAACATACCTCCAATGAAACATTTAAACGGGCAAAAATAATTCTGGACTTATGTTCGACATTGGCTTGTCTGCGACTAAATGTTTTCAGGGCAATATGGGGAAAATGTCTATTTACAAAGAGGGGGGATGATTTTTCGTGAAAATATATACCTTTAAGAAAAGTTTATTGGCACTCTTCTCGTTATTTGATACTAAACCCTGAGTAGAATGAATGAAAATGAGGTTCCCGAGCTCCCGAAGAAAAGATTCTACCGACAAAGGGCGCACTCTAATCCCATAGCTGATCATTGCTTTGACTACCCTCTATCACCGGCGCAGGTAAAGTCGCTACCGGCTAAGGATCAATATTTGTGTCAGTATAAAGAAAGCACTTGATGTGTTTTGGATCCTGATCCTGGACTAGTCCTAACCTAATCCTTAATGTTTAAGCACTAAAATTACAATTTTGAATGTCGGACAAGGATGCAATATTTAAACCTGAATTTTAACCAAAGATAAATAAAGTTAAAGGGCAAATGATTTGTACGACAAAAATATATAAAACAGGATAAACGATGTACTGGTCAAATGATGTATACCAAATGATGAATAGGACCAAGGCGTAGGACAATCGATGTTTTCATCTTTGAAGTAGAAAAACATCTTGCCGTTGTTGTAGATGGACTGGTGCGAGCTGTACCCAGAGAAGGGTTCAAGGGAGGTTGAGTTTGCTGATATAGGTTGCGGATACGGTGGTCTTCTTATTCAGCTCAGTCCTATGTTTCCTGAGTCTCTTATGCTTGGTATGGAGATTAGAGTCAAGGTTTGTGAACAACCATAATATTTTTTATATTTTTCTAAATATATAAAATATTTTTCCAGTTGATGTTGAATTGTTTCTACATAAATATCAAATGTGAATTTTTGAAGACATTTTTCACGAAAAAACAAAAACATATTTAATCAATTTCTTTCTAGTTTGATATTGATATAAAAATGTTCTCTAGGTATCAGATTATGTACGGGACAGGATATCAGCTCTGAGATTACAGAAACCGGGAGAGTTTACAAATGTTGCCTGTATCCGGAGTAACGCGATGAAATATCTTCCAAACTTTTTCCGCAAGGGTCAACTCACGAAAATGTTTTTCCTGTTCCCCGATCCTCACTTCAAGAAGGCGAAACACAAGTGGAGAATTATTAATGAAACTCTACTGGCAGAATATGCTTATGTTCTCAGGTTAGAGTTTTTTCAATGCGACACTCAACCTTAGGTTAAACTCATTTAGTAATTAGTACTCAAACACCTGATATGATGATTAATGATATCCAATAAACAAAACTTAATATCCAACTCTCAGAAGCTAATAACAAAGACTCAACACCTATTATTCAGGCCCCCCCACATCCAATATTTAATATAAAACACTTCTAATATACAACACTCTTCTCCTAATATACAACACTCTTCTCCTAATATACAACACTCTTCTCCTAATATACAACACTCTTCTCCTAATATACAACATTGATCTCGTAATATCCAATACACCTTAATATCCAAACCACAATACCTAATATCTGATATTCAAGACCTAATATCCAACACTCAACACCTAATATCCAATACACAATACCTAATATCTGATATTCAAGACCTAATATCCAATACACAATACCTAATATCTGATGATTCAACACCTAATATCCAGTACACAATACCTAATATCTGATATTCAACACCTAATATCCCATGCACAATACCTAATATCTGATATTCAACACCTAATATCCAATACACAATACCTAATATCTGATATTCAACACCTAATATCCAAAACCCTTTACATAATATCCAATATTCAAGACCTAATATCCAAGACACAATACCTAATATCCAACATTCAAGACCAACAATACCAATTATCTGATATTCCAGACCTAATATCCGATATTCCAGACCTAATATCCGATATTCAAGACCAGATATCCAATATTCAAGACCTAATATCCAACATTCAAGACCTAATATCCAATTCACAATACCTAAAATCTGATATTTTAGACCTAATATCCAAAACCCTAGACCTAATATCCGATACTCAAGACCTAATATCCGACACTCAAGACCTAATATCCAAGACACAATACCAAATATCTGATATTCCAGACCTAATATCCGATATTCAGCACCTGATATCCAAAACTTAAGACCTAATATCCAAGACCTAATATCCAATATTCAACGCGCAGCACTTAAAAATAAATATTCAAAATCAAATAATCAACAACCATTCCTACAATTTAAATTCAGGGCTGGTGGCAAAATTTACACAGTGACAGATGTTCATGATCTGTTCGAGTGGATGACGAAGCATCTGACCGAGCATCCTCTCTTCCAGAGGATCGAGGATGCCGAGATGAAGGAGGATCCTGTGGTCGAGAAACTATTCGAATCCTCCGAGGAAGGGCAGAAGGTGACGAGGAACGAGGGGGAGAAATGGTGCGCCGTGTTCCGACGGATTCCTGATCCTAATCTTTGATTCCAATATTTTCTATATTTTCAGATCAGGATGGTGAAGATAGGTTTACAGATTAAAGCAGTTCTGGAGAATGTTACTGGGATAGAGGCAGAGGGAGAGGATTTCAGGTAGTGATCAATGATCATGGGGTCATCTAGGATCAATTTAGGAGAACATTTAATACCATTACGGTCCCATTACCCCCCCCCCCATACCACTCGACAACATTTAGACACATTAAATGTGCCTCAAATAGTGTCTTTTTAGACCTTAGCCTATGAAATTTGTCATAAAGTGAAGTCTTATACCTAATAAAAAATCTCTAGATGAACTCCTGGATTTGAAAACCCATTGAATTTCCTTGATTTAAATTAAAATATTTTCACTCAAATTCATCTCAAAACTTTTATATTTTTCACTTAATGTTTTAAGTTTACTTAAATGCTACACTGTACACTTTCTGAGAAACTACCTTATAGAAGAAATAAATGAACCAGTACCTAGCTCAACTACTTCTTTTTAGTTATAAAGATTAATCTTTGTCGTTGTTTCCAGGTGGTATTTAAAGCTTAAATGCGCCAACTGCGGAGAAGTTCCGGATCATTTTCAATACATTACAAGATCAGAGAACCAACCTCTCAAGGTAGGATAGGATATCAAACTTCATTATTTATCATTTATTATTTATTATTTATTTATTATTAAATGATGTTAGGTAATTTCCCAAAGGCATTTTCCCAAGGGCGACTTCCCAAGTGACAACTTCCCCAAAGGTTATGTTAGGCCACAGGCTCTATTGGGGGCCGAGCGCTGCGACTAGAACAGGCTAAGGGGCGGAACGCTGCAGCTAGAACAGACTTGGGAAGTTGCTACTTAGGAAAATACCCTTGGAAAAATACCCTTGCGAAGTTGCAGCTTGGGAAAAGGCCTTTGGGTTAACATCTATTTAATAATATCTTACTCATAGGCATAACAAAAACGTAATGGGGGCCTACTATATAAAGGTCTTGTTTTTGAGTAATTTATAGGTATGAGAAATCAGCATTATTTCTTTTTATCAACCTAAATGGAAGTGAAAAAAGTACCCAGTAACAGCCATTTCTAGTACTCTTTAAACCTTAACCTTATATTTAATGGCGAAGAACTAAGTTGATTTTATTTTGAAAATCTAAAATCTGTCATTTCGTTCGTTCGTTCGTTATGGAATTTTGTTAGTCAGTTTCAGCACCAAATATATGCGAACGAAAATAGTCACTTTAGAGAGGGATACATTGATGCGTATCAATTAGGATAAGTGGTACTACTCTTTATATCTCTCTTTAAATGGAATGACCGGCTATGTAAGGTAGTTGAACTGAGTATGCAGTGTTGTGGAAAGCTTCTTTCGGATTCATTTGAGACATATTAAACGTTTTAAAGATCTGTAAATCCTGAGTTTGAGCGCAAATTCGATGTTCAAAACTCCTACTTTGGGGGTGGATACGTTTTCAGAATTAGTTTTTTTTTAAATTATTAAATAACGTCGACATAAAATGTAAAAAAGATCTACAATAAAATACAGACGTCATGTATAGGAACATGTTGAGAAAATAAAAATTTATCTTTTTCTCGAAAATAAGTAATCTTGTTCAATTATTAGTTTCTATTATCTCATTATTCTGGTTCCTCATTATTCACAAAGATTTTCGCAGATTTTCTAGAATTATTATTGAAAAGACGACATTTAAAGAATTTGATGAAATCTGCGAATAAATTCAAAGAAAATTAGAAATTCAATATAAAAATGAAAACGAAATAATCGATTTTAGCATTGATTTATTGACAAATTTCTTTTGAGAAATATGTTCCTAACCATCTAATTAGACTACTGTATAATTCTTACTTTATTTTTCGTTGTCGTTATTTAATAATTAAAAAAAAAGCTAATTCTGAAAACGTATCCACCCCCAAAGTAGGAGTTTTGAACGTCGAATTTCCCCTTAACTCAGGATTTGCAGATCTTTAAAAAGTTTAATATGTCTCAAATGAATCCGAAAGAAACTTTCCACAACACTGCATACTCAGTTCAACTATCTTACATAGCCGGTCACTCCCTTTAAATGGAGGGCCGTCTTAACATTCATGATCAATCCCATGTAGTCTCAGATCCTATATTAATATTGTTCAGGGTGGTAGAGGAGAAGCAAGCTGTGTTATAAAATGTAAACTATGCACTAGGGAAAACTCAATTGATATCCAAGGTAAGATGTTCTATGCTTCTAGTTGTAGCTAGAAAACAGAAAGAGAATGTTAAGAAACTAAAAAGATTATATTTCGTAACAAAAAACATTCGTATTCCCGTCGGAGGGCTAACTATGCCAACTCCCAGGGCGCGCTCAGACTTTTTTCAATACCCGGCCTAAAATTATCACAATGCGTTTACTTAAATCAACGGAAATAAAAATATAAGTTTAGATTGAAAAATTGATCGTGAAAGAATCAATAACATTGAATACCTAGACCTCTTTGGACACCCTTCTACTTCATTTATTTACTTAACCCTGTTGGCAGTTTTGGTCACCCAAATTGAAGTGGATTAAGAAAAAATGTATTGATTGATTGATTGATAAATGTTTTGAATCTAGAGGATAGCCTGGCAAGCTACAACCAGGAGGATAACAACAAGTTTAAAACCATAGTTGTGTTTGACTGCCGTGGGATGGAACCCGTTGAGTTCTCTCCAAGGAACGGTTGGAAGGTATTTTTGAAAAAAATTGAAACTAAAGATTATTTGTTTTCACATTGATATGTTAAATGTTCATGCTTTTCCCCATTTAACAACTATTTCCACCATAGGAAGAATTCTTTCACTTAATATAAATAAAGTCTATTTCCTAAATTAAGTCTCATTTATTAATCCTTTTTTAGTGTGTAGTGGTTTCCAAGGTTTCCAAATACAAATCAGTAATTATTAACTTATGAAATAAGATCTAAAAAAGAAAGTACACAAATGGAATCGGATTCAGCCTGTAGAATATAGATATTTCTCAAAGATTTGTTATTTCTTCTGATCCTAAACTTACTAGTTTCTTAATTCAAATTAGAGCTGGGATGTATATGTATAGTATTCACCCGTCTACAGGCAGATGATGAAAATTATTTCTAGGGCTGACTACAAAAGTAGATCTAAAATCAATTGAAGATTTGTTATTTCTTATACCATAAACAAAGCAGTCTTTGTCACAAACTATGATTTTCTAATTTCTATATCTTTGCATTCCCATGCCGTAGACCTTAGATATTTCAAAATGTTTATTCTGATAGATCAAAAGTTTGAGTTTGTGTCAAAGGCTCAATTCCTGTCCTGTTATGTATTAATCTTCTCAAGGTTTGCGGGTATACTGAGGACGAGGAGGGAGAAGGACGACTCACTGGAACTGAGTTCTCTGATGTTGATCTAACTGAGCTTGAATGGGCAGATTATGACGAGAAGTCAAATCAGTCAACCGTCATCTCAGGAAACTTAGCATTAAATATTAAACACTATTAAATATTAAACACTATTAAAAGGACTAAAGACGCTTAATTAAAAGTGACCCAATATTTAACACCGAATCCTTTCAAACATCTTTCTGAGTTACAAAGTCTTGAAAAGTGTAAATTTCTTTCTATTTCCTTCATTTTAAAACGCAAGTTACTTTTATAGAGAAACCACGGTTAAAAATAAGCATTTTTCGAAATGTCTTCTTTTATAACTAATCTATTCTTACTCAGGCAAAGCTTTAAAGGATACCGTTTTAAATCGGACATGCCACTCTATACAAAGGGTATCATGCAATCACGTCTAACGTCCCTTTAAATTCGTGTTATTTAAATCGTCCTTTTTTTACTGATCAAGATTTAATGTTAGTTTGTTATTAGAATTCCAGTCTCAGTTTGTAACCGTGAAGTCAAAATGAATAAATCTGCCAGTGTGATTTTTGTGATATACCTAATATAACCTTTAACGCTGTTTTATTTGCATCTTTTTCCAGATGCCCAAGCACAAAAGTAAGAGTAAAAATGGTGTCGCTAGTAAGAAGAGTAAAATTGCTGATCCTTGCAACCTTAATCCGGATCTTGTAAAGAACAAAGATAATTATGAAAACTTATTTTCAAAACAAGAAAAATTCGAGGATTCCTGCCTCACCGTAACTAACCATCCCTTTAATTGCTGTCAGATGAAAAATATCCTGGAACCCGAGTTCCTGGAGAAATTAAACCACGAACTGAAGGGTCTTGAGCTTAAGGAGAAGAATAATGATCTTTATAAGTTTCATCAATCTGGAGAATTGAACAAGGTTCAGCTCCCTGCCTTGCAAGGGTTCAAGAATATGCTCCTGGAACAGCTTAAACCTATAATATCCCAGGTAGATCTGAAAGGGACTTTAAGCTCGATGCAAAGAGGGCAATGCCCGATTTACAACGGTACCCTTTAAACATGTTTGTGTACGTCGACTGTTGAGTTACGTATAGTCTGAACTCAACACAGCGTACACTTGAATTTGCAGCTGAATACAGGCAAATTATATCACTCATATCTCTGTACTCCACGAACACTTTCAAGGTTTCAAGGGTACCGTTGTAAATCGGGCATTGCCCTTTTTTATGGAAGGTCTCTTGAAATTACGCCTACAGTCTCTTTTTCAACATAAAAGATTATTCGAATCGGCTCGAGCTATTTTAAGTAAATGCAATTCATGAAGATAATGAAATTTGTTGTTCACTATTCCACAATCCATATATCCATTATATGATTATGTTGACTATTACATAATCGAGTATATGATTATATTAGATTTGAAAACCATATTTAGAATTTAGAATTTTCTTTTTCGTTTAATAAGAATTGCATTTTTTAATATTAATGGTTTTAATTTTCTTAGATAACCGGAGCAGAGCTGGATGACCGGCTAGCTCTGTTCTATGCACAGTATCAGCAAACAGACTACTTACTCTGTCATGACGACGAGCTGGAGGGGAGAAGGGTCGCGTTTATCCTTTATCTAGTCCCGGAGGACTGGTCGGAGAAGGACGGAGGACTCTTGGAGCTTTTCAACACTGGGGAGAATTATTATTTTCCTTAACTAATTTCAACGTGAATTTTAAAGATCATAATAAATAGTATTCAAAAATATTTAGTCAGTAAAAAATAATTCTGTTTGCTAAAGATGAGACGGGGAATCCCTCGGATATAAGTGTGAAAATGGTTCCTAAGAATAATTCTCTCGTCTTCTTCGACGTATCTCCGATCTCATTTCACCAGGTCGGAGAAGTTCTCACGGATAGAACAAGACTCTCCATAGGTAGGTTATACTGGAGTTTCAGATATGTAGATACATTATTTTACATTTCAATGTTCTTCAAGTCCTAAAATGACTGTCGACGTAATTTCATACTGGCGGCGATTAAACATTTATAAAGTAGCAATAAGGAGAATATCGTCGCCTTCTTATCTTGAAAGTAGATCAAGTCTGAAACTATGTCAATTGCCTCGCTTTCTTTGTGGCATGAATCCGTAACTGCAACTGAAAATTAACAATTTTTAAAACAGAAAAACATGGATATCTCTATAATTATAACAGAAGAAAATTAAAAAAATTACCCGAGGTTCTTTAACTTCCAGAAAATGAAGGAACGGTTGAGAATTTACAAATTTTTTTTAATACAATATTAATCAGTCAACCTACATGGAAATTAAATTTTTTAAATAAATAGGTGGATGGTTTCATGGAGATAGTTTACCTAGACCTGAGAAACCAGTTCTTACTCAAGACCTTGGCCAGACCTATGAAGATATCACGTAGGATAAAACTTTTAAACTAAAATTGGTTTGATTTTAGTTCCTATCAAGTATCTTTGCTAAGCTGCTGAACTTATTAGTTTTTATTTATTTATTTCATCTTCTCTGAACTTAAAAAATGTTTGACACAGAAACTTTTGTTGAGCATTTTTTTCACGTAAAATTATGTAATTCTTTTACAGTTCTTATATCAAAACACTTATAAAAGAATGGTTGCAAATCTTTACTGCACTAATATAATTTCATACAGTCGTCGTCGTCGTATATCAATACAATAAAAACTTGATTTTTTATTCCTACGAAGCTTTTAAGCAGCATGGATACACATAAACTGATAATTAACAGCTTCTCTTTTTATGTTTATAAACTTGTAATTCGAAAAAAACTTGTTGGACATCAAAACTTTATTTAATAAAAAAGTTTGCTTCATTTAATAAACGCCGACCACTGTATTATGATAAAAATATGTTAGTTTTGGTGTTTTCTAGTGAGGAGTTGTTTTTCTCCATGATTAATCCTATCTACCTCAACCCTGTCACACAGTCAGAAATTCAGGAGAAATTTGAACAGAGTTCAGAGATCAGTCTCCCGGAGTTCATTCAACCTCAGAGGTTCAGTGCTATCTCCGATGAGCTGAAGAATCTCCAGGGTTGGAAGCAGGAGGGGCCTCCGAACAGGTATTTTATCTTTGATATTTTTGTTCTTAATGAGAATCTTCGAAGGAACTCTCAGCATAATTTTATATTTTAAGGGTGCCATAAACGATTCACTACGGTGTCAATTTACCTTAATCAGTTGAATTGAAAATCTTCTTTTACTTTTTCTTCAAGACAGCGACCGGTGGATTTCTTTTGTGAAAAAGTGCATGAAAATAAGATTTTTTTTTATTAAAAGCAAACATTAGATATTAGATAGTTCACTTTTATTCCAATCCTAGGAGGAATTTAAAGAGCATATCAAACTACAGAGAAGATAATGAGGTTGGGAACATATTTAACTTGATGAGCTCCGAACCATTCTTCCTCCTTCTCTCCAACCTGACCGGTCTCAGACTACACAATCTCGCTCCAGAGGACAGCGACAAGTAATTTGGATTTATTACCAACTATATAATTAAAAACTGGAAACTGAAATGATAAACTATTTGGATAAAATGAAAGATAAAATTTTTTTTCAAAATTGTAAAAAATTGTAAAACTAGAAAAGTGGGAATTAGTTTTAGGGGGTATGGATCAAAAAATGTTCATTAAATTAATTTGGATTTTTTATACAGAGAAGAAGAAAAAACAGGAGATGGATTAGAACAAGAAATCTCTCCTAAATGGAAAGGAAAAATAAGAAAATGGAGTCAGGTATTTGATTCGGTTTGGTTTTACTTCAACCTTGAAATCTGCCAAACTACGCTAAACTGAACATATGAGTTAAAACAATTATTTCTGTCAAGTTTTTAAAGTAAGAAAATTGATTAATTATTTTAACTAACAATTTTTTCTTTGACTAGGGCAACTACACACTGGTTCGTGACGATGATCTAGGACAGGCTGAATATGCCCTGGATGCAAGACTATGCTTTAATTTGGCCTCCTGGGATCCGCAGATAGGAGGCCAAACTATTTATATTGCTAGGTAGATAGAGATATTACATACCAGAAAAGTGTCTCCCTCCCAAGATGATTTGAAGTTTAAAAAAAAAATCATTTCAATAATTCATGTGACGAGCTAAGGATAGGGTTAATTGGCACAGTTCAAGAGACACTAAAAACATCCTAAAAAACTGTAGACCTTAGAATTATTTTTAGTAATCAAACGTTATATTTTACAAAATTTGAGGCTAGTGCTTTTTGTAATGTCTAAGATATGCCAATTGAAAAATCGTTGTTATCCCCCCCCCCCCTAAAGATCTTAGTCCTCCCCTAGATGTAAAAAAACCCTTCCCTTTGATATATAATTTATTAATTTTTCCCCTCCGCTAGTGCAGGGGGGGGGGGTACACATTTGGATAGATTATACATTCCAGACACAGAATTTATTCTGGATACATTTAGGGCTCCATCTTTCAGTCCAAGCATGTCTCAGACATAGTCTGTGATCTATCTGACGAATGCTTACATTCTCCATCAATTACGAAAACCAATTTGCCAAACTCCTTTTACTATTTCCAATTTTATATTTTTCTGTAGCAAATTCTTGTCGACGCCTATTTTAAACAACGTTCTCTTTAATAAAATTGTCCATTAAAATTGGTAAAATTAGATTTTAATCCGATGAAATAATGTGTTTGTCTGTTCAGAGGCGAGGATGAGGAACTTGTTACTGTGGAACCAGAGAACAATTCTCTTAACCTAGTTTTCAGGTACAGGGTGTCCCAATAAACATGTAAATCAAGAGATGACTACAGGGTGTCCCAATAAACATGTAAATCAAGAGATTAATTTAAAATCGTCTTAGATTTTCAATAGATGAGTTTATCAAGCAAATGTGTAATGTATAATTATATATGTTTAATTAGATTTCCAATTATGATTTTATTTGATAAATTGGGCGTTGTCTGGCCAAGTTACTTAACAATAATATAATTGTTTTAATATTAAGTGCTTTTAGTAGATTTATTCGAAACGTGTAATTGTAAACATTGTAAGACTGAAGAATTATTGTTTTCCAATGCACGAATATTTCCATCTAATACTATTTAAATCTCCAATTTTCCTCCTGCTCTATTCTTATTCTAAAATCATTATTTACTTCTCTACTTTTCTGCTTAAAGAGCTATACGCGAATTTTTTAAGTAACCCTACATGCAAAGAGGGCAATGCCCGATTTACAACGGTACCCTTTAAACCTTTGTCTATTTTCCGAGGACATAGATCTCTGTGCTTAAATCTATCGAAACTGTTTGAATTCCTATAAACCATGGAACAACTATTTGATCCATGTGTAAAACCCAGTGTACGCTGTGTACAGTGAGAATTCAGCGCAGCCTACCCGTTACTTGGGCCCCAAAGGAAAATATTGATGTTCTACCACGCCTAGAAATTGAATATTAAAACTTTTAATACATAGAATAGGTTGCAAAGAAAGTGTTTAACAATTAAAAGCATTTCTGTGTAGATCACTTTAATGTTTATAGGGTACTGTTGTAAATCGAACACACCCCTTTGAATTAATTTTAGTACTGTTAATAATATTAATATTTAGGGACAAGGAGAGTATGCGGTTCGTTAAGCATGTGAATTCTCGTATTGCGGAGAATAATGGACCTTTTCATGATTTAGAGTTTACATATTATGAATAGCCTGGGCTATAAATAAATTTTATTCTTTTTTCTATTCAATTTAATCACAGTTTATTATTTAGATTTAGAATGAGCTATATAATTATACAATGTCCAAAAATGTGTTTCAGAATTTAGTTTTCTCTGGTAAATCTTTTAAGTACGGAAGTCGAGTCTCGATGAGTTACTGTAATTTCGCTAGGATGTCTCTACATATAATCTTACATCATCCATGCGACTTCCTCTCTACTGAATTTCTGACCAACTAACTTTCGGACCTACCGCAATATCCGATATACCACAGCTGTAGGTCGGAAGATTATATCTCTAAATTATTCCGAAATATACAGCAATGATCCTTAAATGACATGATAACCTTGAAATTTACGTTATTCAGATGCACACCTCTGTAGCTCGGATTTGCGCAGGCGAATGATACAATAATGTCACATTATATCCTGGCATCGTCCGATGGGTGACATCTTCCTCCTTCGGTCGAATATATACTATACAAACAGGGTTACCCACAAAAAAGCGGCTCTCAAGACGACTAAAATATTTAATATATTATAATCGATAATTAAAATCCAGGTGTCGTATCGTTTAAACTAATGATCGATCGGACTAACGTACATTCGCACTTTGCTTTAACCAACTTAAAATATATTCCCAACTGACCTAAAATATATTAATAACCGACCTAAATATATTTTCAATCTTCAGGTCAGTTTGGGATATTTCGCTAATCGAATCTACGGATTTTTAGGTCGGAAAAACGTTAGGTCCGATGAGCAAGTACCCTTAATTGTTTTGTGAAGAAAAAGCTTGTTTTCAAATGCGTGGAGATGAATGAATGTAAGAGAAAGAACTCTTATTACGTACAGTCGTCTTTGAAGTCTCATCCTTTATGGGTAACCTAGTATCCTCTAATAACCATGTAAATATTTAATTACAGGGTGTCCCACGAAACATGACATTTTATTTGTCATGTTTCGTGGGACACCCTGTATATCGATAATTAAAATCCAACCGGCGTCGTCTTTGTTTCCTAGTTAAATTGTTTAAAATTGGCGCGCTTGGTTTGTATTTAAAGGGCCAAACCAAACATTGATTCCGGTGCAGCAAATTTTGTGATAATCTTTTTGCATGACTAATAAGTAATAGCATGGAATAGCAAATATTAGAAATTAATATTTTACTTCGAATTTGAAGAATGCTTTTGTGTGACTTGTGTGTGGGGATGTTAAAGGTTTTGTCATTTTTTTTGTAGCGTAGTTCCTTTGTTTGAAAAAGTGCGTAATTACAGATAGAATGGATTACGATCACGGAATGATGGATCAGCAGCAGGAGAGAGGAGCAGGAGGACCTCCGTACAAGAAACCTCGCGGAGACAACAACGGCTCCATGAATAATGGTGGTGTAATGGATCATCTTCTTGAACGAGGAGATGAGAAGATTCCTCCAAACCATATTCTTCTCTTCACAATCTTCAATGCAAAGTTCACAATCAATGTTGAAGTTATCTACAAGGTTTGCTCTATTGTCGGGAAGGTTAAGAAGATTGTCTGCTTCGAGAGAATGAATATTAGCCAGGCTATGGTTGAGTTTGAAACTCTTGAATCCGCAAGTAAAGCGAGATCTAGCCTGCATGGTTGTGATATCTACAACAATTGTTGCACTATGAAGGTTGAGTACAGTAAACTAGAAACCCTGAATGTCCGAGCCAACAACGAGATGAACTGGGATTTCGACGACGGAGCTGACTATGAAGGGAAGAGGCCGGTTATCCTCAATTCTCCGGATTATGGTAGTTATGGAGGATATAGTGGGGGTATGGGAGCTTCTAGTATGGGAAGTGCCGGGAGCATGGGAGGCAATATGGGACATACAGGTGGTATGGGTGGTGGGAACATGGGTGGTGGTAATATGGGAGCTAGTAATTTGGGAGGTGGTAGCATGGGAGGCAATCAGAATAAGATGGGTATGGGAGGTATGGCCGACATGGGGGGTGTTACTGGAAGCGGTTATGGTTATGGAATGGCTCAAGGTATGGATCAAAGATCCTGTGTAATGCTGGTGTATGGTCTTGAACCCCCGAAATGGAATTGTGACAAGCTGTTCAACCTGCTCTGCCAGTATGGAAATGTTAACAAAGTCTTCTTCATGAAGAACAAACCCAACACCGCCATGGTGGAGATGGGAACTCCGGAGGGAGTGGATAACGTCACTAGAAACCTGCACGACCTCTTCGTGTTCGGAGAGAAATTGAGGTTCGACGTCTCTAAGAAACATTTGCGGATTGAAAACCGACCCTTGGAGTTCCAACTGGAGGACGGGAGCTCATCCGTGAAGGAGTTCTACAACGAAAGAAACATGAATAGGTTTATGACCCCTGACATGGCGCGTAAGAACAGAATTATTCATCCCAGCAAGGTTTTGCATTTTTTCAACATTCTCAAGACCGACGACTCCGTCCTGGAGAATCTGTTCACAAAGGTTGGAGCAACTGTTCCAATCCAGATTAAATGGGTTCCAGCTAAGAACGAAGCTAAGCAGCAGGGTGTTGGTCTCATGTACTTCAACACCACCGAGGAGGCAACGGAGGGATTAATTCTGGTGAACCATCAGCAGGTTGATACAAGGAACATCAAGCTCTGCTATTCACCTGCCAAGTACTAGATAAAAAAGGTAAAATTTAATTTTTAATTAAAAAGATAATTTATTAATTAGGCAACCCCGTTATTTTACCAAATAGATTTGAAGTTAGCTAACAGGACTGTTAGATTGAGGATACTAATTTGGATTTACAGTCAGAGCCTAAATCTGTTTATCTACTCGACATCTTTTTCTTTATTAAAAAGTTTTCTAGTTCAATTTTGAGGATATCTTAATTAATCTTTTCAAACCAGCAATCTGTAAATCTCAGTGCCGTTTCTCTTTTTTCTCTTATTTTTATTCTAACTTATCTTATTAACCGGATTTTTATTTCTTTAATGTCCAGGGTTTTTATAGATAAATCTTTCACATTTGATCTTTGTTCTTCTATACTCAATAAACTTGAATCTGTTATTTTAGGATTATTTCTGGACTCGAAACAATTTAAATTTCTATCCATTTAGGTTTCTGTACTCTGTTCTGTATCTCTGTTTCTACCTGAACTATCTTCCAAATTGATCAAATCTAAACCTCAAATATATCCTTTAGATCAACTGATCAGATATTCCGAATAAGACAAACTCTGATCATATCTTTTCTGATCTAAAATACTTCTCTGAACCATCTTCGAGTTGGATTATATCGGAGATAATATTACACAAAGTCTCTCTATCTATGAGTAGTAAGTATTAGATTGTTCTGTGGTGTTGACTAGTAACCTACTCCTGTACGTCAGCTCTTTACTCAAACCTTTCTAATATATAGAACTAGAAAATCTTGTTTATCATCACATCTAACTAAAAGAATCTGGGATTCATAAATTCTCGATCATACCGAACCATCACGTTTTCTGAACAGAGCTGTTTTTTTTTTCTTAAACTTCTTGTATCTGAAAATTAAATTTTTGTATCTCCCGACCCTAATACACCTGGGAGCTCTAACATGTTCTTCATATGAATTACCAGGACATGATAGTGTAGATCAATTTGATCGCATTCATAAAATTCAACATTTTTCAGATAATTCTTTTTTGAAAAATGAGCGGAGACGCAGGATCGCTAAAACGAAGTATAGAGGGATGGAGAGAGATCGTTATTCTCACGGACTCAGTCCTCTCATGGGAAAAGGTTTGTTTAATTCTTGGTCTTGCTTCCAGGCCTACTCACACCATAGGGTTAAATGGTGTCATAAACGATAGTTAAAAATTGTTATTTAACTTACAGGCTTTTTAGTTTTTACTTTTCATAAACATTCCCCTGAATTTTCAAAATTTATTTGCTTAAACGGTTGAAATTTACAAAAACAGACGAGAAAGATTTACCTATCTCTTTAATGCCGTTTTTTTTTTTCATTGTTCTCAGAAATGTTTTAATTTAGCGGTTTTGTTAAATTAACTAGATTTTTTATAGAAGATAAATGCCCATAAACATCTTTGAATTAAAGATTGATTATAATAAATAGGAGTGGTATCCTGCTGTTACATCAGGAACCTTAAGCGTTTTCTTCCTTATCATCTGGACTCAGGTTGGTGTCATCTTTCTGAAATTCATGGGGGGGGGGGGGTATTAAGTATTGATTTTTGGTTTTCTTTTCAAACCTAGAGTTTAAACAGGTATATATCCCTGTCTCTTTTTTTATACCGTGTGTACCAGGTAGCGCAAACTTGCTTTTAATTATTGTTTATCCGCTGGCAGTCCTTTATAGATATAATTGTATCCAGGATCCGAATATGCTGACCCTGCTGTCTATGATTGGCCTGCTGGTCACCCTGCTGGACTACGCGGTCCCAAGGATACAGGCTAAACTGTTCCCGGAGAACTCCTGGAGTCCGGAGAAGGAGAGGAAACTAGAAAATATCTGCCAGGAGCTGGTAAATTCTTTTTTCATTTAAAGCTCATTTTTAAAATATATTTTTATTACTTAGTTTCACTCTTCCGAGTTAATCGATGAAAATCTAGCAACTTGCAGTATTTTTTCCGAGTAATTGATACTAAATGGATAATTTTCTCATTTTATATTCATCACAAATCTAAAATGTGCTCTAATTTGATCCAGCAAAAACGGTTATTTTTTCTCCTAGATGTTTGTGCGAACTGGCCTAGGACGGGTTTGTGAGCGTATCTCCGTGTTCAAGGAGAGCTCACCTCTCATGTATCTCTCCGGAGTAGTGGTCTCCTTGTACCTTGTATCCTACCTCGGAGCACTCTTCTCTGGATTCTTCGTGTCCTACCTCTTCCTCATCACCCTCTGCATGTTGCCCGGACTCTACAGGTACATCATCTCTTCATCTTCTACTGTCTGTTCATCTATGTTCAGTTCTTCGTCTTCAATCTTTGTCGATTAAATATTGAATTTCAATTAAGTAAATAAGAAGGGTTTATATTTAGTAGAATTACCTCTACCGTGCACTTGAGGGAGGGAGGGGGGGGGGGGTTATTTTAAAGTTTTTGAACAAAATATTTCCATTTTCAATACTTAACCTAAAAATTCATTTATTTGACTTATTCAGCTAGAAAAAAACTTTATCATGGATAAGCTAACTTTCTATTAAATTGTAATTTCTTGGCAAAATTTGAACACATGAATGTTTAATTCATATAAAAAGAAATAAGACGTTTTACCCCAATTTCAAGCATTGAAATTAAATAATGATGTTATCCAGGCGTGGACTTCTTGCTAAATACTGTGGTGGGATCATCCTCAAGATTGGAGAGTTTGTAAAAGCTAAGAAGTTGGAGTAGAGCAGAGAACCACGGAATGAGTTCAGAAACTCAAGTAGAATCTTTAGTAGAGCTCAGAATCCATCAATGATAAATTAATCTAGTTATATATCGTACAAATTAAGCTTAGTGTAGGTATCCAAGGGCGATACCAGAGCTGGGAATTTTTAAATGGATTGATAAGTTTAATTCATTCTCTCCTCATAGGTTAATTATTTATCTCTCTCTGGTTGACAAATGAAAGATTAGTTATTCTTCCCGCGAGTAGAGGTGTTAAAATTACTCGTTCATTTAAAAGTTCCCCTCTAACCATAATGATCTCATATTACTGTAATAATCTAATCATATTCTATTCCACTTAATCCATTGACAGAGTTTAATCTTTCATTTTATGATTCCAGTGAAAAAATATTATGCCAAATATCATTTATTTTATAATCATTTTTCGGTGTATAAAGTGTAAATAAAAGTTTTGTGACGTCATCCATGTTCTAAATATTAATATTTCAGATAAAATGTCGGACCGAGATAAGTACCGACTGGTTTTCAAGCAATCCAAGGCTGTTGTCAAAGACTGGGAGGCGGGCTTCTTCGCTGAGAACCAGCGGAAACCCACCAGGAAGGAGATCAGCTCAGCTCCGGAGAAGGTTCTAGTCTCTTACAAAAATTGTAAAAAGATAAAACTTTATTTTGAGAAAGAAGAGTTAAAACGTAGTTCAGAGAAGAAAAGAGAAGCCGAGAAGAAAAGAGAAGAGGAAATTGTTTTGACCAACGCTGAGGGAGACTCAGAGTCTAAAGGGGACGCGAATCTTAGTTTTTCAGGGATATTTCCTAAGAACGATACTGGAGGAGGGGGTGGCGCTAGTTCTGCCTGCACGGATATTTCTAATCTAAAAACGGTTTGGGGTCAACATCTTAATAAGAAGGTTGAAACCCGGGAGGTTTCGAACCATGCGATCTTAGGGAAACTATCCTTCTCCGAAACCAGCACAACCCGCTCTAGTATCAAGAGACGAGGTAGGTTAGGGAACAAGTCTCAGTCTTTCTTCGGTTCTCTGGGAGATGATTCAACCTTACTTGGAGATCTCTCCCAATCTTCATTTCTAGATGATACGCAAACTAGCTTTAATTTGGAGAAAACTGTATCCGAGCCTAGCTCTATCCTTCCTACAACAGAAACCTTGAACAGTGAGGAAACCATGTCTCTAGATATTTTTCCAGATGTTCAATCGCATGTTTCCGTAGCTCCGGGTTCACGTGCAGCAGCTAGACCTGCCGCAAGTAGTTCTAGACACCTGGATACAGGATGGTTGGAAAGATGTGTAGAGATTGAAAAAGATTCTCCCGCACTTCCTCAACCCACAACTGTTCCGCTAACTTGTCTTATTTCTGAGATACCTTCAGAAGATCAACCTAAACCTAGAACATCAAACAAACCTAGAACCACAGAAAAGGATCCGGATACTGATAAATCCAAAATAATTTCCGAATCCAAAGTTATTTCCGAACCTACAACCTTCAAAGGAATTTTGTCAGATGTCTCTGCTTCCCACACAGGTTAATGATTTTTTCTCTTACGCTTAAAAGGAATTTTAATTCTAGTATGAAAAATACTCATATTTTTTCTATAAAAAACGGCCCTTAGTATTATAATTGAAATACATATATTAAAACAGTGAAATAAATCATAATTTTTTAAGATGCATAAAATTGTTTTTAAAATTCAATTTATAACTATTTAACTTTTCAGAACCAGATCTCCCAACTGTAAAACGTGCAAAACCCAGATCTTCTAATGCTAATAGAACAGAAGAGTCTAAACTAGTTACCATTTCTGCCGTTCAGAAAATTAATCCTATCATTTCTCCTGTTAAGAAATCTAAACCTATCAAAAAAACTAAACCTTCCAAAGAACCTGGCCCTGTTGAAATCTCTGAAGCTGAAGGAAAAGGAAAACCTTCCAAGAAACCAAAACCTAGAGGAAAACGAAAGAGGCCTTCTACCGATGACGAATTTGACCCAATAAATGATCCTGAACCTAAACCATCCAAAGAACCAGCATCAGCTAAACCCGCAAGACGGAAACCGGCAAAGAGAAGTAAAACTGAGGTGAGCGAAGAAGAATTATCAAACCCTACTCCGGAGACAGAGGACGGACCAACCTCGCTAAACCTGTTTGCTCTCGGGTTTGAAGAAACAATGGAGAAACCTGTTATAAAAATGAAAGTTTTAATGACTCAGGAGCAAAGGTTAGCCAGTAATGTTGCGTCGGGACGTGCGAATGAGAACTATAAGAAGATTGATCTGAAAAAGAAGTCCTACAGTAAAGGGAAGCGTACCGGAGAATTTCTCAAGAAAATGGATTACAAGAGAAAACTAGCACATAAGGTGTGGTTAATTATTTTTTCACTTTTTCTAAATAACGAAAGTTTTTAAAATCTGTTTTGTGTTTTTCAGTAGTTCTTCAACATACTTGTTTTCTAGGAAGGACGAAGTATAAAGGAGTATAAGTGCTACCAATGTGGAGAGCTAGGACACTTCTCAAGGCAGTGCACAGGAGGAGCTGGGGACAAACTAATCCCCCAGGTATTCATCTTATGTCCTTATACTGGAAATTCAGAGTTTTTCAGCTGTACATTGTAATACTTAACATTTCGCGGATTTTTCTGTTTTCATTAATGTATTTTTAAAACGACATTTTTTCTAGGAAAGTTTTTAAATTGAAATCGGCCCTAAAACTTTCCTGGGTTCATGTGAATTTGATCCTGATCGGTTGAGCCGTTTTGACGTTTATTGGTTGCAACAGGCGGATAATGATAGAACCTATAGATTTGTTCAAAAAAGACAAATGCTGAATTAGTCGTATTCATTATAAAATGTTAATAAACAAATCAAAAACAAATTCAAAGAAAGATGATCTTCGACACTAAAACCAATAAAATTCTCAAATAACCTTTGTTAATACGAAAGTTTCTTGTCAGTTTAGTGATCTTAAATACAAGATTAAAATAAAAAAACACTTTTTTAGGAAATGGCCGAAGATTTTGCCGTAGAAGAATTTCCCAGTCTTGAAGATGCAAAGAATATGGCTTTAAGCTCAACCAACTCTAAGAATTGTCAGAAAGTATTTACTAAGTCTGAAGATTCAGCTGTCTCGAATTATATCAACCTCGAGGACGATGAAGAGGATTTACTGGAAGCCGTCAGACAATACGAACTATCGGAGGCAACACCAGAGATCCAACTCACAACTAAGCCCTACCTTGAGTCGGAGAAGTTTGACAATAACCTGATCTACGAAACTCTGAAAAAGTTCGGCTACGACAATTTCCGTCCTGGACAGGAGGAAGGAATCATGAGGATTCTCCGAGGGGAATCAAGTTTGGTTCTCCTCGCAACAGGTTCTGGTAAATCCTTGATTTATCAGCTCCCAGCTTATCTTTATGCGGAGAAATATAATTCTATAACTATAGTAGTATCTCCGCTAGTCTCCCTGATGGAGGATCAGGTTACTGGTCTCCCTCCCTTCCTTCGAGCTGCAGCTCTACATTATAATCTCACACCAAAGATGAAGGAGAAGGTTGTAGAGCAGGTGAAGAGTGGAAAACTTCATTTCCTTCTTGTATCTCCGGAATCTGTGGCTGGAGGAGGAGGAATGTTTGGTTCCTTAATACAATATCTTCCTCCTATTGCGTTTGTTTGTATTGATGAAGCACATTGTGTCTCTCAATGGTCTCACAACTTCAGACCAAGTTATCTTAGGTAAGCTACACTTCGGCATGGATAGATGAATCTCAATTCTTAGTAAAATCAAACACTGATATCGTTTTTGTTTTGTTTTGTTTTAGTAATTTTTTTAACAACTTTTTCTTAATTAATCTCCATTTCCATCTTGTTAGCGGATAGTTTAATTTTAACCTCTTGTATGTATAGTTAAGCCTTTAGCAATCCCTGCTTCTCGTAATTTGATTGATTATTGAAATACCCAAATGTTTAACCTTTTATATGTTTAGGTTAAGTAAAGTTATAAGAGAGAAGCTAGGCGTTAAAACTATCCTTGGACTTACTGCTACAGCTCCGGAGAGAATGATTAGCAGTGTCGCTGAGCAGTTGGGAGTCCCGGAGAACGGAGTCATCAGAGGACCTCTTCTTCCAAATAACCTCACTCTGTCAGTATCTAGAGACGGGGAGAGAGATGTTGCTTTACTCTCTATGCTCTCGGAGGATGGTGCTCTAGGTGAATGTGATAGTGTTATTGTGTACTGTACCCGGAGAGAGGAGTGTGAGCGGATAGCGACATTTCTCCGAACCAAACTCCAAGAGAGGGATATAATGCTGTCAGAAAGACGGGCCAATAAAGTGAGAATGAGTGCTACATCGGAACCCTACCACGCTGGGATGACGCCAAGTCGGAGAAGAACCGTTCAAAACCACTTCATGTCAGGCAAACTCAGAATTGTAGTTGCTACAGTTGCATTTGGGATGGGGATAGATAAATCTGATATCCGTGCTATAGTTCACTACAACATGCCGAAAACATTTGAATCCTATATCCAGGAGATAGGACGAGCTGGAAGGGATGGATTGCCGGCAAGATGTCATCTCTTCCTTGGAACGGAGGGAAAAGATCTTTCTGAGTTGAAAAGACACATTTACTCCAACTCGATAGATCGTCATACGCTTAGAAAATTACTTCATTTGATATTTGAAGTATCAGATGAAAGTGAAAACTCATCTGTTGATTATAAAGAGGTTGCTCTGTCTGTAGATACAACTATAGAAGCTTTGGATTTGCCGGAGGAAAATATCTCAACCCTGCTCTGCTACCTTGAATCGAGCAGTTTCAGTGAAACGGAGAAAATTCCTTGGGTTAAGCTTCAGAACCCTGTTTACTCCACCTGCAGGATCCAGTGTTACGGGGGGCCTTTACAGCTCAGATTAGCTGCTTCCTCCAACCCTCCTCTAGCAGCAGCAATAGCACTTCAAAGACAGAAAGGAGTTGATTTCTCAGGAGCTTCAAGTTTAGAGTTTCCTGTTGTTGATGTTAGCTCCAGGATGGGTTGGAACTCCGGGGTTGTGAAGAAGGAGTTGAAGAACCTGGAATGGAAATCTACTCCTTCAGGTTGGAGGAAAACAGGGATTATAGTTGAGTTTAGTAATCTTGCATTTCATTTTGATGCGCTCCAGGGACTATCGGAGAAGCAGATTGATAAACTACAGAACGATATATTTGAAAGATCAAGGAACCAGGAGTTTTCTGAACTCTCAAACCTTCTCCGACTTCACAGAGCTTTTACTCTGGTTTCTTTCAAATCTCAATCTGAGGCTGTGGATGAAGTCCTCGTAGAAAGGTCGGACAAGTTGAAGGAGTATGTTGCCAGCTATTTCAGTGATTCGGAGAAGATCTTGGACGAAGTTAAAACCATCCCGGAGCACTGTGAGGAGGACCAGGATATACGTAACAAGGTCCGGGCCTTCGTCAGCAGTCACGTTGATCATACGTGGAACGGGCGAGCAGTAGCGAGAATATTTCACGGGATTCAGAGTCCTAATTTCCCGGCCAAACAGTGGGGTCGGGTCTACAAATATTGGAGATCACACCTTCATATAGACTTCAATATATTGGTAAAAATTGCGTCAGAAGAGGTTTTACGCATGCGCACTGGCGACTAGTGCGGAGAAATTTCTAAGGATGTTCAATGAAGTATTGTTAAGAAATGTTAAAATCCATTTTCACTGTAATGTCCAAATATTAGATATTTCAAGTGCCTTTTTATTAGTAATACTCTAATCTTAAAATATGATTTATCTTCTTAGAAAATTGAAAATTTAATATTTTTATATAACGTATTATCTCGACTTTTGAATTTATGAATTAATTGTCCCTAATTTAGTGTGATTAAGACATAAATGTGATATTTATGAATATTTCCATATTTTGACTAAATAATTTTATATTTCATAAAGAATGCTGCTAAGACGGATAACATTAAACAGAGATATTCAGAAGTGATAAAGCTAAAATTAAAGGTAGGATTTTCTATTAAAAAAATGGAACTTATATTTATTCTTTATTTTCGAATAGCAAATCACAATTTTCAAGTCCAAAAACTATTTCTGCAGAGGTACTCCCTTTTTTCGGCATTACTGGAAATCAAAATAGACATTTTGAAAAAATGTAAGTAGTTTATGATAATTTTACTCTTTAACCTCTTATTTGTACTTAACTAAAAATAAAAATAGACATTTAGAAAAAATTATATGTTGATTGTGATTATTTCAACTTTTCTAGAAATCAAAATCGACCTTTGACAAAATTTTAACTTGAATGTTTTTATTGATGTTTTAGATTGAACGGATGATCAGTTGATGCACGACACCCTTCTAATGTTAAGAGATGAGAGACATCCTGATTAAAATATTTTTTACAATATTTAACGTATTTCGTGATCCGAGTTCAAGATTTAAGTATGCGTGACAAACCTGATCCTAAATATATCGATCAGGAGTTTTGGCAGCTAATCCCTTAGTAGAGAATTAAACATGGCCGAGTTCGGACCTAGGAGACCTCATCCTCCCCCCTCACAACCTTCCGTTGCTAGGGTGGCTCCGATGGTTCCTGAGGTTTCTCTTTTCTTTGGAAACTCATGGATAAATTCAAGATCAGGTTTGGAACTGGACAGATATCCTGGAGAGCCTAGAACTCAAACGGAATCCTATGCAGTGCGTCAACCCACACCATCTCAGTTTCATTCTAACAACAGCTCTGGAGTAAACGCCCCTCTTGCTCCGCCCTCGCCTCATAAACCTGTTCTTCACGGTCTTGTGAGACCAACTCCGGACTTCTCCAGGATGTTTGATAACTCCGGTAACTTATCAGGATACGGAGGTCACTCACAGACTCAATATAAGCCCAGTCGTAGACAAGTAGGGTTTCCAGACTACGTAGAGCCAGAAAACTCCGGCCCTAATTTTTTCAATTATGGTTCATTTGAGTCCCGTACCCCTGAGCCCGAAAATAGGAAGTTAGAAAGAACAGACTCAAAAGATCTTAGAAAATCCGCTAGTTTACCAGAGTTTGATTTTAAAACAAATTCTCCGGTACATCCTGAGATTCTAAAGGTTCTATCATGGCAAAACGAACAGTTGAAACTTCTCCAGGATCAGGTTCAGTTGCTTCTTCAATCCTCCCCTCAAATGAACCGAGCAAGTGATGAAGTAGCCTCCAGTGTGTCAGAGAATATCTCAAGCCCTGAACCAGTTGGAGAACCCCTCCGGAACAGATCGGTTTCTTCCGTATCAACCAACACAAGCACACTGTGGCCTGAGATACAGAGAGGGTTGGAGAGGTTGCATAATGTTATTCATGAAGAAAACGAGAAGGAGGAGGAGGAGGAGAACTCGTGTGGAATTACTCTCACAGAAATGAGAAACAGTAATATAAAGGTAATACAAGAATAAAATATTTGATAAGACAATTTATATAAATATATATATATTTTATATTTATTAATATTTTTCTAGGTAAACACTTCTGATGGAGATTCCCTGAGATCTCCGCAACCCACGCTGAATATCGACCTACCGGAGTATGCGGGGTCAGAATGTAGTCCTGACTTCAGGAGAGCGGCAGACAAGGTTAGCTGGGAGAGTCCTGTTCTAGGAGAGAGTGTCTCCATGTATGAAGAAGCTGCGGATGTAAGAGGAGTTTACAACGATATTATGACTCAAGTTAATCGTTTGTTAGCAGAACCACCAATACAAGAGACTACTCAAGGTATTTAGAATTAAACAGATGGTTATTTTCAAATCTCAATTCAGTCTAATTAATTATATTTTATTTTCTAGTTGTAGAGAAAAGACCTATGTTGGAAAGTTTTGTCAATGATCCTGAATCCTTAGATCCAGCAACTGCAACCTTCAATAGGTTGCGTCAGCTCGGAGTAAGTTTTATCTCTCCTGAGGATTTATCCAGACCGAGATCTCTAGATTCTGGATCCCAGGAATACAGTAATATGTTTCTACCTAGAGCTGCATCTCCTTCTAAATCCTTGTGGAGAAACTCTCCGGATACTAGCCTGGAGATAAGTTCTCTAGCTCTGAAGTACCTGGATGAAACCCAGTTGTCCAAATTGGCGGATAAACATAGAGCTGTAGAGAAAAGTAATTCCACCTCCGTAACTATATCAGATAATGACGTTAACATGAGCTTGGCAACCCAAGAGTTTCTTAATAGACATGGATTAAATACGGCCGCTGCTAGAAATCCTTTAAGATCAATAGATAATGTGTCACGAAACCAACCTCAAGAAAATGGGAAGCAAGGGATCGAGCTCCGAAAGGAAGTATTGAGAGAATCAACTGAGAACAGATACAGAGTACAGGAGAACATAGAATACCGAACCTACCAACAAACTCAGGCTCAGGCTGGAAACCACCAGCAGTCTGATCAGTATCTTTATCAGCAGGTTGATTACACTAAGAGAACTAGACCAGGTTTAGTAAATTCTCCGGGTCCTGGAGCCAACCAGTATCAACCTCAACCTAGGAGAAATGTTAGATTGACGGAGCCTGGAAACGATTCTTCTCCTACTTCTTCAAAAAACACTTTCCGAGCTCCAAGTCCAGGTTTAACCAACAGAGTTCTAGATATTGCAGCGATCCGTCAACAACCGAAGCTATTGTGATTCCAGACTATCCGTCCCACATTTCTAAAATTGTATTATTTAAATTGTACAGAATTTATTTATCTAGATTTATTCATCGTTAAAGACAAATTATTTATGAAACTTGACCTTTCAGTACTTTTCTATGTATTTTTCACAATTATATTTGTAATACAAACTTTTTGACACATCTCGAAGTTTTAATGGTTTTAGAAATTAAAAATGGAATCCTTGGAAAAAAGTTTACTGACGATGACAGATTTCCTGACGGAGTACCATGCAGTAGTTGACACATGCATGGTAGCCTTTATCCTAGATGATATGTACGACGTACTCCCTGCTGAGGTTGGATCGGAACTGCTCCAGATGTCAGATAACGACCTTGGCTCTTTGCCAGCTCTGCTCTTTAGGGATAGAACCGTGTTTATGTATTAACATTCCATTTTGTGTTATCGGGCTTATGCTTCAGGAGTATTTATAAATATATTTACATGTACACCAGATACACTATGTCACGGTGTTGAATGTCCCCTGCAGCTGTTAATGCAAGAAAATATTTTTTTAAATTTAAAAAACAAAGGTTGTTATTATAACACTGAGAAGCTTTGCTTTATCAAATATAAAAGACTAAAAAGCAGTGCTTAGGATCCGGATTCGGAATCCGCAAGATTTTGGCTTCCTGGATCCGGATCCGAATCCAAGGGATAAAATATCAACCAAAAACTGCAAAAAACTTTTTTACTCCTAAAACCCAAATTATAAACATTATAAAAAAATTTATAAAATTATATAAATTTTGTCATTTCTGAATGGTTCATCAAGTTTTAAGATAAAAATAAGCGAAAAAAAAACAAATTTGAAAATTATTTTTTGTTAAAGAAATTAGTAAATCATAAAGAAATCACCTTTTTTGTAGTGCGGATCCAGGATCCGGATCCGGATGAAAAATAAATGGATCCTAAGCACTGGCTTAAAGTATGGAAAAGTCCAACAGTTGAACATTTTACAAGCTGTAAGGTCTTGTTTCACGCTTGACTTAGTAACGTCATCTCGAGTTGGAATTCAGGTTAGTAGGACTTCCCTAAAAGCCCCTGATTTGTTCCCTAAAAGCCCCTGGTTTGTTCCCTAAAAGCCCTTGATTTATACTTCTTTTCTGATAAATATTCATTCAAACTAATCAATTTAAATTGAGAAATTGCCAGTCCTCCTTAATTAACGAACAATTGATCAGAAGTTCTTTTTTATACAGGGTGTTCCACGAAACATGACAGTTGGTGAATAGTTTAGAATGTCTTTTTCCATCATTTGTCAAGTTGTTTGATACCAAAAGATCAATAAAAATATTTTATGGGAGTCATGTTAAATTAAAATTGATTTCAAAGTAAAAAATTATTAAGCAAAAGATTAGTTTAACTGAAAATAACTATTTATGAAATGTCATGTTTTGCGGGACACCCTGTACATAACTAAAAACATCGGTTTTTTGAAAAGTTTATTTTGAACATTTGTCTAAAGATTTCGTGATTGTCGTCTGCTACTCCTGTAAGCTGCTTTCTTTTAGTTAAAATATGCGTATCATTCTAACATTCATTTATAGAGTGATATTCATGATAAGTTTTGATAGAACATTAAATCTTTTTTTGTTGTTGAGAGTTTTATGGATGTTGTTATTGTCTTCAGCAATCATAAGATTCAACTAGGAAAGCCGTCTGCCTGTTTCCTTTTTAAAAATTTTAAATTATAAAATGCCTGTCAATTCTCAACTAACATTTCAAATATTGTGAATTTTATATTTTAGCAGTACTTCTAGTAGACGAATGTGATTTGATTTGATTTGATTTGATTTGATACAGTCGCAAATGTTTTTACAATATTGATATAATCAAATCCAAAATGTGTTCTGATGTATGTAAGTGTATCAAAAAGGCCGGTTTCTTTGTCAGAACTATTCAAATTTCTGAAGATGAAAATATATCAGAGAAATCGTCCTAAAAGAATTGGATAGCTTTGAACAAATATATATTTTGGTAAATGGGAATTTTTAGGCATACAAAACCAATTTTTGTATTTATGTTGGATCAGATTAAAACCGGTGTTATCTCCATACCCTGGAAAAATGGGAAGAGGAGACTTCAGTACTTACGGGGTGTGGGAGGGGGGGGGGGTAGTTTAGAATGCATAGATTGATTGTAATTACGTATAAGTTATTCATTAATATTTCATATATTTACTTATCAGTAAAAGTATAAAGATTTTGCAAATTCTAATAGTTCAACAATCCCCTATTTATGAAAGTGTCATAGAGTTTATTTTGTTTTATTTAACTTGGTTCTTATCTTTTGAATGCAGGTTAATTGTATTTAAGTATTTATTATTTTTTAATATATTACATATTTATAAAGATTTTGCAAATTCTAATGGTACAACAATCCCATATTTATTGAAGTGTCATTGAGTTTATTTTGTTTTATTTAACTTGGTTCGTATCTTCTAGTGAGGATTTATCCCTTCTTGATGGTTTAAAGAAAACCCAGAGCATAGTTCGGCAAATGAGAGATATGTCCTTAGGTAAACAATTAACATTTTTCATTGATTTAGTTAACTTAATAATAAAAATTTGTTTCAGTTGTCGACTGATTTTTTCTTCCTAGATAAATTAAATGAATGCAGACACTTAGAAGCATCACTCAACGACAGCGAGAAAACGGAAATAAAATTCGAACATTTTGATAGGATAATGCCGCACAAGAAAACTCACGAAGTGACGCTCATGTCGAAGTACGTTGAGAAACTCTGTGAAGAGCACAGCTCGAAATTTTTGGTCGACTTAGGTAAAAAAAACTGTAATTTTTTTTTCCAAAATACTTTAACCCCCCCCCCCCCTCCACCTCTTCAAATATTAAATTTTCCTCCAAACATGTTTAAAAATCTGGAAAAAAATTTCATTTATTAATGGTAATTTATTTTTCTATTTCTAGGAAGTGGTAAAGCATACCTATCCCAGGTTCTGAGTTTCCTTCACAATATACCCGTCCTTGCAGTTGACTCTCAGGAGATAAATACTATAGGAGCAGACAACAGGCAGAAGAATCTAACCAGGACCTGGACTGCTCTGGAGAAGAGAGCCAAGGAGAGGAAGGAAGGAAGAATTCCACCAACTAGAAAACAAAAACTTAAACTTCGAACAAATAAGAAGCCGATAAACAGCGAAGAAATTGGGGTAATTGGAGATTTTTTGAACATTGATTTGACAGATATTTTTGATCAGTCAGAGAAATCTCTAGAGCAAACTGATTCTTTAGCAAAGAGTTATTCAGCAGAGAAGATTGATTCTCCAGAGAAGATTGATTCTTCAGAGAAAATTGATTCTCCAGAGAAGATTGATTCTCAAGAGAAGATTGATTATCAAGAGAAGATTGATTATCAAGAGAAGATTGATTCTTCAGAGAAGATTGATTCTTCAGAGAAGATTGATTCTCCAGAGAAGATTGATTCTCCAGAGAAGATTGATTCTCCAGAGAAGTTTGATTCTCCAGAGAAGATTGATTCTCCAGAGAAGATTGATTCTCCAGAGAAGATTGATTCTCAAGAGAAGATTGATTCTCAAGAGAAGATTGATTCTCAAGAGAAGATTGATTCTCCAGAGAAGATTGATTCTCCAGTGAAGATTGATTCTCCAGAGAAGATTGATTCTCCAGAGAAGATTAATTCTTCTGAGAAGAAAGATTCTCAGGAGAAGAATATTGTAATTATAAACCAGGCACCAGAGAATGAGAAAGAAGAGTTAGTAAAAACGAAAAAAGAAAACTGGGTTACTCATGACCGTAAGGGCACTAAGCCCAACGTATATGAGGATAGAACGGTTAAACTTACAACTCAGTTTATATCTGACGGAACGGATTTGGGAGGGATTGTATCAGAGCATTTACCGGAGTTCAAGGATAGGATGGGGATCATAGGTCTTCACACCTGCGGGAACCTTACTCCCTCCTCGCTTAAGATATTCTTTGCTTCAGATTCGGCTAAATTTATCTGCAACGTTGGATGCTGTTATCACGCCTTGGAGGAGGAATTCTATGCCAACCCTTACCTGGAGCCCGGAGTAGTCTCAACCTCTCCTCCAGGTTTCCCCGTCAGTTCCTTGCTTCGAAAGAACAAATTCTGGTTGGGTCGAAATGCCCGGATACTTGCGTCTCAGCCTCTCAACAGGTTGGCGGAGAAAGGAAACCTTCCTAGTAGATCTCTCATATGGAGAGCAATTCTTCAAGTGATTTTGAATGAGAACGTTCCTGATCTACGCTTCCAGGATCACCAGGTCGGACGCATTGCTTCAAAATCAACAGATTTCATCGATTACGTTCGTCGGGCAGTAATCCGGTGTAAGAAACCCATCGACCTGTCAGATGAAAGAATCTTGGAGTACTACAACAACTACTATCCTAGATATTCTAGAAAACTAAATTGTTTCTATCAGTTTAGATCCTTGTTTGCTCCGGTTATTGAAGGAATTATTCTCCTGGACAGACTGCTGTTCCTACAAGAGAAAGGTTGCACTGAATCTTGTTTTATTATTCGATTGTTTGATCCCACGGTGAGTCCCCGTTGTTACGCTCTTGTAGCATCTAAACCTTGACATTGCAGAGAAAATGAACCGGATAGGACGCCAGCTCTTTGTCCTAGGATCAAACCGAGGTGTATTACGACAAGAAAAAGTTCTCCGAGGAAATATTGTTCAAACTTGTAATATTTCCACTCTTGACTCGATGTATGAAAAGATGATTAGTCTTCCCGCAGTTCATTACATTGAAGATTCATTAGTTCAATTTCATGACGTCACAGGTAGTATTCTTATTAATATGAATATATAGTTACAATTATATAGGAGGAATAAAAGGGTGAAGAATGATCTACAACTAAATTATAAATAAAACATTGACACACGAGTTCTAAGTTAATTTCGAAAGGTTGAGTTTTTTAATCTAAAGGGACAGCTGTATAACTAGTTGCATTTAAAAATAAGATTAAGATAACAGTTATTGCTCAGGTTCTGTCCTGTACTTTGTAATTGTTTACAATAGAACTAATTTATAAACCGTTCTAATGCGTCACAGTAAAGTGCAAACAACCCTTCACTCTAACATTGTATATCTAGGTATACCCTGGTACGGTACAATAATATTATGTACGGCTAGCCTGAGACTAATGATATCCCTCCCAGCCCAGACTACTTCACAGAAGGTTGCCAGTAAACGGTTTCTCCTCTTCAAAGAAATGGAGGAAATTATAATCCCGTCTTTACGCCGTGCTACAGATCAGTAAGAAAGTCTTTCACTAATTGGGTGGGGAGGTGAAGATAAAAAGACATTTTCAACTCTAAATACATTTACTAAAATGATCGATTTCAGACAAGTTTTGGTAAATCGTTGGACGAAAGAGAAGGCTGTGAAGAGTTTCAATAGAGTTGCGGCGCAAATTAAAAGGAACAAATCAGTACTGTAATGAATTGTTTAGAAGTTTTTTCCTCAGAGGATAAATTTTTTAAATATATCTAAAGAATTATTAAATTATCGACTAAGTCGTATCACAATTAAGTAAAAAGCATAACACAAAACCATTTTACTGTCGTTAACTTCATTTATTTTATTTCAACGTGGATTGAGATTGTGTTTTAACATATTACGGGCCCGGTTTGCTAAATTAACTAAGATTGTAAGCTTTATTTTTATACTGAACTTGTAGTCAGAAAGTTATAGAGTACAACTGTCACATGTCGAAACTATTTATACCTTTATATGTACAGGTAAAATCTTGTGCTTTGAGATTTTAAGAAATGTGTTAAGTCTTTCTGAGTAGACCTATTAAACAAAATCTCCCAGTGAACCCAGAGGTTTATCTAGGATTTCTCTGAGTGAACATTGTACACAATTACATTTATCAACATGAAGACACATAATCTGCCACAAATATTATCTTAATATATAAAATCTGCCACAGATAGAATGTGATTTAATTAAAAATCCGCCACAAAGTGGATTCTTACAAAATCTATAGATGAACCCCCTGTCCTGACCCTAGATTCATTTAAATTGTATGTTAAGATTCCTGTCTGGGTGTTCACCTCTATAGGGATCCGAAACCTGGCCCTTATGCGGGAGACCCAGGAGAGGTTTCTAACCGTACCAGTTCAAGAACGGTATATTCAACTAGCTGCAGAAGGTGAATATAATAATTTAGAATAATTAGATTGCAGATCTTAACTCCGAACTACTTAAGAAATATACCAGTACTTAATCATCAAAATTGATTTTTTTTAAATTTTAAAAACACTGAAAACTAAAAAATCAATTTAATTCTAAATATGAAAATAGGAAGATTTTAAATATTAACCATATTGTATTTTTTAAAGGAAAGCATGATTCCTGAAGATTTGTTTGAGTCACGAATACTTTAAGAAGGAAATGAAAAAAAATTAAATGAAGATAATTTATTGTAAAATTTCTTAATTTTCACTTTTTATTTTTTTAGGAGCGTTATGGTTTCCTAATCTGACGGTTCCCGATATATCCTTAATTCTCCCGTTCATCGTCGGTTCATCCTTCGCCTTGAATATATTTATCTCCTCCTGTCGGATCAAATCCTCGGAGAAAACTGAAACCAAATACTCCAAAGTTATAACTTATTTTCTCTACGCTATCTCAGCACTGATGGTTCCTTTAGCGGCTGTTCAACCCTCAGCTCTAGCTCTATACTGGGCAACTAGCGGAGTAGTCGGGGTTGGGATGAATCTTCTCCTCCTCTCTCCAACGTATAGAAAACTTGTGAACATCCCTAAAATATCAAAAGATTCTGAAACACCCTATGTTGATCTTAAAGAAAATATGTTAGCTAAACTAACTTTTAAAAGAAGAGAATAAGACTGGAGTCCTTTTTTATTAAAAATGAATTTTAAAAAAATTTGCAGAAAAATGGAAGATTTGAGTTCAATCCTGTCAAACCTCTCTCTGAGTGACAACAAAGAGAAATTTCTTGGAGAAGTTAAACCATCTTTATCTGCTTTAACTCGGGCTAAAATCACAGAAGGGATAAAGTAAGAATGTTTATTTGAATTTTGATATATTGTATCTTTCCATTGGTTTGATACCCAAAGTTGAACAGCGATCCGGAGAAGGAAAATTTCAGACACATTTGAACATTTTTGAACTTGAGTATTTGTAAAGGGTGTATGTATATTTGTGAAGGGTGTATGTATATTTTTAAAAATATCATCTCCCCCCCCCTTTGAAAATCATTTTATCCCTCAAAAGTTAATTCGTAGAATTTGGGAAAATAAATGATTTTAAGGAGAAAATAAATCAAGTTTTGGATAAAAAGTCAAAAAGTATGTAAAACTTGCCTTTCAATGTCTAATTTTTCCCCCCCCCCCCCCCTCCATCCTCAAAAATCATATCCTTATTCTGAAAAATATACATCCCTGGTATTTATTTCGACTCAATTTTAACCACTAGTCCCAAACTTCAATAAGTAAAATATTTTGGAATCCCGGATATTAATTAACACAATTTATATAAATATATATATATTTTATATTTATTTATATTATTATTTAGTTCCGTTGATCTGATAGTTCTGTTTGATTGTCTGAACACTGATAAGGAGAGACAGATAGAATATACTCTGGATATTCTCAAATATCTCTTCTCATTCATGGATCCGGCGATTATTATTGAAAAGTAAGTCGTTGTTTGTTCAATTGTTCATTAACTTCAATTTCTTAATGATTTTCATAAGTAAATCTTAACTGGGAACCTTTGTGTTGGACACTTAAAATCCTGATCGTTTGACCTCGATATCCATTGTAGGCACTTAAAATCCTGATCGTTTGACCTCGATATCCACTGTAGGCACTTTTAATTTGAGAATCAATGCTTAATCGTTTCATTTACTTATTATTCATAACTTTATTGGGGACACATTTTTATTGTTTTACGTTTGAGGTATGGTGAACTGATGAAGCATGGACTCTCCCATCCGAATACTCTTGTTCCTATCTGTATACTCAAGCAGATGGAGAGATGTGCTAGGGATGATGAGCTGACAGGAATGATCTGCCAGCATCCAATCTTCCTCCCTGCGCTCCGACTTTTAAAAGCAGATCTGAGCGTGTACTCTGAGGTTTCTAAGTTTGTGCTCCAGGTGGCGGAAACTACTACAGGAGCTAGAATACTGCTCGGAGCAGAGACGGTTGCAGAGTTACACCTCCTGGGAAGCTTGAACGAGGTGATCAAGATTAGAGTACTCGAGGTTGCTGTCAGGATTAGTCAGCTCAGGTAACAGATAAATTGTAGTTTTTCTTCTTGATATGCTCATACTCATTCTCATCCCCACCTTGGATTTACGGCGCGTTATAGTGAGAAGAACAAATGGATAAGTTCAAGTTTGCAAAATCTGTCGTAGCTATACTTAATACTTCCGCTCTTATCCGCTCTCAAATAGAAACTCTCCATTAACATTTTTTACTTTTTTCAATCATCGTGGATTTGTTGATAAATTAGCGATAACTTACTTTCAGTCAGGAGCACCTGGATGAGGTTGACAGAGTTGGACTTCTTCAACCACTTCACGAACTCATCCATGTCGATGATATCCTGGTAAAACTGAATGCTGTAGAACTCGTCACTAGCGTAGCTCTCACCCATCAGGGGCTCAGGTCTGCATATTTTTTTATCTTATAGTTTGGATTTTTACTTTCCAACTCACAAACCTTTTAACGTTTTTTTTAGATTTCTCGAAAACAACGGAATGATTAGTAGGATGGAGGAAATACTTCAATCCTCCAGACAAGATCCATTCGCGGATATTCTCATACCAGGGCTCATCAAGTTCTTCGGTAACATTGCTCATCTTCGTCCTAAGCTGATGATTGTTCAACATCCTAACTTCATGGACTGCTTGTTCAGTATGGCGGAGTCATCAGATCTCACTCAGAGAGCGATAGCCTTCGAAACTATTGGATGGATTGGGGTGAGTCTTGAGGGAAAGGTTACTCTGGCCGACCTGGGGAATAAGATGAGCCACTGTATCGAGAAACTCGAGGATCTAATTCGCGACTCTCCCACAGAGATACGGATACGAGGGATGAATGCGTTCTCAAGCCTGATAAAGCTGGATAAGGAGAACCAGACAAATGAGTTCCTCTCGATTACTGAGTCCTGGTATAAGAGAGCGCTGGGAAACCGTGGTTCTCCTATGCAGCTTTTGGTTGGGATTGTTAAACTTCCATTCGCAGATATGAGATTGGCCGTGTATGGTTTGCTGAATAATATAGCTAAGCAGGGTTGGGGGCGGAGAGAAATCCTTAGGTTCCCCGGTTTCCCTGAACTTCTCTTAGACCGATCTACGGAGAGAGATAAAGACGGAAAGGATGCAAAATATGACCTGATCCAGAGCTTGGTTGAGAGCGGAGAGGCCAAGGAAGTTGTTGGAGCAGAGATAGATGGCCGACTCCGTGAATACTCAAGGCTCGGAGCTCATCATGTTCAAGTTCAATCCCAGGTTGCTTATGAAGGAGACTAAACCAAGAAAAATGAATTTACTTATTATCTGGTAGAAATTATAATTTTCTTTAATCTAAAATAAACAAACTTTATTTTAGTGATTGCTTGTATCTATTAATATTTCGATATTTGTACAAAATATATGCCCCATGCCATAGCGCTCAGTCCAGTAACCTAACCCTCAAATGTTAAGATTTCATCCTTTATTGTTTGTGCAAAAATACCTAAAATTTGAAATGAGGCAATTCTTATAGAAAAATTAGAATTGAACAAATTTCCTCAAAAGGAATGTTGTCCTAAAGTACATTAGTTCAAATAAACATTGGTCCGATGATAGGACACCGAAAAGCCAAGAAACGATTGATTGATTATTCTCAAACAAATTGAAGACGACAAACACATGAAAGTGTACACGCCTTGGCGCTAAATTTTGTTTTGTGGATTCGCTGTCTTGAAATCCTTAATCCATGAAGTAAATCAACAAGTTGTAAATAATAAAATTTTATACTGTAAATGACTTAAGTTTTAGACTTGAAAATGGAGCCAGAGGGAGTTGACGATACCTTGGATAGTGTTCATGTTGATACTCTTCTCAAAGCGTGGAAGAAACTAGGTGAGAAGAGCTCTACCACGGTTCATATCTTCGAGAGAAACGATTTCTTTTACTTCTTCGAGAAAGACGGAGAATTGGCGGCGAAACATGCTTTCGGTTCCGTGACTGCAACCAAAACTATGGGGAAGACCAACCCGGTTTCCTTCTGTGTGATGAACCACGCAAACTTCGAGTCTACCCTGCGCTTTATTCTACTCGTGAAACACTTCAGAGTTGAGATATTCAAGTTCGTCGCAGCTAAGGTGACCTTTTTAGGGTATAAGGACGCTTTAAAGTGAGAAGAGGGAGAGGGAGGGGGGGCATATTCTCGGACAATAAATTACTTGGGCTCGTCTTTTGGGTCTTGGAGAACTTGAATATTTTTAAGATTAAAAGTAATTTGTGTTTTTGTTGAAAAATGTTGGATTCCGAAATCTGTAGAAAAGAGTTACGGTCCGTCCTAGAGAACGATTTTGGACCCCCTCCCTCCTCCCCCCAGGGCCCCCTCCTATCAGTTTTGTACATGACCACTTATTTTTCATTTTTCTAATAAAATATTATTTTTTATTTATTATTTTAGGTTAGGTTATGACAATTTCTGGGCCGAATGCTGCGGCAAGGACAGGATAGGGGGCCGAGCGCCGCGGCTAGGACAGGCTAGGGGGCCGGGTGCTGCGGCCACATGATCAATTATATCCATGTGATATCCAAGTACAACATTGATAGGAGCGGGGGGGGGGGGGTAACAAAAATCGTTCTCTAGGAAATTACCAAGAAATATTTGTTTTTGAATTTTGATTGAATTGAATTGAATTTTGATTTGGAATTAAAAAAATATTCGTTTTGAGTGAATAAGTGGCGCTACATACAAATAAAAAAATGAATTCATAAAACCCAAAATTTAAGGGCTAGATGGTACCTCTTCCTGCGCTCCTAAATTTGGGGGCATCCCTCCAAATTTCCAGCCTCCCCCCCCCTCATCCTAGATAAGATAATAAATGATTGTAATAGGGAGGAAAATTAGCAACCTACGAGCTTGAGGTTCGAGCTTCTCCGGGCAATATTTCTGCTGTGGAACATGTACTATACGGAGAATCTGAGGTGGTTGGAGATTGTAACTATCTGGTTGGGGTCAGGCTTCAGGGTGGGGCTGATCAGCTAACTGTTGGTATTGCTGCAGTAGATACTAGTCTAAACCAGATCCAGGTACAGAATCTCTAAACCAGATCCAGGTACAGAATCTCTAAACCAGATCCAGGTACAGAATCTTTAAACCAGATCTAGGTACAGAATCTTTAAACCAGATACAGGTACATAATCTCTAAACCAGATACAGGTACGGAATCTCTAAACCAGATCCAGGTACAGAATCTCTAAACCAGATCCAGGTACAGAATCACTTAAACAGATCCAGGTACAGAATCTCGGAAACAGATCTAGGTACAGAATCTCGAAAACAGATCTAGGTACAGAATCTTTTAACGAGATAATATTCAGGTACAGAATCACTGAGCCAGATCCAGGTACTGAATCACTGAGCCAGATCCAGGTTCAGGATCACAAACCAGATCCAGGTACAGAATCTCTAAACCAGATACAGGCACGGAATCTCTAAACCAGATACAGGTACCGAATCACTTAAACAGATCCAGGTACAGAATCTCTAAACCAGATCCAGGTACAGAATCACTTAAACAGATCCAGGTACAGAATCTCGAAAACAGATCCAGGTACAGAATCTTTTAACGAGATAATATTCAGGTACAGAGTCACTGAGCCAGATAGAAGGTACAGAATCACTGAGCCAGATCAAGGTACAGGATCACAAACCAGATCCAGGTACAGAATCTCTAAACCAGATCTAGGTACAGAATCACTAAAACAGATCCAGGTGCAGAATCTCTAAACCTGATCCAGGTGCAGAATCTCTAAACCTGATCCAGGTATAGAATCTATAAACCAGATCCAGGTACAGTATCTCGAAAACAGATCCAGGTACAGAATCTTTTAACCAGATCTAGGTACATAATCTTCTTCTTATCAACTTTATTAAACAAACAAAAAATTAAACAATATTATATATATGTATAGAGCTACTTTTCGTAGCCCTCTCCAAAATGTGGAATAATCGTGATGGATTTAATTTTCAGCAAACAAACAAACAAAATTCCTCGTTAATTATCGGAAATTCGTGGACTTATTCCGATAAGAATTTAGCATATAATTAGACTTTTCATCGTAAAACAAAACAAAAAAATGAAAATGAAGAAAACGAATTAGTGTTTTGACTTTTCATCTAAAAGATTCAAGATTAAAAAATTAAAGAAAAGAATTACGAAGCAATGAAAAATTAAAGGAAAATAGAAGAGAGGACCTTTAAACATAATTATATCTGTGTGACAAATGAGCCTTAAACACGTTTACTTGGTTCCGAACCGGAGCAGCATTAGCCCTTCATTCTTGGACTTAGCTTTGCATTCCGTTATCCTGTAGATTGCTTTGAAATAACCTAGGCAGGTCTTCCCCATCCTAATCCTGACAGAGTCGTCCAGGTGGAGCATATCTTTAGGTTTGCTTTCCCGCCATCATCCTAATCTGTGGGTAATCCAACCTTCCATCAGCATCCTAGGGCCAGTGAATGATGACGATGAATTTTTCGTCCTGATTCCCCAGGTATGAAAGCAAGGAGCAAGTCGAGTAGGTATAACGGATGATGATTACCAGATCTGTTAAATTCACGAATCATAGAGGTTAATGAGATCATAAGATCCTTACGATCATTGACGATCTTCCGATGTGCATCCTTGATAACAGTGATCTTAGGAGGAAACGGAATTGTTGCAGCCGCATAGCTTCCTTGATATAGCTCTCCAGACCTGGCAGAGATTGATTTAACAGAACCACTGAAATGTTGAATATCTTTTAGTATCTCATGGTCTGTAGCACCTCGGAGAATGTCATTCAGTCCTGCAACAAGAAGAACGTCTACAGCACGATGAACATTTCCATACTCGGCCATAAAGGCATGTTCGAGTTCACGGACAGTTGCACCTGGGATAGTTAGATAGTCTATGTGGATCTCATCTCCTTCATAGCCACTCATCGAACGGATTCCTTGCCAGTTGTTTAATATAGAGCTGGAGACCAGAACAGGATATCTTACTCCAATCTTGTGTGAGTGTGGGGTGGATTTACAGGTTATACAAGGATAATTTCCCCACCTGTCAGCTGGAGCTGAGATTCTGTAATCCTTTGAGCTATTGTGAGTATGGTGAACTATTAAGCTTGTATAATCTCCTGGCATGATGAATTCAGAGCATATATTACAATATCTGCTCTGGTTCTCATTTGCAGAACGGATCTTGTGATAGTTCTTCCTCTTTGCATTCATGAACATCACATGTTCCGCAGATTTTCTGGACAGAGAAATATCTCGCATCTGATTTTCAGCTGGAATATTCTTCGAGAGCCTCTCTGCATAAGCTGGTTATAGCATAGTTTTGTAAGATGGGGGGAGGGGTGGTGGAGGTCTGCTAGTATCTGGACGGATCCATATGGGGCGCACTCTCTGCTCAGCCATCCTGGATTAGGTTAGATTATACAGGATGTTAAATGTTGGAATATATATAAACTAACTATTACAACTTTATTGTCAGATAGGTTAATGTTCATTCATATATAGATAGATTTTAAAAAGATTCGAAGCAAGTTGAATTAATCCAGGTTGATAATCAAAAAACCAGATCCGAATATAGAATCACTAAACCAGGTCTAGGTACAGGATCAATTGACCAGATTCCGGTTCAGATTCACTTAACCAGATCCAGGTACAGGATCACTTAACCAGATCCAGGTACAGGATCACTTAACCAGATCCAGGTGCAGAATCAAATCTACTCCTGACAGTTTTTTTTTTACACTAAATCTAAATGTCTATAGTTGTTAAATCACTCTATTTGCATTTTGAACTTTATATTGATGTGAAAAATTACGATAGAAATACAATACATCTACATCCTTGATAAGTAATATTTAATATGGAAGTGTCTTAGCGTTGAACACAAATTTTACAAAATTTGTTTTATGCTAATAATAATGATGATCCAGGTTTGTGATTTCACTGATGGAATCACCTTTCCTAACCTTGAGTCTGTTCTGGTCCAGCTGAACCCTAGAGAGGTAGTTATACCACAGTCAGAGCATCCAGGGCTTAAGAAGATCAAGCAGATCCTGGAGAGAAACCGAATACTTGTCACTCCTAAGCCAAGCACCGAGTTCACACCCCTGGTTGAGTCGGAGATTAAGCGTCTGTTTAATCCTAAGACAATGATTGGTTCCCTGTCTGAGAACCCTGTGTCCAGTAGTGCCTGCTCTGCAGTTCTCAAGTACCTGGGACTTAACACAGAGTCAGGGGATGGAAATCTGTTTAGGTAGTATTAATCAAATAAACCCGTGAGATATACGTTTCTTGTATTGTTAAATGTTATCCAACATTAATCTCATTTTTCCCTAGAAATAGAATAAAAAGCCCCCTATACATGTATGCAAATTCTTACTTGAATTTTTTAATACATGGTTATCATGATTTTTGAGATAAATGAAATTCATAGTTTTTCATGGTGGGCATTTGTCAGTTTAATTTAGCATCCCTGATAATATCATGCAATTCATAACAATTCTGATTATCCTTTAGGATCGATGTGTTGAAACCCTCTGAGTACATGAGATTGGACCAACGAGCAGTCCACGGTCTGAATCTGTTCGATGAACCTGGGCATGTCGGATCTTCAGTCTTCAATATTCTAAACAAAACCAGAACCCCTGGAGGTTCCAGGCTACTCCAGTCTTGGATTAAACAACCCCTGATCCACGTTGATGCGATCAAAGAGCGACTGGATCTGGTAGAATGCTTTGTTAAGAACTCCGACGCCAGACAAACTCTTTATGAAGACCATCTACGGAAAATGCCGGATTTCCAGAGAATTTCAACTAAATTTCAGAGCAAACGAGCATCTTTGCAGGTTTGTACTAAATTCATAAACAAAAACATTTTGTTCCATTAAATATTTCTGAAATAAAAGCATTTATTTGTTACTTATTGTTTTTTGTTTTGTTTTGCAGGATATGTACAAAGTTTATATTGCTGTGAACAAACTCCCTGGACTGAAGGATAGTCTGGATTCTTTCGGCGAGGAACAATCTCTTGTTCAGGAAAACTTCTCCAAGGACATAGCTGATGCATGGAAAGATTTTGAGAAGTTTCTCCAGCTTGTTGAAACTACCCTGGACCTGGATCAGGTGCGGAGTGGACAGTTTCTCATTAAACCTGAGTTCGATGAGGCTCTGGGATACCTGAGACAAGAGTTGGATACTGTTGATTCAAGGATTCAGAAAACTCTGACCAACTGTGGTAGTGAGCTGGGACTGGAACCTGGCAAAGTTTTGAAGCTTGAGCACTCGTCCATTCACGGGTATTACTTTAGGCTCACCATGAAGGAGGAGAAGTCTGTTAGGAACGACAGATCCTACACCATCATCGAGGCGAACAAGTCCGGTGTTAAGTTCCGAAATAATAAACTTGAGCAGTTGAACGACGAGCACTCTGACCTTTCCGTGAAGTATGAGAACCAGCAGAGCGCCATTGTGTCCGAGATGATCGGGATTGCCTCCGGGTACGCGGATGTAATGAATCATCTTGGAATGATAATATCTAAACTTGATGTGATAGTTTCCCTCTCCTTGGCTGCTGTTTGTGCTCCGATACCGTATGTTAAACCTGAGATTCTACCTCCGACCCATAGAAAACTTTACTTCTCCCAGCTCCGGCATCCTATCCTTGAGCTTCAGGATCAGATCAGTTTCATTGCGAACGACGTGGAGTTCGAGGAAGGAACCTCAACCTTCCATATCATTACAGGACCTAATATGGGCGGGAAATCTACCTATATCCGGTCTGTTGGAGTAGCTGTGCTAATGGGTCAGATTGGTAGTTTTGTCCCTGCCGATCATGCAACCTTCTCCGTCGTTGACTCCGTGATGGTTAGGATTGGAGCCTCAGACTGCCAGGTCAAGGGAATCTCAACTTTTATGGCGGAGATGTTAGAGACCTCAACGATCCTGCAGAGCGCTATTCCGAACAGTTTGATCCTGATAGACGAGCTGGGTCGGGGAACCTCAACCTACGACGGATATGGGATTGCAGTGGCGGTGTCAGAGCACATTGCTAAGGAAATTGGGTACGATATTTAAAGCTTTTCTTTTGATAATCCCATTGGTTTATGTTTTCTCTTGGTTTTTTATTTGTTTAAAAGAAATGTTAGAGGCTTTTTCGCTGAATTTGGTGGAAAATAAATGATGTATTGTTAACAAGTCTGATATGGGGGGTGGGGGGAATGTTAGGAAAATCACCAAAGATGATTATGATCGGTGATTATAATTTAAACATGTATTAGATGCTTCACGTTGTTCACTACACACTACACAGAGCTTACACAGCTGGCCAAAGAAATAGATACAGGTGAGTAAACCAAAAGAAAAATAAATTATAATTTTATTATTGACATTATGCATTTTGGCATTCATTTTCAATGGTTTACTAATTTCCAGTGAAAAACTACCACGTGACAGCTATGGTATCTGAGGAAAAGCTTACTCTACTTTATCAGGTTTGTCGAAACAAAACTGAAATATTTTTAGAATTTAATTTATTCTGAGTTGTCTCACATCTTCTGTTCTAGATCCTACCCGGAGTATGTGATAAAAGTTTTGGTATACATGTTGCCAAGCTTGCTAATTTTCCTACAGATGTGATCGACGACGCGAACCAGAGACTAGTCAGGTTAGTAATATACTTGAGAAGATGATATCAATCTAAGGCTAATCTTATTTTAATGTTTTTTCCACAATCCTGCGCTTTAACTTCTCTTTGTATCTAGACTGGAAAGTGGAGTCATGGCTTAGAAGAGCGGTCTAGATTGGCAAATAAGGAAAGGAGAAGGAGAGAGACTGAAATATTAGATCTATGTGATTAATATTGAAATATTTACAGAACAAAATGGCCAGAACCGCTCAGCCGAAGAAAACCAAACCTAGTCCGAAGCTAGCGAAGAAACTTCAAGCCGAGGAGAAGGTGACATCATTTTTTTTCTTCTTTATGCTAAAAAGATGTCAGCAAAATGTAACGTCACGCCACTCTGTAACATTAAAAGCTTAAATAATATTTCCTGTAGGTGTCTAATGTCCATAGAAGCATGAAAGCTTAAATATTGTGTTCGATTTTAGAGTATTTCAAATAGGTTTATTGAGGTTTCATAAATGCTGTCTACCCTTTTTTATTTAAAAAGTGATAACTGCTATTAGATATTTTAACCATCTCCTTTTTAACAACTTAAAAATCTGGACAAAGGAACTGAATTTTTAATATTTATATCGTTCCAATAATGAACATGCAGAATCGAAATGTATATATTGAAATAATTGAAAATCGTAAAGCATCAATCCATTAAGATTTTGTATACTTCGAAATGGATTGGTGGGACGAGTAGATTCCAGGGATGCTTTCATGTTACCAGGCAGTCATAATAAATAAATTGTGGAAGAAGACGTCCCTAAGAGTCTGATTTGTTTTGATTTGCAGCTTGGTGTCGCAGACCTTTGATATTTAAAACTATGAACTCTTGATCAGATAGTTAAATTATGAAACACCCAATTTTTTAGTTGCAAAGATATAGGGATTAGAACATTAGAGTGTTCCAAGCCCTTTCTTATCCTGACCCTTATTTTTCAATGAACTAAAAAGTTTTGGAAATTGGTACTAAGATATTTTTAGTGTCATAAATGGGACACCACTACAATTTTGTCAACAAAATGGAACCTTTTAGATCTAAGAAGCTTTTACATCCATGATTTTGGACAAAAAGTAATTTATTCAGGAAACTGAGTCTGAGGAACAAGAATCTCCCAACTCATCATCTAGCAGTTCGGGGTTTCTAGTTCATACATCAATTATGCAAAGAAGAGAAACTCCTCAAACCTCTCCGGAAAGCGGACCGAGCGGTAGAACCCCCGCCAGTCCAGACAAACGTAAAGGTAGAGCTCCAGCCAAGAAATCCGCAGCTTCAGCAGCAAGGAATCCGGCAAACCAGACTGCAAGGAAATCTACTGGATCGGTAGCTCAGAAAAGCCCTGAGCGACCGGTAGGGTCAGGGAAAGGAAGGAAATCAAGCGGAAGCCTAAAAAAACGGATGAAAAACAGATACCGGCCCGGAACAAAGGCTCTGATAGAGATTAGGAGATATCAAAAGGAGACAAAATTGCTGATGCGTCGTCTTCCTTTCGCCCGGTTAGTTCGAGAGATAGCTCAACAGGTATACTTGGTATAATAGAACTATACCATTCAACTTATATAAATTATTTATTTTATTGCTGGGTTTATACTATTAACTGAAAATGACACTTCAATTAAATTCAAACTTAAAACTTAATTGGCAACTCTTGAATGATAGGTGTTCTAAAGTGGGAAATGGCTCAAATTTTGTCGTGTGGCTGGGTGCTTGACAATTTCAAAGTAAAAACGAGAAAATTTTTATATCTCACCAGGACACGGGGAGGACTTGAAACTCCGGTCCACTACTGGAGTCTTAGGCAATCCCTGCAACTTTTGATTTGATTTGATTTTGATTTGATTTGATTTGATTTGATTTGATTTGAGTTGAGTTGATTTGATTTGATTTGATTTGATTTGATTTGATTTGATTTGATTGTTTTGATTTGATTTGATTTGATTTGATTTGATTTGATTTGATTTGATTTGATTTGATTTGATTTGATTTGACATAATGATTAATGATGGTATTAAAGAAGTGAAAGATGAGCAGGTCTTCTCTGTTTCCAGAATCCTACACTACTGACTTGCGTATTAATTCATTCTTGTTGGTGGATTTGTTCCTTGGCAAGGAAGACGCTACAATTGATTCATTTCCATTCATTTATTTATTTTAGATTTGTGGAGCTTCAATTCCCGATGTTAGGTTTCAGTCCCAGGCTATTGAAGCACTACAGGTTGGACAATTGATTTGTATTTTCAGGTGTTTATATTTTCTCGAAAATTTGTTTATCTTCCAACCATTTTTACCATACACGATTAAGATCGGGTCAAAAACCCGGAGTATGGGATGGACTTGAGCCTCTGCTCTGACCCTTACAAAGAATGTCTAAAGCAATCCATCACTGCAAAGTATTATTTGATTTATTTGTATCGTGTTAGAAGGGCATCCCTAAAATTCTGATTTGATTTGGTATTAGGAGGCCGCAGAGATGTACCTGGTTCATCTAATGGAGGACAGTAACCTCGCAGCTATTCACGCTAAACGCGTAACTATCATGGTAAAAGATATGAGGCTTGCACGTAGGATTAGAGGAGAGACCTGGGATTTGTAAGATTTTCATCAAACTTCCACGTTTCGTCTTTCAAGTAAAATAAGAAACTGTACAGTATAGTATATTGATCTCAGGTGTTAAATGTTTATAAAAATTTAGAATTGTTAAAATTATATCTTAACTATGTACCTTGAAAATACGCTTGGATGAACAAGAATATTTAACAGTCAAATTTTTGTAAATTCCGCAGACCAAATTTTATTTTCATGGAGTCCCCTGATGTATGTAATCATGAACCATTTATTTTATGTGTCTGTTATAAAAATATAGCGATGATAAAGAAAAATATTAGTCTCCCAGGTTATTAAAGGATAAATATCTGATTTCTCACAACAAACTCAAACTTGCTATTCCTTCTATCTTTGAAACCTGATGTTCTAGATGTTCTAGATCTTGCAATTTTAGATTAAGAAATTTGTGATATCCTCAAAAGTTTTAAATTTCAAAGGTTTATACAGTAGGTTGCAAAAATATACGCATTAGAAAATTATAGTTTATGGTATTATTCAGGATTAAAAATAATCATTTTAACTTTTCAGAACTAGAGAATGTCTGTGGAAGGAGTGAGGTACGCGCACAGTGAGGGTCGGGTGAGCCTTGTGCACGGTAGGGACGGGAAGAAGGTTTATACTCTGGGTATGGACGGAGAGATCAGGGTGTGGGCGGGGATAGATGATGATGATGTGGAGAATATATTTGTCGGAGAAGAAGGATTCGCGGTTGCAGTTTCAAATGACAGGTTCCTTTTTAGACATTTAACCTTCAGACAAATTTTTTTTAGTAGTAAAAAATGTATTTTTATTTTTTGTTCATTTTTTATGTTTTGGAACAATTTCATGATTTTTAGAAAAACATCAATGAAAAGTGTTGTTTATTTTTTCCCCCAAACATTTATGAAAATCATGTAATCTACAACAACAACAAAACTGATGGAAAAATTAGTATTATGCTTTAATATTTGAATTGCTCAGAATGTTTGTAGCGACCAGTGAAACCAATTCAGTTCAAGCTCTGAACCTAGATGGAGACAACGAGGGAACCTTGACAAGGTAGGATTTGTTTTTACATTCTCATTTAACCCAGTTTTTTCACATATCGCACAGTGGTTTAAAAAGCATGGGCATTGAGTTTTTTGTCACATTTAGATGAAACCTGTAACGCTCATAAACAGACATTAGGAAATATTTTGAAACTTCGAAAAAGTCGTATTTTAAATTTTAGTAATTCTATCCCTATCTATCTTTCCTCGTGAGCAGGATATGAACGTATATATATCTGTTATCCACATTATATTCCTGCGCAGGATATGAACGTATATATATCTGTTATCCACATTATATTCATGCGCAGGATATGAACGTATATATATCTGTTATCCACATTATATTCCTGCGCAGGATATGAACTTATATATATCTGTTATCCACATTATATTCGTGCGCAGGATATGAACGTATATATATCTGTTATCCACATTATATTCCTGCGCAGGATATGAACGTATATATATCTGTTATCCACATTATATTCCTGCGCAGGATATGAACGTATATATATCTGTTATCCACATTATATTCCTGCGCAGGATATGAACGTATATATATCTGTTATCCACATTATATTCCTGCGCAGGATATGAACGTATATATATCTGTTATCCACATTATATTCCTGCCCAGGATATGAACGTATATATATCTGTTATCCACATTATATTCGTGCGTCTTTTTCCACTGTAACTTAATTATCAATAAAAATGCGATATTCTTTGTTGAAGATAATACGATTCTCTAGGTTTACCGCAGACGTGACCTGTCTTGACACCCTGGAGTCAGGAGAAGTTCTTGTCTCCGGTAGTGCCGATATGACCATCAAAGTGACCGACACCAAGAGTTTCTCTGACAAGGTGTTGACTGGACACAGCGGACCTATCCTCTCCGTGTCCCTGGATCCTCGGAAGAAGTTTGTGGCCTCTTCTAGTTGTGATGGAACTGTGAGAGTGTGGGATGTCGGAACTAAAGAACAGGTGGGGGGAAATCAATTTAGACACATTTTTAAAATTTTATCTCGATTATTTTGATGTTCTTGATGTTCTTTGATTGTTTCTAGTTGAAAAGTTTTGATTGCGTTCCTAAATCCAACGATGTGAGTAACAGCAAAACTATCTGTGGAATCAGGTTCAGTAGCTCCGGAGCTTTTTTAGCTGTACCTAAAACTGATTCTATCTCCGTCCTTCAGAGAGACTCCTGGATTGAAGCTAAGTCCTTGAAATGTGAGAAACTAGAAGAGAAAGAGATTCTAACCTGTGTAGCTTGGAGAAAAGACGAATCCATGATAGTGGCGGGTACTAGCAAGGTTAGATTCGCATTCCGCCAACCTTTCTCACTAATTTTCAGCATTTTACTTTTGTAGGGAAATCTTTGTGTTTGGAGCCTGGACGGAACCCTTAAACATTTCTTGGATACAGAGAGAAAGTACTCAATATCCGCTATCTCCTGGAATCCAAAGAACCTAGAGGAGGTAATGCGTTAGTCTCCAAATTATCTATGGTTAATATGGATTATATTTTTTATGCGTATTATACTTTCAGGTTGGGTTTGCGGACTCGTTAGGATTCTGGGGTCTTGCTGGGAACATAGGTTCTGAAACTACAGGAGAAGAGAAGAAGAATGAAGATGTCCTATCTCAGGAAGAATTGGTAGATCTGTTTAATGATGATGATGATGACGAGAACAGTTTTAGTATTAGTAAGATTCAAGCGGAAACAGGGTTTGCTAAAGATGAAGAAGGACATCTCATACATGGAGCAAGAGCTGATATTCCGTCTAGTCGTCCCACTTCAGCAGCAAGCAGTTTTAGTGAGGTTTCCCGTCCTGCTCCACGTGTGGAGCAGGTTAAGCTTCAGTCCGCTTTTCAACCCGGAGCCAGTCCGGACCATTTTACGTTCCGGTTCCTGGTTTACAACAGGGTTGGGATTGTTAAAACAATTCAGGATAATTGTATTGATGTTGACTTCCACAACTCTGACACCCACTACAACCTGTTCTTCAGGAACCCTGATAACTTTACTCTAGCTGCACTAACAGATAAGGTTTTGGTTCTAGGTCGGGAGGGAGATGAGGAGACCACAGGGAAAATAAGCGTTAACAACTTCAAGAGCCATGATCAAAACAAGGACTGGGTTCTTGATCTACCCGAGGGAGAATATGTTGACGGTGTTGCTGCCGGAGAAGGTTGGGTTGCGGTGACAACCTCTAAGAACTTCGTGAGATTATTCACTGCTTGGGGAATTCAGAGAGAGATTATATCTGTGTCTGGACCCCTAGTATCTATGGTTGGGTCCGGAGATCAACTATTTATAGTTGCACATTCTGCTCATCCCCTGCCTAAACAACAAAACTTTGCCTTCTATACTATAAGCATAAACTTTAAGAAAGGTCTGAGTAAACTACAAGGTCCTATATCTCTACCTATAACTCCGGATACAGAACTCTACTGGATAGGTCTAAGTGACACCAAGCTCCCACTAACTATGGATACTGCAGGGGTTATAAGAATGCATCTGAACTCCTCCTGGTATCCAATCTGTGATACAAAATCCGAGATGAAAGGCAAGATGGACACCTTCTATATTACTGGGGTGGATCAATTGGACAACGAGATTTACGGTGTCAAGTGTCGTGGAAGCAGATATCCTCAAACCTTACCTAAACCTACTCCCAGTATTCTACCATTGCAGGTCCCCTTCTGTATAACAGGGGAGCGAGGAGGTCTAGAACAGAGACTGCTCTACTCTACCATGCTAGCTCCGGTAATCAAGGATGAAGAACAGGATGTTAAAAACAGACGAACAGAGATGGAATGCCTGATGAAGATCTTTGCTCTAGCTTGCAGGTTCAGAATTTAATATTTTTCCATTGAACATTTTTTATTTTGCTTATTTTTTAGATCTGAACAGGAAAGCCGAGCAATAGAAGTTTGTAAACTAATGCCTGATGTGGAGTCTATCCAAATGGCGATCCAATATGCTGCTAAAATCAAGAGGTTAGTCTCAAGAACTTTCTTAAAACCAACAATAATGTATATTGAGTGATATCATTATCTTTTCAGGGTTGGGTTAGCTAGTAAACTTGGGGAGTTAGCTATGCAGATACAAGATACAGAAGCAGTGGAAGAGGAAGATGAGGAAGAAGAGGAAGAGAAGAACGACGACGATAGTCAGGATATGTTTGGAGAGAGTCAAGATAACCTGGACAATCCTTTACTTGGAGTTAGACCTAGAACAGTTTCGTCCCTCAACACAATTAGTAACTCGAGGAGTGAATCTAGGAATCCGTTTGCGAAGAAGAACGTTGAGAAGAATTCAGGATCTCTGGAGAACAGTCCTGGTTCAGGAATTTCATTTGATTCAAGCGCAGTTGTTCAGAAACCTTTACTTTCTAGAAAACCATTGCTTATCCCAAATAAAAAGGTTGTTAACATTTTGTTAATCAATTTATTCCAGTTTTTCTAGAGACGAGTTATATTTAAATAAAAATCTATTATTGTTTGTATCAAATTTTAATCTTCTCTATTATTTCTTAGACCAGAACTTCGATTAAAGGGATCATTTTTTAAAGATTTTTTACACACAAGGGTCATTAAACTTTTAGAATCAATTTGTTAAAATTTTTCTAAAATAATTTTTTTAGAAAATGTTGGTGTCAAGTAAGCAGAAGGAGAACAAGGTTGAGGGTGGAGAGTTGAAAGGGTTCTCCCTCTACCACGTGGAGAACAGAGAGGAGTTCCCAGGCACCCAGGAGGAATCCCAGCAGTCCGCCCTGGAGAAATGGAAATCTCTGGACAAATCTGAAAAAGAAAAATATAAATCTCCCAGGTAATTAAAGGATAACTAATTGACTTCTCACAACAAACTCAAACTGGATAATCCTTCTATCATTGGAACCTGATGTTCTAGACCTTGATATTTCAAATTAAGAATTTTGTGATATCCTCAATAGTTTTAAATTTTAAATGTCTGTACAGTAGGTTGCAAAAATATACGCTTTATAAAATTATAGTTTGAGGTTAGTGAACATCCCTTTATAAATGTGATTCAGCTCTAGACATCTCTGAAGTAGTCAAACGAACAAGGGATTTACTCAGGGCGGCTCGCACCTGCTTTAAAAGCTTTTTCTTTCAGAACCACTAACAGTTTTTTAGTTTTTTGACAGTCAGAGATTGTGAATAAGTTTTGTCCTATCAGGGTGGCCAAAATGTACGGATTGTTTTTTTTAACCCTAAAATTGTACGGATTGTATGGATTTGTTTTCAAATTGTACGGATTGTACGGATTTTATCCTGGAAAATACACCGTTTTTTTAAAATTTTCACTCATTTCAGCAAATTTTTCATGAAAATTTATAAAAAAAATTCTCGTCAAAATGAAGTTAGTTTAACTTATTTTCTGCATTCTAAATAATATTAGATTGATTAATGTTTCAATTGACAATCAAAATTCATTCATAATTTTCGAGATATGTCCAAGAAGTGTTTATTTGAGAATATGTTCCATAAGTACTTATTTGATTGCTTATTCAAGAAGATGTTCCAGTATTTTCAAAAATGGGATTTTTTTCGAAAATTGTACTGATTGTACAGATTTTTAAAAAAAAAATGTACGGATTTTTAAAAAAATGTACGGATTGGTTAAAAAAATGTACGGATTGTACGGATTTTTAAAAAAAAATTGTACGGATTTTTTTCCGAAAATTGTACGGATTGTACGGATTTCTTCTGAAAATGTACGGATTTTTGTACGGATTTGTTCATAAAAGTTTTGGCCACCCTGTATTTAAATCTAAATTCGACCAGTGTTGAAATGCTTGTCGGAAATAAGATAATTTTCTGATAATTTCTATCCTTGATAGTTGCTATAGAAATAATAACTTCTTCTTCTCAAAAACTTTATAAAACCAAAAGACAGGTATAATAAAAACGAACTAATAATAACTGATCAACGACTATTGATTTCTTTATTTTCAGGATCCCTGTTTCATCTGGAAAACGTAAAAGATCCGCCGAAGCCCCGACAGAAGAAAAGAAACCTAAATCAGGGTTCTCGTCAAAGCTGTCAGGGTTCGCGTTCGGAGGAAACTGATTGGACAAGATTTCTTCATTAACAGTGAAAATATTACGCTTACTGGGATTTATATATGTCTGAATATATGATGTATGATTAAATTATGACATATCTTTGACATCGTTTCACACATGAACTAAAGACTAAAAAATACATAAAAAAATGTACACAATATGAAAACTAATGTACAAATTATTCTTAGTCTAAAGCTTTAGTCTTTTTTATATAAATATTGAATATTTGGTTCAAATCTTGAACTATGAAACTTTTCTTCTTAAATATATCTTTCAATTATAATATTAATTAAACTATTAAAGTTTGTTTTCTGTACCTTAGCTTCATGTTATTATGTCTTCATGGGATTAGCGAGGGAAGGCACACCACACCATTTTCTCGTCCGTGCCACAAATAACGTTACTTCATACTACACCCTTTGTCCGACCAGGTGTTGATTCTGTTTTTTTTCTTCTTAAAACTTGCTATGCCTTAAAACGTTATGTTACTCGTCATATAGTTTGATTTTGTTTGAAAAATAAAACTATAGTTAAGCCCAATTTTTCAAAGAACGGAAAATATGTGTGCTTTACCTATTTTTCGTCCGGAAATGATGTTTTTTTATTTTACTTATAAATTGCAACTCATAGTGAGGTGGGATTTTTAGGATTTACAACTAAAAACCTATGTTCTATTACTGAAAGAAACAAATGTCGGACGAGAAAAATGTGTGGTCGGAAGAAACGATGGTGAGCGCTATGTCGAAAAGTAAAGTTTTCAACGTTATTTGTGGTCGGACGAAAAAAGTTGTGGTGTGCCTTCCCTCCCTCATGGAAAAATTGTACTAGAATTTACGGGATGTGCGTTAAATTCTGCGCCTACGTTTCTACCTTGTATTATATGTTAATTTACTCACAAGTGACGAGTTGGTTTTAAACTTTCCATTGACTGCAGTACAGGTTTTATTTACATAATTCCTTTCTAAATAGTTGAAAAATGTATAAGCTTTGGTAGAACCATATCTTACATATTTCATTTATTCATGGCATATAAAAACGTTGTGCCAAATGACGTTTTTTGCTTTTCCGAAATCCAAAAGAAATAGTAACGAAAATTCAATTGAATTTAGGAGAGAGAAATTCTGTTAATTTGCCGTTTCTTGGGAAATGAAGTTAAAATGTAGGCATACTATGGGGATAATTTTAACAGGCTTGTGGAAGGCAAGACTTGAGTAACTGTTTTATGGAACAATATCTAGGCTGAGCATAAAAGGGACTAATTAAATTCTTTGAAAATAATTATTTAGAGTTCGAGTAGGTTATGACAATTCCTTGGTCTGACGTTGCGGCTAGGAATAACTAATTGTGATTAAATGTTTTCTGCTTCTGAACATTATTCAACTTAACGTTTTGTTTGGACGTGTGAAACACATCAAAATGAATTTGGTCAAGACTTAAATTTAAAAAATAACAGCTTAAAATTTTGAAATTAGTCCTCTGTAGACCAACATGTACAATACATAGTTAATAATTTCTTTTGGCCATTATTAAATTTTCAATGCGATAATTACACTCATTCATTTTAAAAGATAATGATGGTTTTTTACAGGTTCATGTTAAAATTATCTCAAGGGCAAGATTTTGCATGACACCATTGAATGTATTGAAGTGAGAGGGAGGGAAGGCACACCACACCTTTTTTTCGTCCAACCACAAATTACGTCACATTTCACCATTATTTCGTCCGACCAAACCTTTTTTTTCTCTTAAGCATTATTTAAATCCTTTTTTTAGTACTTAACATTATTCACGATTTAGAGCCACGTCATGTTTATGATGGTTTAAAATATTTATCTTTAAAAAATAAATAAAAACAAGAATTTTCTTGGCTTTTTCGCTGAATTTGGTGGAAAATAAATGATGTTTTGTTAGCAAGTCTGATAAGGAGGGTTTTTGTTGTAGATAAATATGGAGATGTACAATGTAAAGATATTATCCGGAGATCCTGATAAATTTGAAGTAAAGATCCTCACAACCAGTTTCATGTCTGGTATCCAGGCTCAGCTGGAAGCACTACCGAAGAACAAGGTGGAGAAGGTTCAGCCAGATGATCTGGTCATACTCGAGGCATTGGATAGTTTTCATAGAGCAAAGATTATTTCTGTTGCAGGTAATATATTTTTTAGTTGATGCTTCCAAAGCGGGGGGGGGGTTAGATTTATCTGATTGGAAGAGTAAAGATGGATAAAATAAAATGTTAACCGCAAAAAAAAAATTTCTGAAAAAGAGTTTTCTGAAATAAAGTTTTAAGTTTTGGCAATAAAAAAGTCCTGAGGAACAAAAGTACTTAATAAAGTCCATTTTGAGACTATTTTTTAGGACTTTTTCCTGGTTTCAGTATGATTTTACACCAAAAAAGTCTCCGGGAAAAAAGTCCTCTTACAGTGGAAAATGCATGGAAACAAAGGATATTCTTACATAGATTCTAATAAAATACATATAACAAAAAATTTTATTTTTGAGAATTTGTTTTTTTTTCAGACGATGGTATTATTCAATGCACGCTAATCGATCACAGTACAAATATTGAGGTTGGAATTGATCAAGTTTTTGTCTCGAATTCTTTGATCAATCGTATTCCTCCACGGATACTGATGTGTAGGATCTTTACAGAGCTAAGGATTAAAGATGAGGATTGGAGACGACTGATTGAAAGAAAAGAGTTTGATTGGAAAATTCAGATAGTTTCAAATCACTCTGGAGGAGTGGCTTTAGTAAACCTATTTATGTTGGGTCCGGAGAATACTGGCGAGAAGAGAGAAGTAAATTTTCACGATTTAATGAAGTTTATTAATGACCCTGAGTCTGTAAGTGTTGGATTGTTAACACTGAAGAGACTGAACAAGGATAAGATTTACTCCGTGTACCTGGAGGAACAGGAGGATTCGGAAGAGTTTGTGAATGTCCATGTTGTGGAAAAGTTGGATGGAGAGATGGATCTCGATGTTCTCTACTCAAAAAGTCCATATTCTCCTCCTGGACCCGTCTCTCCAGGTTCTCTTATAATTGCTCCCCTGGACGGAAACCTACTCAGAGCTAAGGAAACTGGACCCTTTACCTTTAAATTTTTTGTTTATTTAAGAATGCCATTTACTGTTTAATTTTCTAACGACTATTCATAATTTTTACAGGACAGACGGTCAATGAAAGGGCCGAGATTTTTACCCTTCAGTTTGTTAACGATTCCTTATCAAAGAAATGTTTCAAGGATAGTTATGTGAATCGTAATGGCACTCATTGATTCAAGTCTTGGCATTAGTAGGATTTCCCTTCATCTAAATAAAAGACATAATTTAACTTTTTTTTAAAAGGTCAAGCTGCAAAAATTGTTTATAAGTAAGGACTGTTATTTTTTTTGGTCAAAGTATTTATCAGGTAAGGTTCCTAATCTCCAGGTTAAACGTATACTGGGACCTGAACTTGATCTTGTTGTCGAGTTCCTTGACTTTGGAAACCTAGATATTGTATCCTGGTGGAATTGTCAAAATATGTACGAGTATCTAAACTTTCCTAGACTCTGGTTTACGGTTCAGCTTCCTCCGTATATCCTAGGACAGGTATGCAAGGCATAAACTTGTTCAGCATGACCCTCAAAACTGTGAAATGAGAAGTCGACATTCTTATTTCTTATGGGTAAAAAAACCATATCTTGAAAATCAACTCATTGAGGGCAATAGGCCATTGTAAAAATGTCATAGAACATGTATTAAAAACCATAAATTGAGTCCAACCGTCCTCTCCCTATGCCACAGTTTTATGAGTCCCAATTAATTTATTATATTAATTAAGAATGAAGTCCAAGTTAATTTATTGTTTTTATTTTAGGCTGAGATTATTAGATCTGTAAGTTTTATACAGGCTCAGTCGGATTCTAATTATCTTTTCTACACGGTAGGATTTATTTAATTCGAACTCTACACCCCATTGAAATCCGAAAATGAAATCAAACACTAAAAAATGTTTATTTTTAATGTTATGTAGAATGTTGGAGGAAACCCAGTTCTTATCGAGGAAACTCATGGAAATCTAAGAGAACACAAGATGGAAATAAAAGTCGGGTTAAGAGATAAGGATGGTTCTGGAGATCAGGATATTTTTCGACCCAATGTCAAGGATGATACTGGAGATCTACACGGTTCTTGTGATCAAAATGGTTCAGAAAATCAAAATGGTTCTGCAGGCGATCATGATTGTTTTGAAGAAAGAAATAGGTCTGACGATCATGATAGTTCCCAAGGCCACCTTTTTAATCCATTAAAAACACAAAGAAAAGACGAGAACGACGAGAACAGGAATAATGACTTGATCTCAGAAATGAAGAAGGAAACAGACTCGGTCCCAGAAGTTAACAGGGAAAAAGACTTAGTCTCAGAAGCAAGCAGGAATAAGGACTTGGTCTCAGTTATGAAGAGGGGTAAAGACTTGGTCTCAGAAGTAATGAGGGGTAAAATCTTGGTCTCAGAAGTGGACTTTAGGGATAAGTCAAACTCAGAGATAGAAAGAAGTAAGATCTTGATCGGCAATGTAAACGGAAACAAATCTTCTGTTTCTTCTGGGATTCAGAGCAAGAAATTTGCCTCCGCTTTGAAAATGAGCCAAGATAAGGTCTCCGATACGAACGGAGATGAAATTTCATCATTGGAAAGGAAACCCTCCAACCCAGATCTAACATCAAAAAATATTACTAATAATAAAGATATTAGCGTCAAGAGTTCCACCTGCACCAATATTTTCCAGCGTTTGAATAAAAGCCCTGAGCCGGAGGAATCTACCCCTCAAGCAATAGCGGAAGATTCAGAAATGAATATTATTGTCTACAGAGCATATCTGTCAGCTCCCAAGATATTAGTCAGGTAAACTAAGGAAATGAGTTTTTGCCTCAAACTTTACTTGTTAATCCCTATATTTTCACAACCCGATGTCGTAAACATTTTCATATATAAATTTTAAATTCTGTCAGATCAAATAATCTAAGTTTATATTTTCAGAGGTTTACACCACCAGGTTGCAAAGATATAGAGATAAGAAAATTTGAGTTTTTAGCAAAAACTCAATATCTTTGTCATTTCTTTAATTGATAATTCTTTAAGATTTGTAAGGTCTGTATTTCAAACTTCTTGAATTTTGAAATGTTTTCCTCCAGCATATACAAACACAGTCTTAAAGAAAGGATAAGGAAAGAATTGAGTGTTTGTCATAAACTCAGATTTTTTTCAAATCCCTATATCTTTGCAACAGCTTATGTCATGATGATAGAGAAAGAATAGGAAGAGTTAAAGCTTATATCATAATCCCCTCAGATGTACACACATGTAAGTGCAAAGTTAATATGGTGGTCGATTGTACGTGTACATCGTGATGTGTTTACGAATCTAATACTGTACAATTGTATACAGAGTGATCTTATTTCTCAAGGGTTTTATGGACTTGATCAACTTTTAAATTTTAAATAAATCAAATAATATGTACTGCAGTATACAGGGTGTCCCAATAAACATGGGAATTCAGTGACGATTTAAATATAGTCTTTTTTTATTTAGTGTTGTAATGCCCACTAAGAAAACAATGATCCGTCTGCTAGAGTTAAGATTTTTTTGTTTATGTTTTTATTGCATAATATGTTGTACACAAAAACATAACAAAAATTCGTGGATACAAATGCAGTGCAGCAGTTTCTCTTAGAACTTTTTATCTTACAGAACTGTTACAGAACATCATACAACGAAGCATTCAACTCTTATACTATTTATACATGAAAGACGTAACTTTATTTTAACCTTTGAAATCAGGTAACACAACGCTAATTTTTAAAAAAGACGATTTCGAATTCGTCACTGAATTCGTCTTTTGGGACACAATGTACAATTCTATGTTTAAACTCCATATTAAGTGTCTATCTTACCTATCTATAATACTGATATTCAATTATCTACATTTAACCCCCCCCCCCTCAGAAATATATATACAAGTGCGTTGTGTTAAATACGTAAACATATCGTGATGTACACAATCGACCACCCTATTAACTAGTTAATAGGGTGGTCCGTTTTGTACATCTGAGGGGATTATGAGTTAAACTTTAACTCTTCCTATTCTTTCTCTATGTCATAGATCTAAGATATTTTAAACTATGAACTCTGAGAGACAAAATTATGTAAGTTTGTAATATCCAAGGTTTACAGCATCTGGTTACATAGATGTAGAGATTTTTGAGTTTGTGGCAAAGACTGATTCCTTTTTTTCGGATTCTATTCTGGGGATTTGTACTCCGTGGTCCACACTGATCTAAAGTATGCACACTCACATACAAATCTATCCACATTTGGTCAATTATTACTTTTATTTAAACTGATGCTAGAAATAAGTCCTAAAATGTACATGTCTAGGGTTAAAAACATGCATAAGTGATTTATTAAGGTAACCCCAAACGCTGAGGCATTGTGACACCTCAAAGTCGACCCGGTCTTAAAAAATAATGCACACTTCCATAGCTGCCTGATTCTCTTGAATCCTGCCTGGACAATTTTTATTCGGATTCTTGATACAAATCCATCTAACATGTCACAAAATTGGCTTTTTATTTTAAATAGATTATTTAATGCAATTGTTTTGCCGATTTCTATAATTAAAGGTTTATTCACAATGATCTTAATAATAATCAGGATTCTAACCATAAATGTAATATTTAATGAATATTTTGGTAATCCTGCATCCAAAAACGTTTTTTTTTATTTAGATTACTATCCATACATACATTAAAACTCTTCGCTCATTTATATGTTCGTTTTAGCTGGCCAAACGGCTGAATCAAATTTCTGACATTTTTTGAGGGAACCCATTGGTACCCCGGGGACCCCGAAGGGGTCTTGGTGACATGGGCAAAAGAAATATGGAATTTTTAAAATAAAGGGTAACGCCGGGCACTTCAGCTAAAATCCTTATTTAAGACCAAGCGCAGGTAAACGGCGGGAATAATTATGAGTTTCAGTTTAAATCTACTCAGATGGACAAAAAGAAAAATTAAAGGAAAAATATTTATAGTTTGTATTTACTTTTGTCACAAAATTACTGAACTCAATTCTTCTTTTAGGATTTCTGATTTGCAGAGTTGGGGAGAAAGAATGTTCGGTCCCATTCTGCATGTTCGTGTATTGAATGGATCGATCTGGATGGATTTTAAGGACAAAACTTCACTAGAGAAGTGTGTTTCTAACAAGCAGAGAAGATTCGGGGGAAGTATATTAGAGTTGAAAAGGACTGAAATATTTCCTAACGAGCATTATAATCTCAGCATTTATGTTACTGACGGAGGTTCAGAGGCCGAGGTTCGAAAGTTCTTTTCAACCTTTGGCGAGGTTAAGTCTGTTAAATGGTACACCCCATCCTGCTCCGTGGTTAGTTTTCGAAAGAAGAGTATAAGAGATGAGGTTCTACTCCTGGCTAGCGCCTCCACAAACTCTAGTAAAATGATGGTTAAAAGGTATGGAGATAGGGCTCAACCAACTTCTCCTAGGAAGGGAAATAAAGAGGAGACTGTACACCTTACTGATATAAAGGTTGACCCTGATAAGGATCAGATTAAACCTAGTCCTAAGCATGAAGTTTTGTCAGTGGAAGAAGAGAAAATTGACAACATAGCAATTGCAGCAAAGTCCGGAACTCTATCTGTAACTGCAACCCTGGCTGAGAGTCCGGACAGGATCTGGTTAGTAGATGATGACAGGAAGGATATGTTTCTATCCATGGATCTGGAAATACAATCCTACGCTGCAAGCAGTGCCCCAGATGAATCTATAATTGCTATTGGAAACTTTTGTTTAGGTCGGATTAAAGAGATAGATGATCGTTGGTACCGTTGTTGTATCCTTGAGATAAAAACTCAATCCGTCCTTGTTTTCTCCGTAGATACAGGTCACACTGTCACTATACCAGGAGGAAATGTGAAAAGATTACCAAGATCTTTGGCTCTCCTACCACGACAAACATTCGCAGTCAAGCTACTGAGAATTATTCCTGCTGGAACTTCTAACGGTACTTGGACAAGAACTGCAACAAATCAACTAAACGAAATCCTTTTCCGTCCTCATATCAAGGTGTCCGTTGATATCAAGGATGAACTGGAACCTGGTATCTACTCTGGGGATATAAAATGTATGCGGGATGTTAAAGTCGATGCGTTTGAGTCTCGTCAGAAGGTTGCAGACCTAGCTGGTTATCTGATCAAGAAGGGAGTGGCGTTCAAGAACTGATAGAACGTCAGAGCTATTAAAAAAACTTCATTCGTAGATTAAGTTGGTAGTAAAACACGTTAACATATTAATTACTTATGTGGCCGACGGCTTCTTTTGATCTCTTGTATTAGTCGTCTTTGTTGAAAATAAGCCAAGTTTTGCCGCGGCCAGTGCACAGCTGCTTCCATTTTCCCCAACTTCTACAGAAATATTTCATATTTGTTCTTCTAAGCCTTCCTCAAAAATTGCAGCAATCTAATTTTTTGAACCCAAATAAGTCAGTGTTTTCTAATTTTATTTTAAAACAACTTCTTTGAATGAACAATTTGTATTTTGATTGTGAATAAGATCATATACATCCCTGCGAACATGTTATCTCTGACAAACCGATGGCGAGTACATAAAGTCCAGAAATATTTACCCGCCATCTTCGCCATCGACACAAATAGTCGTTTAAAATGTTCCCTGGGTATACTAGCTGAAGGGCCTGGCGTTGCCGGTCGAAGAAAAAAATTCGAATTTTTTGTCCCCCCCCCTTCCCAGGCTACCCATGAGTGTCCATAAAATATTCCAGCCCATTCGGTCCAGCCGTTTTGCCGGCCAGAGGGAACGTATATATGAATGTCTTGTTTTATTATAAAGATATAGTACTGTCAAATATCCTATTCTTCAATGATTGCTCATAATTTATTTGTTCAATGTTTAATGTTAATGTATTTTTTAGAAGAATGTATTTTTGATCCATTATGCTCCGTATCTGTGCTCTCAATGAGTCCGGTTCCTCCCTGGACTCTGATGGAGAAACCCATCATGTAATATATTACCATCTAAAATTTATTAATCAGTTACTTAAACTTGTTGGCCTGTTGATTATGATAATATTAGTTTTTAAGTCCTGGAGTGATGAGTTTTTCATTTTTATCACACCTTCTCGTTAAGGAATATGATAGTTACGTAAATAGCAGAATATTTTCGCTGAAAAATTTATCAGCATTGTTTTAATTTCATTGCTTAAAGCCTGTGGCAGTTTGGTGTTAATATATCTTGTTTTATTATAATAATAATTGTTTTAAATGGAAAATCTTGAGACTTGTTTTTGCAGTGAATAAATCTGAAATTTAAATTCTATAATTTTGCAGGTCGAGACAAAGGAGGCTCAGGAGGCAAACCTACTGAATCTGTATACTGCAGCTCTCAAGAGTATAGCGGCGGGGAATATAAGAGTTGCAAAAGCAAACTTATCCGAGATAATCAGCTCCCCTGTCTTTCAGGTATACCGGAGAAAATCAGACCTTAAGAAAAGAGAAAACATGAAGGATTAAACTATTTTCCCCAATTGAAAAACAACCTGAGGTTTTTAGTTATATGCAGGCTCGGTTATCATTTCGTAATGACCTCTTATTATATATTTCTTGTTGTAGGACGGAAAAGAGGACGCACTTGCCTGTAGTTTAAGATACAATGTGCACAAGAATCTAGGAGAATGTCTCCTACAGGAGGGAAATATTCAGGAGGCTCAGGATGAACTCTTAACTGCGGCAGAGATGGATGGTGGAGATATTACACTCTGGTTTAAAATTGCAGGTGGGGATAATTTTACCAGTTACTCACCCATCTTTAAATTGACCTTTTTCAAGGAAAACAAAAGAAAAAATAAATAAAGAATTATCAAAATCTTTTTGATCTTATTAATTATTTTAAGGATTTATTGATCAAGCGCAGTATTTCTGTATTTGCGTATTAATTTTAAATATTCAGACAAACTTTGTTTTATTCTCGCATTTGATGTCAATTCTGTAAAAATGTTGTTTAATCAAGTTATTTTTTTCAGGAACTGCTGTAAAACTGAACAACCTGTATATGTGCAGATCAGCTTTGGAGCAGGGATTAAAATGTAACCCAAACCATTGGCCGTCAATTGAAAACCTTATCACGGTCACCTTTAAGTTGGGAGATTTCCTTGCTTGTCTTGGATACTGTCATCTGGCGGAGGAGAGAGAACCTGGCTCCGGAAAGGTTATCTTATTCAAGAGTAAGGTTTACAAGGAAATGCCGTTTCTCCAGGATGTGTACGATGACAAGGACTTTGTTCCGATCCCGACGGAGATAGAAACCTTCCGCTCCGAGATAAAAACAGAACCCGTTCGTGAACCCATTGAGTTTAATCTGGAGGAGCTAACCCTGGAAAGTTTAGCTGAAAATATATTCTACCTGAATGAACGATGTGATGAGAAGGGTACCTGCTTGAACCCTATAGAAACCGCGTGCGCTGTGGACAGGTTGGATGAATACAAGAAGAATGAGGAGGAATCCAGACTGAAGGTCTCATTACAGAACCTTGTTGATGAGATAATCGATATTATCGAGGAGGAGGAAGAAGTACAAGCTTTTATTGAAGATCTTCTGGACGAACTTCTCTGTAATATGTTTGGTGTTGAACCTAAGACTATACCAGAGAAGATATCAGGTCAGATTATTAACGAAATACTGGAAACCGTGATGGAGTCGAAAGGAACCAAGAAGAAGAGTGTAGTAATAGAAGCCAAGCCTCGGGTTCAAAGAAAACCGAATCCTTTCGATGAAATTCCTGATGAGTTGATCGAGAAACGACGAAGTTCTCGAAAATCTCGTCTTATGGAAAGCATAAATTGTTCGGATGCATCTAATGATCAGATCAATATTCAAACTCCTAGAGAACTATTAAAGAGTTTCCTCCCTCCGAACCTAAAACTTGCAAAGGAATCTAAATCAGTTGTAAAGAGTACCCGGAGTTCTAACTCTGCTGAACCTGCCTCTAAGTCCTTGTTTACGGACGAGAAAGTAAAAAACAAATGGTTTAGTCCTGAGCAGGAGGCGCAGGAAGTTAATAAATTCCTACAAGATAATTCTGGTAAACCTATCTGGCATCTCATGCGATCTTTTCTAGATTTATTATTCAGGTAAAATATTTCTCTAGAATCGTCTACATAAACTAAGAATATCTGACGATAAGTGAGCCTTTGAATGTAAACCTTTTCTAATAAGCTAAAAACTGTTATTAATTTACATAATTTAAGATTTTATTTAATATTAATATTACAAAATGGCTTACTTTATACTTAAGCCATTAGATTTCATATTCCAATAGGAGGGAATATCATAATAACTAAATAATTTCTAGGCTGGATGCCCGGCTGGTCTGGCCCCAAGGTTTGGTTAAATTCTACGGGAAAATATATGAATCCTGGAGATCTCATCTTGGAACACCACTGTCTGTAGAGAACCCGGAGGAGAAACTAACTCAAGAGTTTCTCCGATATTATATCCTGGGTTGTGAGTGTATTGTCGGATGTTTGTTGGAGGATGAGGAGGACGAGGATGAAGAAAGGGAACGAATTCCTCCTCATCTCTCCGCCCGGCTTCATGAAGATCTAGAAGAACTATATTATATTCTCCCTGCTCTTCCTGTTGATCTTCATCTTAGGATTCATTCTCTCCGGTTTTACTATTTTTTCCTTGTGAATAACGAGAATGAAATATTGTATGAGAGCGCAGAACTGACCCGTATATTTGACGAGAATCCCGGGATGGTTATCTGTAATTCCTTACCTCAATATCAGATCGCGAGTAGGAAGTATCTAGAGGAATACTCTGGAGGTATTAACAGAAACAAGGAGCTAGAGGAGCTCAACCAGTATTATGAAACCAAGAGATATTCGGAAATAGTTACGCTTCTCCTTGGAACCTTGGAGTCGACCTGCTTTACTCCTAGTAAGGAGACCTCGAGGGTTCCAGACAAGGAAACCCAGATTGATATCCTTGTAGAAAGTTTATTCCATGAAGGTATGTACGTGAAATGTTTGAAGTGGACTACTATAGCTCTAAGTTCTACCTGGTGCCACCTAATCGTGGACGAGGAGTCTGAGGAGGAGAGAAAACTAACCCCTGAGGACTGGACTATTGTAGAATCCTATCTGAAAACAATCGAGTGCTGTATCAGCAACACTGCTGATCAAAGTTTCGAGGATTTCAGCTTCGATACCGCGTCAAAGCTTGCGATGATTTTAATTCAAATCCTCACAATACAAATTGAGGATACTCCAAGTTCGGAGCAAAGTTATGATTTGACTCTTCCATGGATTCTTCTCTATAAATTGATTGTATGGGGGGAAGAATGTTTAGAAGAGAAGATCAGGTTTACTATGCCCGGTTCTCTCAACCTTCTCTGCTCTGCGCACGATTATCTAGGTCAGAAATCCTGCTGCACTTCAAACAATGGTAGACTTTTAACTTACATTGTCGACATTTTTATTCCTTTGCTCAGTGGAGAAGTGCTTCCTGTGTACTCGGAGCAAATCAAATCCAACCTGGAGCAAGCAATTTATTGTCTATTTGCTCATCCTAGTAAGAAGACCCGTGTTAAACATCTGGCGGACCATAACGTCTCCCAGATAGGTCTAACCTGGCAGCCTGCACGCAAACTATACAACTATATGAAACCTGAGAAGGTTCCGGAGCACGATGATGTGAAACTTCTCTCAGTCTCTGCAGATACTGATAGTTTCATGAAGCGTCTAGTTGCTGTCCTGCCCTCAGCTCTAGGTTTAGACCAGAGGAAACAAGCAGCTAAGCAATATGTTCAAGGGAAGAAAAAGAAATTGAAGATTAAGAACGTGGAGAAGTTGTCAAAAGATTTGAAAGACCTATTCTATCTGTTAGCTGATTATGCATTTAAGAACACGAATGATTTAGATAAAGCTATAGAGTACTATACTCTAGATATAAGCTTTAATCCTAAAAGATATGATACCTGGGCTGCTCTAGCGCTAGCTCAGGCAAGTAAAATGGATCAGAGATTAAACTCATGCAAGAAATTAATCCCAGGCAAGATGCTTGAATTTATTAACGCAGTTGAAACTTGTTTTAAGAAATGTTTGACTTTAAATGAAGAGAATTCGAACCTTTGGATAGAATATGGAAATTTCTCTTACAATGTTCATTCCTATATTTCCCGAACCTTGAACAACTCAGAAGAGATGAACATGGAGCTGTTTGATAAACTGGAGGCAAAGAAGGATGAACTACTGAAGACAGCATTGAAGAACTATAATAAAACCCTTGAGATATTTGAGGCGGACGGAATAGATGAGAATGATGTTGATGAACGCTGGTTAATCCACTATATGATTGGAAAGATAAATGAGAAATCCAACTCTCCTATCACAAAATCCTTGAGGTGTTACATCACCTCTATGGAGTGCCTGGAAAGGAACGGATCCATTTTACCGAAAAAAGTGAACTATAATAGTCCTCAACCCTTGTCTTTAGAAACCATGGAGATCTACTACAGGGTGCATGCTAGTATCCTCAAGTATCTCGTTCCATTCGAGAATAAGGAATCTGGATTGGATGTTAGAACCAGGTTGGATCTGTATGATATCATGAGAACTGTTCAACTCAACAAGGTTTACAGTACTAATGCTCAGGAGAGCAAACTGGGCAGGTTTAGCAGAAAACGAAAGAAAGTAACAATTAATCTAGAAGAATCTGGGAATAAGGTAGAACGTGTTGATGAAACTGCAACAACTGTAATGCGGGATGTATTGGAGGTGATGGATAATCTGATAGATGACGTGGAATACACCAACGATGAGACTAAATGTGAAGTCAGTAAATTGATCTCTCTGGCATTAATGGGTCTCGAGGACGTTGCATTCCATTTTTTCCACCATTTTAAAGCTCTGTACAGGCTAGCTCACTACTACTTTTTCAGTACCAAGCACAAAAACCTGGGTCGGGTTCAGAAATTGCTTCTTGCCGCAGCCACTGAGAGAAACGTACTCTGTCCAGGATTATTTTTCGGAAGAAAACCCAATCAGATCTTTAATGATATCTGGAGAATACCAATATCGGAGATAGATAGACCAGGCAGTTTTGCGTCCCATTGCTCCAAGATTCTAACCCTGCTCCTTGATGTTCTCCGAAGCCTGCCTGATCTGAACACTCTGACAGATATTGCTCTGCAACTCCGAAAACCTCCGACCGAGGAGAACAAGTTTGTTCATGAGAATGACAGGTTGGAGGTGGGTACTATGGCCAACACCTATCTAATCAACACAATCAAGCAGATCGTTACTAAAGCTGTGACTGAAACTGAGACCAGGAGAATATCTTCACTCCTGGATATATACAGGGTTTACCAGAAGCTAGTTAAACAATGGCCAGGAAAGGATAAAGAGGTTTTATCCTTTGTTAAGGAACTGTACGGAAAGATAAAGGGACGAAGTGAGAAGGATAAGATCAGTAATGATGAGGTTTTTAAGTTTTGTAATCAGGAGATGGGAAAACAAAGGTCTGGATCGAAGAATGCAACCTCCAGTACAGTCTGGAGCAGTTCTGGAGGAGTGCAGGCCAATAAACCCAACCCTGCTAGCACTTCAACTATTCCGACCACAGGGTTCCAACCTCGCACTTACAACTCCAAGCAATCTACTCCCTCTCTGCAATCCAGCACCCAACCTTCCAATCCTAGCTCTAACCTACCAAGTCTAACTCCCGAATCTCAGAAACACTTTACTGAGTATTTAGATAAGATTTCAAGATTTCAGGAGATGGTCTTAATGAATATTCCCAACATGTCACTCAATCATATCGCCTCCCTGAGTGATCTCAAGTTTGAGGATCAACCTCGAAACGTCAACAGTTTATTTCAGGCGCTCCAGAAAATGTCTCAGTCTGATCTGAAATCATTAAACATAGATACTACCAAACTAAATCTGATTGCTAGATTCGCTACTTCTATTGGATTAATTCAATCAGCTGTAAACTGTTATGTGAGCAGGATCAAGTCAATCATAAACCCTGTCCCTGTCCCTGTAGTTCAGAAGACTAAACCCATCCTGCAACCTACTCCTGGTTCTAGTACTTCTCCAGCAATGAACAAGGTCAACCTTGTCAAACCTCAGTTTAAACCTAAGATGACAGAAGCGCAGAGGAACCTGAAAAACCTTCAGATGTTGCTAAAACAGCAAGAGAACAACGCGGTCAGCGCAGCTAAAAATATTTTAGCCTCTAATAGCGTGACAATAACAAATGCTGCGTCAATAAAGTCTCAAGCTGGAATGTCTGTACCAGCAGCTAAATCAACCCCGCTACCCGTACCTAGAACCTCTTCTCCGGTAGCAAATAAACCTCCTGTTTCACAATCTACTATCGGAGCCATTAGCTCTAATATCTCAGAAAAGTTCAAGAATTTACCTTCAGGTATAACTTTAACGGTGGAAAGAAAAGAATCTCCAGGTCCCCCGGAACATAGTAATACTACCAGCTCTGGGTCCCCTCCTCGTCCTGTCTACCAGACTGGGAAGACGATGATGAAATCCAACTCTCCCGTACCCAGAGTACCGGATCCAACCATTCAAAGAGCTCAGAACTATACTAAGAAAACTACTCAAAAGAGTAAACTGGCTCAATTTAGAAATCAGGTACTGATTTTTTAATCTTAATTTTATGTCGGGGGGGGGGGGGATTTTTGAAGATCTAAAGAAATGTGAGAGTAAAGAGACTAAAATAATGTTTAAATACATTTTGTAACTCTTTGATTTAGATTTTGTGCCTTGTTCAAAAAAAGCTTCCTTATTTTTTAGTGTCTCATTTTAATAATGTGTAGGTTCAAAAATCCCTGATTCCTGGTGCTCAAGGTACTGTTAGAGCTAGTGGAACTGTTACACAGGTCCGGACAATGCCCCAGCAAGCTAGGGGAGGATTTAACCCCCAGCAGAGTAGAGGGGGAAAGATGGTTCAGGGTGGGCGAGGAGGGGGTGTCCAAGGAAAATCTGGACTTTACGGCCAGCCTGTCAGAAATAATGGTTCTGGAGTTCGAGTAACCCCACCGGTACGTTCATACATTAACTTTTTGAAGAAAAAAATACTTTGAAAGTATCTGACAATGTTTCGGGGGGGGGGGGGGGGTGGAATAAAATGTCAAATTGGAAAGTTTTGTTAACCCATTAAGAAAATGAGTCTTTACTACAAACTCTGATTTTCAAATCCCTATATCTTTGCTGAAATATTAAATTTTGACATCACCAGTTTGCAAATATTTAGGGACAAGAAAATTTGAGCAAAGGCTCAATTTCTTTGTTAACATTTCTCTAATTCCTTGAAAGTCTAAATCTCCACATTTTTTTATGAATAAAGAATTATATTTAGGTGAAACCTGCTCCCAAACCATCATCAGAACCAGATATTATCTGTATAGATATAGACTAATGGCCTTCATTTATCTGGAACTATCCTCATCATTCAACAAAACAATGGATCACAAAATAAATATCTTCAGAAAAAAAAACAGTTATAAATTATCCTGCATTTATATATTTATATCATGTATTTTCTGTTTGCGAAACGCATGTTTTCCTATTTGTATACTGAGAATCCTTGGTGTACTCTAAAGCTGTGGACCTCTCTTATGTATGTACCTGATTTCAGAGGTCAGGATGTCAAGCACTCCCGTGTTTAAGCAGGACCTCCCACCACAGGGAGGATATGCTCCCATTAACTTTAAGAGAATACCTGCGAAGACGGTCAGTTCAATATGATCTATAGAAAATTTTTAGCTTTAAATAAAACTGAAACGGAAAATTCACCTCTTTTGATATTTTCCCCCTAAACTTCTTTTTATTTTACCCCAATAATCAATAACCATGTGTTCCCATAAGTTTAAGTGCATCAAAAATTCCTCCACTTTAAAGGCAAAAGATTAACTTTAAGGAGTTGTTAAAAGAAAAGGCGCAAAAAATTCTTTCTCGATTCCCCCAAGAATATGTTTCCCCACATGTTGGAATTCAGCAAAATAGAGAAGGATTTAGAAAATGAAGAAAAAACAAATTCGCCTCTTCTATTTGATTTTTCCCGCAATCGTCTATTTCTTTATGAGTTTAAATTCAGTCAAAATTTCTAGCGTATTGGGCATGAACAAAAGTCTAGAAGGGAAAAGTTTTTTTGTAGTCTTGATTTATGATTTATTTCCAGTTTGAATTCAACAAAAATAAAATTATGAGTTTTAACTCTTGCATATACCTTCTTTGTGGCGATTTAGTTTTGTTTTATTTCATATTTTCATTGTTTAAGGTTTTAAATGCACCGATGATCTACGGTGGATTTTTTATCTCTCTTGGTATTGGTTACTGGACCTACAAGAGAGGGATGAAACAACTTGTTGCCGAGGTTAGTTTTTTTATGTCTCAAAAACATTAATTTTGTTTAAATAAACATAGTAAATATGAATCCCATTATCTCGCTTTCAATTTAAATTTTCTTGATTCTATTTTTAAGTTATCTTATTTCCAAAAAACTCCATTTTTTCCTCCTACTACTTTTGAAGTTTAATTTAAAAATTAATCTTCATAATTTCCAGAGTTATTAATTTAAAGATTTGATCTCCAAAGAAGAAATATTTTGCTATGAAAATAAACGTCGTTGTGTTTAAATAAATCCCCCCACGTCTGCAATCAAGGTTCTCCCAGATTTTGTGCTTTTCAATCTCATCTTTCTTGTATATATTATTAAAACTGTTTTTGTTTTAGAAAATTGAAATGAAGAGTGCAGATCTTGCGCTTACACCTCTTATGCTTGCTGAGAGAGATAGAGAGTTTCTTAAGCAATGCAGAAAGTAAGGGAAACTTTAAACATTAATACAAATCAATTTTTGAAATGAAGAATATATATTTACTCTGGAATCACTTGAATTCTTACACGTTTTTTTTCATTAAAAAAATGCTCTTTATTTTTACTTTTACTTTTTTGCTACTGTTAGTAAGACTTAATGGACTTCTGGACTTCATAGTTGCCTAATTTTTTGAGAATTTTTGCAAATTTTTTCTCATCAATTGTCAGGTACTGCTTTTTCTGCTGATTTTACCTGAGCTGCAGCTGATTTTCTCTGATTATCCAGCCAGTCTTTCATATTCCGATAGTTTGTTTTGTGTGGTATTGTGGCTAAAGTATTTGGATATTGAAGGGGTTGAATTGATGGCAGAGGTATGTTATTAACTGGATGTTGAGTGGGTGGCTGAGGTTTGTAGTCAGCTGGCTTATGAAAGTTTTCATATTCATCATCTTCCATAAGCTATTCTTTGATTCTTATTGGATTCCATGCAGAGGTTTTCATACTGTTTTTGACTGTGTTTTTGTTGGGTGGCTGTATGTTGTATGGATGATTTTTGATTATGGAAATCCTTTTTTTGTCTTTTATGTATGATGTAGATCTCACATTTGTTAATTCAGCGTTGTGTGAGTGAATGATTTTATGCATTTGTATGTTGGTTTCCTGACCGTCTGTAACTAGAAAGGTATCCCTGGCTTAATGCTTATCATTCTGAGATGGTATGATTGCAAGATCACCAGTGGCCGAATTTAAAGAATTTGAGCGGCGGTTTAAATTTAAGCCGCGGCTTAAATATGGTTGGTTCCACTTAAAATTGTATCAAATGTTTCAAGATTTAAGCCGGCGCTTAATTTAAACCGGGTTTTGGCGGATTTAAACTGCGGCTCAAATTCTTTAAATTCCATCTCAGGTTTCAGCTGAGAAGTGCTTGTTTTGACTTTGAGATTGTATTTTGTTCTTCAATTGATCAAGTCTAAGTTGCTCATAATCAAGGTTTAAGGTTTTACTTGTATTCATATCTCTAATGAAATGCATCTCAAATCTTTCCTTGGCGGCACAGTTTATAGTTCAGGAGGTTGACAGCATGATGTTGTTTGGTTGTGTGGTGAGTATAAGCTGTTTTCTTTATGTTTCAGGAATTGTATACTTCTTTTTACTGTTTATTGTTTCCAAAGTATTGGTTTATTGAATTTTCTTTGATAAAATTGTTACAGAGTTCTTTTGTGACAATTGCTTGAAATCTGATCTGCCAGTTATTTCTGTTGAGGGTGATATCAATTTCTCCTGCTGAGGGCATTTTAGTTTTACCATCTTCAAGATTAGATAACTGGGAGTTTAGTTTTATAACAAACTCATAGGATAAAACAGTTGATAATTTTGCATAGCTAATAGTGGCTCCAGAGTCCAGATCAAGATCAATGTTTTTTTGTTTTCATCTTGAAGAGAGAGAGTCTGGGTAGGGATGGGTTGGATGAAGTAGCAGGCCGGTTCATTCCCGAAATTATGAGAGTTTTGAGTGTTATGATGGAGTGTAAATAATGGAATTTAAACCTGCTCTTGCTGATCCTCAGGTTCAGTTTCTTTATCCATAGTCAGCAGCTGTCTTCTCCAGTGTCTTCATCAAGCTGTACAGCATTTAACAGTGCAGCTGTTCATGACCAGCATCTGCAAGTCTTTGTTGGTTAGTAATGGACAGGTTGGTTGGCCAAGATAACGGCTGTGGAGAAGTGATTGCCTTTTGATGCTTGGTTGAATCTTGGGTTAGGAGGCTGCTGGGAGTTGAATCATGGAGGTCTGTGGAAGAAAGTTTTGGGACTTCGGTTGTTAACAACCAATAAAAGATTGTGGTTGGAATGAGCGGTTTTGTTGATAAGATGTCCTCCTGTAGATACGTGCAGGCTCTTCTGTGAATGTTGCAGATTATTGTGGCGATTCAATTTCTTGTATGTTTTGTTTTGCCTTGGTTAGGATTCTGTTTTGAAGTCCATCAGTCTTTTATCTGTGCTTATTTTGTGTCCATAGTTTTCTTAGACAAAGGCAGAAAGCTTAGGATGTATGAGTGTGAGGACATTGAGAAGGATAAGATCTTCCTGGGTTGGGGATAATTTTTCAGCAGTTGCCATAGTCTCTTGTTTCCAGCGTATGACATCTCCTTTCTTTGCCATGGATTCCATTATGTGGCTTCTATAGCTGTTGTAAGATCCAATTGGTGTGGTCTGTGCTGTAGGATCATACAAAAATTTTAGAATGTTTAGGAAGTGAATACCTTGTTTTTGTATGTCATAGTCTTTCCTGATCTTTTTGTACACCCATTGTAACCTAGTACTGTGGGGGACAATAGGTTATTTTTGGAGGTCATTTTAGGTCGTTAAAGGTCAATAGATGGTCAAACACTGGATTCATTGATGCTACTTTATTCCCTGGGTTCCTATCTTTCGTTTGATATGCCTAAAGCCATAGTTAAAACATTTTTATTTTGGAGGTCATTTTAGGTCATTAGAAGTCGTTTGAGGTCATTAGAAGGCCAAACACTGGATTCGTTGCTGCTACTGTATTCCTGGGGTTTCTAGCTTTTAATTGATATGCATAAAGCCATAGTTAAAACGTTTTCATTTTAGGAGGTCATTTAGGTCATTAGAGGTCGTAAGAGGTCATTAGAAGGTCAAACACTGGATTTGTTGCTGCTCCTGTATTCCATGGGTTCCTAGCTTTTAATTGATATGCATAAAGCCATAGTTAAAACGTTTTCATTTAGGAGGTCATTTAGGTCATTAGAGGTCGTAAGAAGTCATTAGAAGGTCAAACACTGGATTTGTTGCTGCTACTGTATTCCCTGGGTTCTAGCTTTCGTTTGATATGCATTAAGCCATAGTTGAAATATTTTATATTTGTGGAATCATTAGAGGTCATTAGAGGTCATTAAAATTCAATTTTATTTTATTTTAGGAATTTCAATCAATAATTAGGCGTGCAGCCAAACAATTGGAATATAGGAACCAAAAATGAGGGAAGGCCCCCCTGCTCATCAAGAAGCACATCTCCACCATCCCCTTTAAAATTTAAATTCTTAGAAACCGTGATGCCGAGGCTAAGTTAATGAAGGATGTAGAAGGTTGGGAGGTTGGAACCTGGTATGGACACCCCATTTACAAGGTAAAATATTGAGGAAGGGGTGGGGGTGGCGGTATTTTCCGCTATAGCACTTTTGGAAATTAGTTTTCTATGAAATATTTCTTGCAATGGTTGACACTTGTTTACATACCAACCTCTGTTGTTTCAGACTACCGGAGATAAATGGTTTGATCCCGAGGTTAACGAATTCTACGCACACACTTCAAACCCTGAAAAGAGAAAGTTCGGAAATCATGTTAATTGGCTCAAGATGGACTAAAATATATTTATATCTCCTAGGTTAGTTTAGTCGTGTATACTGTTTCAGATAAAGATGAGAGTATGGAGTATTTGAGTATGCACCTGCCGGAGCTTAAGTTCGGTCGGAAGGATGTAAATGTTCAGGCGTACGAGCAGGCGCTTACCAGCTGGACGGATGATGTTCCCACGTGCAGGTTAGTTTTCGGAGTTATTCCTCGTATATTTTTTCTTCTACAATTATTTCCTCTGTTGTTCCGATGAGTTGAAGAAAATAAATGATTTTTTTGGGTAAAAGGTCTCAAAATAAGGGGAAAACCTTGTATCTATCACTAGCTGTAATTCCATATCTCAAACTTTAGTTAGTTCATAGTTCATATAGCAGGGCGCCCCTAAAACTCTGATTGATTGATTGATGTCCAATTTTCTATGTTCCATCTAAGAAAAATTTCCTGCTTCATTCTTCACAAATTCCATGGCTTTCCATTTATTTATTATTTATTATATTACTCTGATGGCTTTTCAAGTACATTCTCTTGAATGATTGATTCTGATTGGTGAGTGAGTGAGTGAGTGAGTGAGTGAGTGAGTGAGTGAGTGAGTGAGTGAGTGAGTGAGCGAGTGTTTGTGTGATCTTTTGTTTGTTTGTCTGGGTGGGTGGTTGCCTGGGATTGATTGATTGTGTGTTTGTTTGATTTGATTAATTGATTGATTCTGACTTGTGTAGGGAGAGTGGTGTTGGCTCAGCTATAAACGAGCTATACCGGAGGGATGGAAGTAGAATTCAAATTCATTCTTTTCAAGACAGGTTAGACCGGGGTTTTTATATTTTGCTCATTTTGTAAAAAAAATATCAAATTGATATTATTCACCAAAAAGGTTAGAGTTTAACCAGGAGGGATGATAGTTCTCTACCTGTGTGCTCAGTTAGCTTTACTGTACACTTACAACTGTTTACTAATATTGATATAGCATAGGTTAGGCCAGAATCTCTTTTTAATAATCAAATATGCAGTACGCTCTCGGTATAGTTAATAGCCTATACAATTAGTTAAGGATTAGCGTACATCATCACTCTATACACTATAACCTCGTTGAGTTTAACATTCCCTCTTCTCATTAATCGGCTGAAATAATAGCAGCAAATCAAAGTAATTCTTAAACAATATATTCAATTTTTCTCCATTTCTAAAAATAAAAAATAACTATTTTCCATCGAGATTATTGCAAATATAGATATACAGGGTGTCCCACATTAAATTAGACCGCGTCAATGGGTCTAAATTACGATTTGGGGGACAAATTAGAAAATTTAAGAAAAATTAATCATTTTGAAAAATTTGATAAGGCAAATAGAAATTTTTTTTTTGCAGAAAATGCTAGATTTTTTGTATAATATGTGCGTATTTAGGTTTTAAAGATTGGAGATAATCTAATATGATATGGGACGCTCTGTAAAAAATTTGTTAATATATCCATCTGTTTATTTTTTGACATTTTCTTCTAGATCATTTCGGTTTCGAGTAGAAGACTACGACCTCTGTGTTTACGGAGTATTCGATGGGTTCGGCGGAGCTCAGGTTGCAGATTTTGTGACGAAGCGGATACCGGCGGAACTGCTCTGGGGTCAACTCGTCCCGGAAAAGTCAGGTTAGATCAGTTTTAGAAAAGAGGGTTTTTTTGGAAAATATATACTTTTGTGTTATTAGATGAAACCTTTTATTTATTTCATATTTTTTAGATGAGGCTGTGAAAGAAACCCTACGTCAAGCTTTCATTAGTGTTGATAAAGAATATTTCGAATCAATAGGTCAGTATTAAGATATATTCTGTATTTACTGCTGCCTAAGATGTAGTGAGCTGACCGTTAAAAAAAAAACAGAAAATAAAAGTCCAATTCTGATTTATATCTCAATCAATCAAAAGGAGAAAAATTGTGGAAAATAATTGTTCAATCTTCAATTTTCATCAAAAAGAAATAATAGAAAAGTTGCATTTTCACTTTATCTGGTAGAATCATCTTATCAATTATCATATCATAAGGAGGATTGGGAATTCCAGCTGTAATCGTTTAGTTTCCTAATAACCTTTTATTTATCTAGGAGACAGATTAGCTGCTAGAATGGTAATGCAGTGTGATCCTCAGTATTCCTCTAGCTCCCAGCTGGAGGAGCTGGAGGACCGGGTTCGGGCAGGCTCTGCTGGTGTACTGGCGGTTGTACTAGGAAACCGGTTATTTGTCGCGAGTATAGGAGACTGCAGAGCCCTTTTATACAGGTTTACGAATTCTCTTGTAATTTTTTTCCTGAGACATGCATAGGGGCGCGGCGTCGAACAGAGGTTGTGATTGAGCCCCCCCTCCCAAATCCCCCATTAGAGAAGTGGTTCATTATGTTCCGTTTCAGATAACGGGAACTTAGCCCCCCTAGATCAATTCCTGTGTACGCCCCTGGATATGTTTGGCAGTATACGTGTTATACAATTATAAAAGATCCCTTCAATAATATTTTATTTGTATCCGGAGTAATCTCCATGATACTTTTTTTCAGAAGCGGCGAGATTCTTCCCTTGTCCATTGATCATACAATATATAACGAAGACGAGCTTCTCCGTTTATCTCATCTTGGTGTCGATCTCAAACTAGGAGTTTCCTACCCAGAGCTAGGAGAGAGATCTTACACAAGGTCGGAGAATTACTTATGTATTATTGCATAATTTTCTGAGGTCGGATTTAATGACTATAGCGAGTGGTTGAACTAGGTTTGGATAGTTCACCAACTTCTCTAGAACCCTCTCGCATACACTTTTCTATATTCATTAATTTCAATATACTGTCAGTTGAATAAAAAAAATTTATGTTAGATTTAATTGTATTTGATTTGATTTGATTTGATTTGATTTGATTTGATTTGATTTGATTTGATTTGATTTGATTTGATTTGATTTGATAGGTGTTTGGGAAACTATCCTGTGAAAGGTGGGTACAAGGAGTCAACCCTCCTTGCCTCCTGTCAAGACGAACCTGTGATACCTGAACCTGAAGTTCTTGGAGGAATTCCTATCCAGGACTTCTCCTTCCTCCTCCTCTATACGAAGTCTCTGTGGCACGCCGTGGCTGAAGCAACTGGATGTCAAGATCCGGATTCAGAGATTGCCGAACTTTGTAGATATTACTTCAGGTACATTATTTAGTTAATATTTTATAAAAACCGTTAAGATAAACTATTAAGATATATGTAGACAGTCTCATAGTTCTAATATCCTGCGTTTTTCGAATGGAATATTATTTCTTTTTTTTATTCAAGACAAAGCTACAGGGTCTTCCACTAAGGACCACACTTTATAGACAATTGTACGGATTCTGTCTTGATTCTATAACTGAAACTGGTTTTTTTCAAATCATGTGATGCACCATAATGGACTATGTTAAAAATATAAGACCAAATTTAACCTTAAGTTCGAAAGAATATCAGAGTGTTTCAGATCACTAATGGAAACAAGCAGAATAATCTAGGGCCCTTCGATATACCATGAACAATCTTAATACTTAAACCTTTTTTTTGAGTTCTTTTGTTTTGTTATGATTTATCATTAAATCGGAGAAAATAATTTTAATCAACCTTTCCTTAATATTGCATTTTGGATTTGATAGTTTGTTCAATTTTTTTCATTTTGTTTAGAGAAGAATCAAGTTTATCCGGAGTAGCCCAAGCAGTAGTTGACCAGGTTGTCCGGTTACATCATGACCGCCTGGAGGCTAGTGGAGGTAGAGCAGATACAAGAGAGGACATCACCCTTCTTATCAGAGAGTTTGGAGGATGCCGAGAACCTCGTGGGAATACTCCGGGTAGAGGGTTGTCCAGAGGGTTGATGGATAAGAAGGAGGAGAAAACGTTAACCCGGAGTAGTGCAAGGTATATCAGAATTTTGTTCATACAAAATCATTTAATTGGCCGGTTATTAAAGAAATACAATCACAAATACACATTACACAGCAATACCTTCATTCTCTGAGTAACGATGACTTGATTCTATTTTTGATGAGACAAATCTTGGCCATATTTTTGTGCGTTTATGCTATGAAAATCCGCAATCTGTGAATTGTTGATGGCGCTTTAACCCTATCCCTGCTGGGGTACTTGAAAACCAGGATACGCTGGGGTCCCCCAGCAGGAATAGGGTTAACAATTGTCATGGCATCAATTAATGGACAGTTTTAAGATTTCGTTTACAATCCCTTTAATTTTGTATTATTTCTGCTAGACCATCCCGACCTACAAGATCCAGTACAACTACTGAGAGTAGTGGAGTATATCTGGCAGGGAAAGAGATACCTATAGATGAACACGGACGGATACAACCCTACGTTGACTTTGCTCCGTTCTATCAACTGTGGAACCAACGGAAGTTCTCTCAAGGTTCTTCGGATAAGTGAGAAGACTGATGGCAGAAACAGAATGCAAGAAGACTAATTATTATGTCAAACCAAAAGTATTTTTTGCGTCCCAAAATAGTAATAATCGAACATTCCCTTCATTCCGAAGCTGCTTAAATATTAACCGCCCCCCCCCCCCAACAAAAAAAAAACTCTTTCAGAAAATGCGCAAAGTCATATCCCAGTTCAGGGAACTCGGAACTATACTCTGAAAGAGCTTATAATTGACAAAGTCTTTCTGAATTGTGCGTATCTCGTGCATGAGATTTTTATTTTACGAAAACTGTCACAAATAATTAGGCACGGGTTCAAAGTAGTGCTGGGCATCTTATTTGATCTGCATATCAAACAATCGGGGTGTTTTGGATTTCAAGAAGTTTTGCAAAAATTATTGCTTTACAACTTAACCGGTTTGCAAAGTGCATGAAGAACAAACTTTCGAATATCAAAATTTCTAGTTTTTTGAGGAGAAACTTGACAATCAAAACCCTTGAATGTGATTAAATTGGATCCTGACACTATTTCTAAGTGAAGTTTCATCCTTAAGTACAAGAATATATGTATTGTATAACATTTATGTATTATATGTAATGTATCCAATAACTAGTCGAGTTGCTATTATTATAATAAATGAAGTAATTCTCTCGTTTTTTTAAACTTCCTGAGAAATTAAGAATTAGACCGGTTGAGTCTTGGACGAGTTGTTTATAGTTGTTCATAGGAAGAAGGAACAGTCTATGTTTGTTAAGTTTGCAAATTATAAATGGGTAGAAAGGGAAGGAGCCTAAATATAATTAGCAAGTTTGGACTATCAGAGAATTTTTAAATCCTTTTAGGAATATACTTATGATAAGAATGTAAAATGCGGGAAGAAGAGTATCATTGATAAAGTTTTATTTTACTCTAATAACAGATGAGAAAGAATCGCTTTTGCCATGAGAATAAAGCAAGGTTCATGAACCAATGAAAAAAATGGATTAATTTGAGAAAGACAATTATTCGAATAAAACTTCAGAAATTTCTTTTAAAATCAAATAATTGAGTTAGTAACTCGGATTATTTACGGCCACAAAGAAAAATAGAAAAGAACCCGTGTCAAGTAAGACATTTTGTAATATCTCTTTCAATATTAATAGCAGCCGGTTCTATTTTTGAACGTAGACTCATATAATTTGTTAGGAGCAGGATATGAAGTCAGATTGTCGATATCTCTTTCCGGAGTCTTGGAACCTCTGAAAAGTGACCTCCGTCGGCTCCGATTTTTTATCTCCGGCCTCGTTGGACATAAATAGCCCATTTTTTAAATATATACTCCCAATNGGTCACTTTTCAGAGGTTCCAAGACTCCGGAAAGAGATATCGACAATCTGACTTCATATCCTGCTCCTAACAAATTATATGAGTCTACATTCAAAAATAGAACCGGCTGCTATTAATATTGAAAGAGATATTACAAAATGTCTTACTTGACACGGGTTCTTTCGAATCTGTTTCTGAGGATCATTGGTATCGTATTCAGTATTCATAAAGAGAAATATTTCTAGTAGTATAAAATATTTATTAACTGAAAAACACAAGAAAGACGCAAATATTCACAATGTCTGGGATTTAAAAATGTTTAAGAAGAGAGTCCTTAAAAAGGAATCAACAAAAGAAACCCCATTTAATATTGACATAACTTTTTGTACACGTAGATTATGGGGGTTCCTTATCTTTATTAAAGTCCTTAGGAACATGAAAATTATGTGAAGAAATTTAATTTATCGTTTTGAACACCGCAGTATTTCCTATTTAACATAATATAATTATATGAATCCTAATTTCATTCTTTTGAAATGTAACTGATAATCCTAGACTTATGATATCTCCATAATCTTTTAACATATAAAGGAGAACGACAAAAAAAGCGCGATTAATTTTGTACAATTAAGAACATTTCATCAGCATTTTAAGATTCATTAAATTTCATCAACAAGTTCCCATGTTTGTAAAGATTCCCTGTACAATATGCATAAAACTACAACTAAGATAACAGAGCTTGGAACTTATAAATGAATGAATTAAGTTAAACACGATCTATCCTCGCAGCGGATTAACTGATTACAAAAATACACCAGTATGTTTGTCCAATCAAAGATCGGTTTTAACCAATGAGAGATTGATTAATCCTCTACTCATCCAGTACATTTAAAAGTTCCTACCACAAGATCTCTTAAAGTTGATTGAAAAATATCCGTTTTGTGTATACCCCACTCTCCACTAAAAGCTACTAAATATTTTTGGTCAGTGTACTGCAAATTACTTCAGAACACACCGAAAGCTTAGTTAATGGTGACCCAGCGAGGTTACTCAGTTTATCCGAGTGCTTTTACTGCTAGGGCGAGCTTATTCCTTGCTTCCTTGACCTTCTCCTCCTGTTCTTTGATCTCGAGATCGGATACCTCCAGGTCGGCCACGAATGGTTGCTCAGGGTTCAGGAATAAAACAGGGTTCTTCTCTTCAGGAATATTTTTCTAAAATTAAAGTAAAATTTCTACCATTTTATTATTGACACTAAAACTTTTTATGTATAAGATACTATTATTCATAAATTTTATACCTATAATCAATATATTGTTAAATACGTTTTTTTATTTGTAAAATCCATCTTTCGGACAGCTAGAGTAAATATGGTAAATATATTTATTTATATACATCATTTTTATCTTAATTTCAAAATACATACTAGCTTTAGAATCCGGCTTTGCCCGGAAACTAAATTTTCGCCATAAAAGTAAACCCATGCATTTTAGAACTTTTAACCCAACCTAAAATAAAATTCCCTTGTTTTGCCAGAATCTCAATCTAAAATTAAAGCAAATATCCAGGGGTTTATGAGTTGTGATCGGATCTATCCAATCCTCCCAAGCTTGGTGCTTACTGCAGTGGTTTGCACTCATCGAAAAAATAGTGTGTTTTATAGTGGCGAGTGAACAAAGAGAATAGAATATATATTGGAGTGGAATTTTGACAATCCTTCGGTATGAATTGTGTCAGTCCCTTTCAGCCTGAAAGGGAGTTCAAAGTGTACAAAGTGTAATGTAAATGTTCACAAATTATATGCAGTAGAGTACATTAATACAGTATATTCACTAGACTATCCATTTCAATTTAAAATTTTTTAAAGCTGTTAAATAATCTTTATAAATTGAATTAGGTGAATAAAAAACATCATTTGATTTATACTTTTAACGGGAAATCATCGTTTGTAAAGTGAAAGGCATAGAGTCTATGTGTAATGATCATTGGTCAATTATAAAACCAGCCTATAATTTCATAATTTGGTTTTCTTTTAATAATAATTTTAGATTTTCTATAAAATGATGTTCCAGGGCCCAAAAGGTTATATAGCGCAAATATGTGAAGTACAACTGCAGTATGGAAACAGTACAACAAAATGGCCGTTTTACACTTTTTGTTATAGTAAATTCCACTCTAATATATATTCTATTCTCTATGCGAGTGAAAAAGCAAACTTTGTAAATACAGATGCATGATATCGTTTCTCATTGATTTAATCTTAACATTAATTATGATATTATTAAATATTATTATATGTATTATATTCCTGATTTGAGACTCAAATAAAAAATAATACCCTTCCAATTTTAATTTAACTTTAATTATTGATTTAAAGATTGAATTGTTCGAACCTGTCCTAAAACTGGTTTCTTGTCTAGATGCAGTGCAGTACTAATGGAAGCTAGAAGAGTGCTATTACTAGTCTGACCCTGTAAACACTCTAATTCTTTAATCCTCCTTGGCAGACTCATCTCAAACAACTCGTCGTCCACGTTGCTAGAGGTTATATTACTCAGTCTCATCTCCCAGAAGAGTTGGCGAGGTTTCTCTTTCTCTGATTTTATATTCTTAACCTGGGTTTCATGCGTCTTAAACACTGTCACGGGTTGCTTGAAAATTGACGCAGTTTGACGGATTGGGGATATCAGACTATTTAGGTTCGTGGTCAGGGTTGCGTCAGTTACAGGTTTTTTCAAAGGTTTTCTGCTCCGTCCTGACTTTATGAGAGAGGATCCCATCTTGCCCGCGCTGTAATCGAACCCGGAAAGATCGAAGGTTTCTCCGATCTCTTTAATGAGATCATTTTTATTTCTAATCTTCTTTCCTGCCGGGCTGATGTAGAATACATCTAGTCTACCAGATGAGACTCCGTTCGTTCTCCGGGAGGTTTCCCGGATCCATCCTGGAGGTAAGGCGGAGCACAGTTCCTGAGATTTCTGAGAACTCATTCTTAACTCACTTCTGAACAAAAAATGGTCAAAATTATTTAATTCATATCTTTTTTTATTAAGTTTTATAATTTTATAGATTTCAAGTATTTGTAATAATTTATAGTTTAGTTAAATCCTACCAGGTTCTTCTGTTCTTCTTAGAAAAAATTGTTTGACACTTAACGAATTAACATAAATAAACAACTCAGAGCTCCGTGATGGTTTGTGTTGCTACTGAGTACTGAGTACTAACTGCAGGGTTACCAAGCTCTTCTAGAGACTGGAGCTCAGATGATATTCCAGCGATCAATTATGCCATTTTATGCTATTTTCTGTAAAATTGAAAATTATCCCGTTTATTCCGTTTTTAAAGCTACAATTTCAAAATTTGAGAAAATCATGCTGTTTTGGTAGGTTTCATTTTTTTCTCGCGCCTGCGCGGACTGGTCTTAAGCAAACATAAAATCTCTAAATTTATGAACATATTAGACTCCCCCCTACTCTGGGCCGGTGGGAGGTCTACGAGTGGGTCTACAGTAAATATTTAACAGTCGATGAGAAATTTCATAGAATCTTGTAAATATTTTCATGCTGGATGATATTTAAGAAGAAATATATTTTTTGGGACACATTTACAATCCCAAATTATGCCGATTTTAAAGAAAAATTGTGCTTTTTTCGGAAAAATTTTAAAAGTATGCTAAATTGTGCCGTTATGCTCTTTCAAAATATTGGATGCTTTTTAATTTTTGGTTTGTTTTGAAAAAACGGCATCCATTATGCCTGGTTGGAAACCCTGTAGTACTGACTGGAGCCGGGAAGGGGGGGGGCTCTACAGTGTCTAAATCGGCGGTTTCAATTTAATTCTCTTATTTATTTCGTTATTTCAACCCAGATTCATCCCTTCAAAACCTGACGGAAACTTTATTAAGATAAACTCACAAAACCCTCTTAAATCTTTCTACATTATCATTCCGTTTTTCATGAGTTTTGAGAATGAAATAAGTTTACTGCATAAAAATTGAGTTAAACCTGAAACCGCCAGGATTAAATAAAACCCTTTGCGCATGCTCGAACTGGTTCATCTCAAACCCAAACCCAAGATAATACAAAACAAGAGCCAAACAAAAACAATAATATGATGTGATACAGGTAAATGTTTACATAAACAGATCAAACAATTATTAGCTAAAGTTTTCCATGGACCAAATCCATTATGAAATGTTTGTCTAACAACAATTAATCTCTGGAATATAAAATTTATGTTTAATGATTACATTGTATTGTATTTAAAGTGTAACCGAACAGAAAATTTAATTTAAAAATGAATATTTTAGAATTACATTGCTTAATGATTGTTATTGACATTGTCGAGATATCTTTTGAGATTTGAACTTTGCTTCTTAAACCAAATAAAAAAACTTTTATTATTTAAATCTAGGATTTGGTTATTTCGAAATGTATAGTTTAGCCATACATCGAAAGAATTCATCAAATGTCGTATTCTTCACTTTCTGATGATGGAATGTTGCAGATATTTAGTTTTTTATTTAAATGATTTAAAACTGTTCCCGCACATTCATGGCTATTTATTTATTTTCCTAAATACTGAGATTTACGTAAAATAGTATAAAACCCACTGAAAAATTGTCAAGACGACATTTCATAAATTCTTTCGATGTATGGCTCACCTTGTACAATAGTAGAAATATTTACAATGTTAATCGAAAACTGTTATTTTGACACATTGAGATAAAAGTTAAATTTTTTTGGATAAATTGAAATTCACTTTTAAAAGATTTACTTATTGTAAGTTATTTACAACCAACAATTTTCTTTTAGGGATTTGAACAGAAGATGAGAAAACGAAGAATGAATTCACGATGAAAATGGACTTGAATAAAATCCTGGAAAGGTTTTTTCAAAACACGTTTTTCTTTCTTCTCCTTGGGTTTAATTTCTCCGACGGAATAGCTCCCTGTGCACAGGACGAGTTTCAGTGCGCTGATGGCTCCAGGTGTATCCCGTCCCAGTGGTACTGTGATGGTATCCCAGAGTGTCTGGATCTCTCCGATGAACCCGAATCCTGTCCCGAACCGTCCTGCCAGGAGGGTCAGTTCTCATGCAAGAAAACAGGTTGGAATATAATCTTAATTGTTTAACTTTTGCAATATTTTTAAACATGTTCTTATTTTAGGGAAGTGTATAATGGAAGGCTGGTTGTGTGATGGTGAGCTGGATTGTGGAGGATCAGGAGAAGATACATCGGACGAAGATCCTCTTCTCTGCTCAACCAACTCAACCTGTCCTAATGGACAAACCGCCTGTAGAGACTCAACCTGTATCCGGACAGAGCTTCACTGTGACGGAAAGGTTGACTGTGCAGATAACTCTGACGAAGGACCTTTTTGTGATTTGTTGGACTGTGAAAGTTTCAACTGTAGCTCCGAGTGTAGAATGAGCTGGCGGGGAGCTAAGTGTATTTGTCCTACCGGAAAGCAACCAGCTGGTGCTCTCTGTGTAGACGCTAATGAGTGCGCTGTTGAAGGAACCTGTGATCAACTGTGTACAGATCTACCTGGAACCTACCAGTGTGCTTGTCTTCCCGGATACAAGCTTGTTCCTCCCTCGTCCTGCCTCGCCATCAACTCCCCACTCAACCAACCTGCATCTCTTCTAATATCAAGCACTGATACAGTACAAAATATCCATCTGGATGGAAGAACGATTAAAAAATTAAACACATTGGACTCATACGCCATAGATTTCAACCATAGAAACCAATCCTTTTGCTGGATCTCACACTCATACAACACTACCCCAACAGTTTCAGGTTCCTCTATGAGTTGTTCTAGAATAGATATGTCGGAGAACTGGAGTTTACCTGATCCAGATCTATTCCCCTACTCCAACGTGAACCAGATTGCTCTGGACTGGGGAAGTGGGAACTGGTATTATCTGGATGAATCTAGAGAATCTATATTCCTGTGTCGACTAGTGGAAGGATCTACCAAACAGTTTTGTAAAGTTGTGATCAATACAAGAATGAGTAAACCTAGAGGAATTGCTCTGGATCCTTCTGCAGGTAATTCTTACAATCTACATTTGGAAATTTTAAATATTTTAATTTGTTTTTTAGAAAGGAGAAGAATTATAAAAACTTGATTTATGTTCAAAAATTAAGCTTTAAATCAATTTTTTTATATTTTTTCTTCACAAAAAAAATGGTATTATATTCTTCTTGTTAAGGTTTCATGTTCTTCACAAGCAGTGGTTCAGCTCCACCCAGGCTAGAGAGAGCAGGGTTGGATGGTTCACAACGGAAAATCCTGGTTGATACTAAGATAGTCTATCCCTATGGAGTAACCGTAGACCATCCAAACAGGTAGAAAAATGGGATAATTAATACAAACCCCCGTTTTTTTTTTGAAATATAAAAATGTAAATCAACAAATTATCTAGGCATGTTTACTGGGTGGATACGTACTTAAACTACATAGAACGTTGCTCCTATAACGGAGAAGGAAGGATAACAGTGGTTCGAGGCTCTCCAGTAGAACACCTTTACACGCTCTCAATCTTCCAAACAAGTATATTCGTCACATCCTGGAGAGAAAACTCAATTCTTCATCTGGACAGATTCAAACCTACAAATATTTCCAAGTAGGTTTAAATTTCTAATTTATACTGTTTGATTCATCAAAATATTGAGAATGATTTATATATTTAATTTTTTAGAATTGTTCAATCCAAATCCCGCCCGTTCTCTGTTCAAGTTTACCATAGAGCTAGGCAACCTCTGTATACCAACCTAACTGTAGATATTCATCCATGTTTGGAGAGGAACCCATGCCAACATGTAAGTTTTTATTCTTCATTGAAAACCATCCTTGATCTTCTCATTATGAACCATGTCTGTATTCCGTCGTCTTCCTTACCTTTTCCTTACAGATTATAGTAAAAACATGTTAAGTTATATCAAAACTGTTAGTCTGGAAGAGAAAGAGGTTAAAATCATAAACATTTGCGGATCAATCAAATTAATTTTTTCGTTATGAATTTTAATTTTTAATCTTTAGTTCTAACTTCAAGATTTTTCCTTTAGTTTTGCATCCCGCTCTCCGTGTCTCCGTACTACAAGTGTGTGTGCAGATCAGGGTTTACTCTCTCCAACTCCGGGTCCAACTGTATCCTGCAAACTGTCAAGAATATACTTATCTTCGGACAACAGAAACCAGGGATGATCCGTGGAATCACATCCAGCAGCATGAATACAGATGTAAGTTAGTTTTTAGAAATCAACAAATTTTTTAATATTTACCATTTTTTAAATGTTTTTATTTTAGGTAATGATACCCGTCTCTGGGATCTCTAGACCAACCACAATGGATTTCCATTTTAAAACCAAATATCTATACTTCTCTGACTCCCAAGCTTTAAAGATCGAACGTGTGAAAATGTTTGAGAACAAGATGATCCGGGAGGATTTTATCACTGAAGGATTGAACAAGGTTGAAGGATTAGCTGTGGATTGGGTTGGAGAGAACCTGTACTGGAGTGATGAAGGATTACAGAGTATATTTGTGATCTCTCTTCTTGATCCTAGCTCAAGGAGGACCTTGATCAACTCCGGGACCAGTAATGTAAGATCATTGTCTTTAGCAGCTGGGAAGGGTTTGATGTTCTGGACGAACTGGAACAATATTGAAGGCGGGATATCATTCTCTGGTACGATCTACTCCGGTTGGATGGACGGCACCAATATACAAGCTCTGGTCACATCAGAGCTCCAGTGGCCAAATGGTCTTGTTTACAACTCTGACACAGAAACTTTGTATTGGTGTGATACATTCCTAAATAAGGTTGAATCCTTAAAACTCGGAGATGATCTAAACAAGAATTCTGTCTCGCAACGGAGAAAACTTATTCTTTCTGGAGAGCGGTATACATCCCGTCCCTATGGTCTCACGTTCTACAAGAATGAACTGTTCTGGACTGAGTTTATTAACGGAAACATTATTACCCACAACCTAGAAACAAATATAACCTCAACCATTCTCAAGAATAATCCTCAAATGTTTGAAATCAAATACTTCTCTGCATCTGCGCAGAAGGTGTCAAAGATGGATTGTTCTGCGCTGAAATGTTCTCACCTCTGTTTGATAACTCCTGCAGCTCCTGTATGCTCCTGTCCTAATGGATTACAGTTAAACCTGGATATGAAAACCTGTGATAAGAAACCTGATATCACAAATGCCGAGTGTAAGGAAGGAGAATTTAAGTGCAATGATCCCTCAGGATTGTGTCTAAGTCAGGATAAGGTTTGTAACGGAGTTAAAGACTGTTCTGATGGTTCGGATGAAACCCTGACCGAGACTTGTTTCCATGATGGAACCTGCTCCGAGGAGCAGTTCACCTGTCTCACTAGCTCCGAATGTATATCTAAGATGTGGATGTGTGACGGGGATGAGGACTGTGAGGATGGAAGTGATGAAACTGAAGAAATGTGTTCTACCCTGGAGTGTGAGGAGGATAAGTTTGAGTGCTCCGGTGACGGTAAATGTATCCCTGGGAGCTGGGAGTGTGACGGAGTACCTGATTGTCCTGATTCTAGTGATGAACACCAGGGTTGCTTCAATGTTTCATGTTTATCTACTCAGTTCACCTGTGATACCTACAAGTGTATACCCAAGGACTTCAAGTGTGACGGAGAGGAGGATTGTACGGATGGAACGGATGAACAAGGTTGTCCGCAAATCTGCGAGGATGGACTGTTTTTCTGCTCCGTTGATTGGCAGTGCATACCAGAGAATTCTATCTGCAATGGACAGAAGGACTGTACGGACGGAGAGGATGAGAGAAACTGTCCAACTCAGCTCCAGAGTCGGTGTGAACCATCAGAGTTCTTCTGTGGAGATGGAACTTGTCTCCCAAGTAAGTTTGTTTGTGATGGGAACCAGGACTGTGTGGACGGATCAGATGAAAATCATGGGAACTGTACATCTAACTGTAGAAGCAAGGAAATATCTTGTATTTCCGGACATAAATGTATCCCTGTATCCTACTGGTGTGACGGGGACATAGATTGCGAAGACGGATCGGATGAGTCGACATGTAACAGTGTGATGCATTGCAATTATCCGAATCTGGAATGTGACTCAAGGTTGAATAAAACAAAATGTATTAATGCAGAGAGATTATGTAACGGAGTCCAGGATTGCAAAGACGGATCGGACGAGGGATTGCTTTGTCCTGAGAAGCAGTGTGATAGTTTGATAAATACCTGCTCCGACGTGTGCTTTAATTCTCCTGATGGACATCGTTGCTCCTGTCCAGCAGACCAGTACCTGGATCAATCTCGGACCAACTGTACAGACCTTCATCCTTGTAGTCAGTGGGGCACATGTTCTCAACTCTGTAAACAAATATCAGGACACAGGCATAAATGTTTCTGTCATAAAGGTTACTCTCTCCAGTCGGACAAGTTTACATGTAAGAGTAAAGATGAATCTCATCCCAGAATAGTTTTCACCAATAGACATGAACATAGAGCTATTGATCTTAGACGTGGTAAAGCTAGAACCATTCTCTCCAACCTGAAGAACACTATAGCTCTTGATTTTTTTATATCCAAGAGTAAAACTGAACTCTTCTGGATGGATCTGGCGGATGATTCTATTTATAGAGGAACCTTGAACGAAGAAATGATCTCCGACATGAAGCAAGTTGTTCACTCCGGACTCACCACGGCAGAAGGTTTGGCTGTTGATTGGATCGGAGAAAACTTGTACTGGATTGAATCCAACTTGGATCAGATTGAAGTAGCAAAAATCAATGGATCCTTCCGGAAAACACTGATCTCAGGAAACATGCATAGTCCTCGCGCCTTGGCTCTGGATCCTGGAGAAGCTATCTTATTCTGGACAGACTGGGATTCTGCTGGGAACTCAAGAATTGAGTCCTGCTCTATGGACGGAGATGAGACCCAGAGGAGAATTGTTTTCCTGGTTTCCAGTTATGGAGGAGCTTGGCCCAACGGGTTAACCCTGGATTATCTTGTAAGACGTATTTACTGGATAGATGCTAGAAGTGACTCGGCACACACAACATTCTACGACGGGTCCGATCACAGAGAGATTCTCCGAGGTCATCAATATCTTTCTCATCCTTTCTCTCTTGCTCTGTTTGAATCACATATCTATTGGACAGACTGGAGAACTAACTCAGTTGTTAGAGCAAACAAATGGAACGGAACCGATATCAAGGTTATGGATAAAACTTTAAACAAACCTTATGGGATCAAGGTTGTCCATCCTTCTCTTCAAATCCGTCCTAGAAAACCTCATCCTTGCAACCTAAATAACGGAAACTGTTCTCATCTATGTTTATTGGGATTGAATCGAACTGCAACCTGCGGTTGTCCGCATATTATGAAGCTCTCTGTAGATAAGAAAACCTGCGAAGAGAATCATGTGATGCTTCTCTACTCCGCCGAGAATGAGATCCGAGGAGTTGATCTAGCAAACCCTGCTCATCATCTCATCCCTCCCATTCCTTATCCTAACACAGTTTTCCCTAATCATATTAACTTCCTGGCCAAAAGTAGGGAATTATTTTGGATGGATACAGGCAACCCAAGTTGGCCAAGTATCCGGGTTATAAGACGAGCTAGTATAGGAGGAGAAGATAACCAAGTTCATGTTATTGTAGAAGTTGTTGGATACGATTCTAAGGATACCCTGGCCCAGGGTCCGACAGCTATAGTTGGAGGACTGTCAATTGATTGGATCTCGGAAACCCTGTTCTACGCAAGCTCGGACGAAGAGAACAATGACTCCAGTAGTATCTACGCTAGTAAACTGGATGGAACGGGAGTTGTTAAGATAAAAGATCTCCCGTCATTAGTAAAGGACTTACTCGTGGCTCCAGAGCTAGGAATAATATTCTGGCACGAAGTGAACCTGGAGAACTCAACTGAAAGTATAATGAGGAGCTGGATGGATGGAACTGATATAGCTGAGATTTACTCTGTTCTAAGATCAGAAGATGATCCTTACAATCTGAGCTGTTTAACCTTTTACTCGGAGACAGAAGATCTTTATTGGATTGAGAACTCGGAGCTGAGACAGTATAATATTCACGCAGGTAATAATTTAGTTTTTGTTCCAGCAACAACTTTTAGAAACATTCAGAGTTGTGTTTTTATATCTTATTCAGCTCCACTATATTTAAAATTGGGGAATACGGTCTGGGTTGTTTTTTTCATACTCACAATATTGAGAGAAAGTTTTGGTACATTTTTTGGCAAACAATAATCTTTATAGTAACCTTTTTTAAATACTGTGTCATTTGCTTTTTAAAATCAGTCTCACTGAAAATTACATTTTAATAGAATAGAATTATAAATTCAAGTAATAACGGAAACATTTTTTAATATTATTTTAATTTTGACATCCGCCCTTATTCAAACCAAAACAAATAGGGAGGTGGGGGGGGGTATCTTGAAGTTTAAAGAAAAATGTGTTTCACGTTCACATCATTGGCAGTAGAAAAAGCTTCACAAAGTTTAATTGACGTTCAAATTTCTAACTAATTCCCCTCTTTTTTCCTCTTTCAGCTGCATGATTTTTGTTCCCTTTTTTACCCCCCCCACTCCCCACAAAAAAACGATAGCTACTTCAAAATTCTTTTTTATTAATTAGTATATTTTAATATTCAGATTATTTAGAGCCTAGATTTAGTGCAAATAAAATATGAAAAAAAAAGTATAATTAAAGTGATCTGATCATCAATTTTTTACATTCAATATTAGTTGTTAAGAAATTTAATTTTCCCAAAACTCAAATTTTCTAATCCATTGTTTAACCTGATGTTGTAAACCTTGGATATTTCAATTTTTTGATCTAACCTAATTTATTCATTGTTCAAAATATCTAAGATCTACGACTTTGGGCTGCAAAGATATAAGGAATTGGAAATCAGAGCAAAGACTTAATTCCTTTGTTTAAAATCTGTGTTATGGTTTACAAACCAACCTTTGCTTTTGTTTTTATACTAAATCTCGCTCCTGAGCAGTACTCATTCGTATAGATGGAACCTAATATATAAGATTATAATACAAATAAAAAAAATTCATTTTAAAATACTTGAGGAATGGGGAACAGCCCTATTAATAAAATAAAAAGAATAAAAAATAATAAATAAAAAACCTAAAGTATGGAATTTTGTTAGCATCATCATTTTTCAGGATTACTTGATTCCTCTTCGTACCTTCCATTCCCTGGGATAACAGCGTTAACCATCTATAATCAAACCTTCTTCTATGGAAAAAATCACGGAGGAAACTCGAGTATAATGTCTCGAGATTTGAGAAACGTGGACCAGGTTTTAAAGAACCTGACGAATGTGGTGTTGTCTCTACAAGTCTATGATCGTAAAATGCAGATTGGGGTGAATAAATGTGGAACTAATAATGGAGGTTGCCAACATCTCTGTGTACCTGTTAAACAAGGAAAAATCAGATGTATGTGCAGTATTGGTTATCATGTCAGTGAATTCAACACCTCGGAGTGTATTCCCATCCCACACTTCCTGCTATATCTGTCAGATAACAGGATTCAAGGCATGTCTCCGTCCAACTCCCACCAAAGCAGTGTTCTAGTTCCAGTTCCTAACACGGGTCAACCCACTTCAGTTTCATACCTGGCAGCAGAGAATATAATATTTTGGTCAGATAACGGGGTCGGAGAAATATGGAGGATGAAGCGGGATGGAACGGAGAAGAAAATGATCTTGGATAAACTTGAATCTCCTGTTTCTATTGCAATAGATTGGGTTGCAAAGAACCTGTATTGGACGGATGATAGAACAGATGTTATAGAAGTTTGTAGAACAGACGGAAGGTTCAGGAAGGTTATCATCTCTGGAGGTCTAGTTAGACCTTCAGCTATTGAAGTGTCTCCTGCACATGGTTTTCTCTTCTGGGCAGATACAGACATAAGTGGAGCAAAGTTGGAACGATCTTTCTTGGATGGGTCAGGGAGAAAGGTCATTTCTGATAATACAAAAATGAATTTTGTGACTGACATCAGTCTGGATACAATTGGTGAATGGGTTTATCTTTGTTATCTTGACTCATCTAATGGAGAAGCTTTTAGCAGGGTTTCATTTGATGGAGATACATTTGAAGTGCTACGAAAAAAGGATGAAGACCTTTTCAGATCTCCTGTATCCATTACCTATTTCGAGAACAAGCTCTGGTGGATGGATGTCAATTACAAACTTGGCAGTATTAACTATTTCGACATAGATCTCAGCTCTGATGTAAAAATCCTGAAGCAGAATCTAGGAGACATTACTAATCTAAAGGATATAGAGATGTATAGCCAGTCTTTACAAGACCAGAATGTTACAAATGTCTGTAAGAATCCTTCTCATTGCTCTGAACTCTGTCTATTCAACGGACAGGAAGGAGTTTGTCAATGTTCATTCAGGAAACTAGGTGAAGATAAGAAAACCTGTGTTGACCACAGCGCATTCATATTATTCTCCGCAGGTTCCGTCATAGAAAGTTTACACCTGAATCCTGAAAATAATTTAACACCCCCCATCCCCACAATCTCGAATAACGTTTCACTCCAGAATGCGATTGGATTGGCATATAGTTACCAGGAGAGTACAATATTCTACTCGGATATTCAGGCTGGAACCATCAACAGTGTTTACTTTAATGGAACTGGATTTAAGAAGATTTTGTCCGGACAAAGCTCAGTGGAAGGCCTGACGTTTGATAGTTTAAGAAACATTCTTTACTGGACTTCAACATCTGATAGTTCAATCAGAAAACTTAATATCTCTAACTCTGATGTTTTAAGGACAGAGCTAGTTGTTCAACTAAGCTATGAGGATAAACCGCGGGGGATAGACATAGATATTTGTACCGGTATGATTTACTGGACAAACTGGAACAGGAAAAGACCATGTATCCAACGTGCATTCTCATCTGGATTCCAGAAACAAGAAATTGTAGCAGATAAAATTCATATGCCAAACGGAATCACAGTGGATAGTAAATCTCAGAAATTCTACTGGGCTGATGCCAGGTTGGATAAAATTGATATGTGTAACCTTGATGGAACAAGTTGCAAGACTGTAGTTTCCGCATATATTGAGCATCCGTTCGATATTGCAGTTTTTGATCAGTTCCTATTCTTCACAGACTGGATGTCACATAGTGTTGTAAAGGTAAATAAGCTGTCTGGAGAGGATAGAGTTGTTTTAAAAGATGAGCTATTGAGACCAATGGGTATCATTGCTGTCTCAGAAAACCAAAACTTTTGCCCCATCCCTAAGTGTGGGGTTCAGAATGGTGGTTGTGAGGATATATGCAACTCAGAACAAGGTTATGTACAGTGTTCTTGTAGGACAGGGAGGCATCTAATGCCAGACGGACAAAGATGTATTTCCTCTGCTTCAAACTGCGCTTCTAATCAATTCCAATGTTCTAGTGCAAGGCAGGATAGCATTGAGCACCTTGTCTGTATTCCCTACGAGCTAACATGTGATGGGATAGATCATTGTCCTGACAGATCAGATGAAAAGATAGAATATTGTTCATCAAGGTCTTGTCCTTCAAAATTCTTCCAATGCTCCAACAATAAATGCATTCTCAATGATCTACAGTGCAATGGTGTAGACAATTGCGGAGACTTTTCTGATGAAACCGAATGTAAGTGTGACAGGGGAGAGGACAGTTTTAAATGCAAAATAGGTCCCTGCATCTCTGAGAAGAATGTGTGTGACTTCTCTCCTGACTGTCCTGATGCCAGTGATGAAACAAACTGCCCTCCTTTCAACTGTACAGAAGTTGTTAAAAATACCCACCACAGAAAAGTAAATGAGGAATTAATACCTTGTGTTCGAACCACTGCTTGCATTCTACCCAGCTGGGTATGTGATGGACAAAATGACTGCTGGGATGGGTCAGATGAGGAGAACTGCACCCTTGGTCCTGTTTTAAACACTCTCTGTCCAGACGAACATTTTCAGTGTGAGGATGGTAAATGCATCATACAAGGTTGGTTGTGTGACCGTGACCTTGATTGTAAAAACGGAGAAGATGAACAGAATTGTACAAATACTTGTGGAGCACATGAATTTCAATGTCATGACAAATCACAGTGTATATCCTTAGCTTGGCAGTGTGATGGAACCCCAGATTGTGATGATAGATCTGACGAAGGACCGGAATGTCCTGATAAAGTATGTAAATCTGACCTTGAGTTTAAGTGCCCCGAAGGACACTGTATTCCTAAATCCTGGGTTTGTGATGGGGAAAATGACTGTGCAAGCAATGAGGAACTTAGTGCTGATGAAGACAAGCTAATCTGCACTGAAACATGTGAGAGTAATTATTTCAGATGCGCCAATGGACGTTGTGTTCTAAACCACTTCTTTTGTGATTCAGACAATGATTGCGGAGACTTCAGTGATGAGCCAGAGACTTGTGCTTACAAGAAATGTCCTGAGAACTTCATCCATTGTCGGACTGGTGTGGGGTGTCTTGAGAAGAGACAGCTCTGTGATGGATCATATGATTGTGCAGATCATAGTGACGAACTCACTGCATTTTGTGAAGCAAAAAATGTAACTGAGAATGAAGAAAACTACAGACTTGGTTGTAGAACCCATGAGTTTAGCTGCAACAATTCTGCTTGTGTGCATCTTGCATTAAGATGCAATGGGGAAAATGACTGTGGGGACTTCTCTGATGAGATGAATTGTAAAAACCAAAGTTATCCCTTAAATCTGGATAAAAGAAAACACTGTCCTCCTGGATATCAGCTCTCTTCAGATTTATCTCATTGCAAAGCTAAAAGTCCAATTCAACCCAAGATTATGTTTTCCAACAGGTATTACATTAGGATGGTGGATCTTTTGGGAAATTCTGAAATATTTGCTAAAAATCAATCGAATGCTGTAGCTTTGGATTTTGATTACAAGTCAAAATGTGCATTTTGGTCTGATGTGACGGCCCATGGTTCAAGTTTAAGAAAGCTTTGTAAAGTTGGAGAAGAATCAAAAATTGTGAACTTGGCCACTCCACAGAACCCTGATGGTCTTGCCGTGGACTGGGTTGGAAGGAACTTGTACTGGTGTGATAAGGGTTCAGATACTATTGAGGTTTCTAATCTTGATGGAAAATATAGGAAAATCTTGATAAATGAGGGACTTCAAGAGCCACGAGCTTTAGCACTTGACCCCCTAGAGGGTTATTTGTACTGGTCTGATTGGGGAGATAAACCTCACATTGGAAGATCCTATCTGGATGGTTCCAACCCAACTGTTCTGATATCAGAAAATCTTGGTTGGCCCAACGCCATCACAATAGCATTTGACTCAAAAGAACTATTCTTTGGAGACGCTAGAGAGGATTATATTGCATATTCCAACTTAGATGGGACTAATATAAGAAGAGTGCTTTCTCGTGGACAGAACCCCAGTATTAATCTTCATCATATATTTGCTTTGACTGTGTTTGAAGACTATGTTTATTGGACAGATTGGGAAACTAAGTCAATTGAAAGATGCAACAAATATGATGGAGGTAACCAAGAAACCATATTAACAGCTATACATAGACCGATGGACCTTGCAATATATCATCCAATGCGACAACCAAGCCCTGTTTTTAATCCTTGTGAAAACAATGGTGGATGCCATGGCCTGTGTTTATTAAGACCAGGAAGTGAAGGATTAGAAAAATCTTGTTCGTGTCCAGAAAACTTTATTTTATCCGAAGACAAAATATCTTGCAAATCAAACTGCTCAACAAGCATGTTCCTCTGTGAGAGTACATTGAAATGTATTCCATTTTGGTGGAAATGTGACGGCCAAGATGACTGTGACGATGGTTCCGATGAACCACAAGATTGTAGAGAATTCAAATGTAAACCTGGCCAATTTCAGTGCCAAAACAACCAATGTCTTCATCCAACTCAGATCTGTGACAGCAAGGATGATTGTGGTGATCAGAGTGATGAAAAGAATTGCAATGAATATGAATGTTTCAAGAACCAATTTAAATGTCCTGCAAATGGAACTTCAGATTCCTTCTGCATATCCACAGATAAAAAATGCAACAAAATCCCAGATTGTCCTGGAGGAGAGGATGAACTGAATTGTCCAGCCAGAGATTGTCATGTTTCCCAGTTTCAGTGTGGCAATGGAGCTTGTATACCTGAAGTATGGGTGTGTGATGAGGAAAATGATTGCGGAGATAACAGTGATGAGTTGGAAACCTGCAAAGCTATGAACAGGACATGCGGGGGAGATTTTTTCAAATGTGGAAATGGTAGATGTATTCCTCCAAGCTGGAAATGTGATCGTGAGGTTGATTGTCCAAACAAAGAGGATGAACCTGACTCTTGTGAAAAGATCTATGAGAGTACATGTGACCCAACCTATTTTCGTTGTGGTACAGGAAGATGTATCCCTGGAAGGTGGAGGTGTGATCATGATCAGGATTGTGGAGATGGGTCGGATGAAAAGTCCTGTTCTGTGGAAGAATACCGAACCTGTTCTGAAGATGAGAGAGCTTGCCATAACGGAAAATGTATTCACAATAGTAAATGGTGTAATGGTATTGATGACTGTGGTTCAGATGATCGCACTGATGAGATGTTCTGTTACCTGGAGTGTAGTGAAGAAGAGTTTAAATGTAGTTTCCCTCCATATTGTATTTACAAAGAATGGAGGTGTGATGGGGAAAGAGATTGTTCTGATGGAAGTGATGAACTGAACTGTTTTTCATCAATGTGCACTGTAGGTGAGTTTGCTTGCAAGTCATACCAAGACACCTGCTCTTCAAACCATTGTAATGGTACTAAAGAATGTATTAACTCACAATGGAAATGTGACGGAGAACTTGACTGTCTAGATGGAAGTGATGAGGATTTTGAAACATGCAAGAACTTTGTCTGTGAACCAAACAGATTCAGATGCGACACTAATAAGTGTGTTTTGTGGAGTTCTGTCTGTGATGGAACCAACGACTGTTCAGATGGTTCTGATGAAACTAAGCAAGCTTGTCTCATTTCTGGAGGCTGTATTGACAAACAGAACTTTAGGTGTGAAAATAATAAGTGTATTGACACCTCACTGGTGTGCGATGGAACTAATGATTGTCTGGACGGTTCTGATGAAAGTGATTGCGAAAATAATCCTTCTTGTGAATTTGGAACTTGTTCCCAAATCTGTCAGGTTAAACTCAGGGTTCAAGATCAGCATGCTTCTACTGGGAACTCTTCAAGTATATGCTTGTGTTCTCCAGGATATGAACAGACTGGACATAAAAGACACTGTAAAGCTAGCGGCTCAGATCCTGTTTTGCTGTTGGCAAATGAAAATACCATCAGGCATTTAAATCCATATCAATCTCATAAAATGGTTCAGATTGATTCATATGGGCATTCCAACCATGAAGGTTATGACCAGCTAAAAATTGAAGCTATAGACATACTTTACCAGGACATGGTTCCCACAGCATTTGTTACTTTACATAACAACAGATCAATCTTGTATGTTAAATTTGATACTGAAATAGAAACACATAGAAGGCGTCGCAGCTTAATAGATCAGCATACTGGAGTACTAGTAGAAGATGGAGGCATCCCTAAAGGTTTATCTGTGGACTGGATCAATAAGAATGTTTACTGGATAGATACAGAAACATCTAATGTTCGTCTGGTCAACTATGTGTCCGGAAACACACTGACCATTATTCAAGGAAAAATAGATAACCCAGGAGATATTGTAGTTGATCCTGACTCAGGCAAACTTTTTATCACGGATTGTGGTTCAAATCCTAAGATTCTTACATCAAGACTTGACGGGTCGGACTTAACATTTTTAGTGGAGAAAAAAGTACAATGGCCTTCTGCACTAGCAATAGATTATCCTGCCAGAAGATTATACTGGACAGATTTAAAGTCGAGGACTATTGAATCCGTAAGGTTGGATGGAAAGAGTAGAAATGTTATTGTAACAGTGGAACCGAAGCTAGGAAAACCTTACAGGATTGAAGTGTTCGAGGATACAGTCTACTTTACTACATACAGGATCAATAAGATCCTGAAACTTAATAAGTTTGGAAAAGGAAACATTTCTATTGTAGCAGAAGAAGTTTTGGCTGTTTCAGACCTAGTTATCATGCAGGAGAACAAGCATGACAAGATGTACACAGCAGATCCATGTAGTTCAGCTCCATGTGAGAAGTTTGGTTCTCAAGTTGTCTGTATCTCTATTCCTGGAGAGGACCAAAGACTGACCTACAAGTGTGTTTGTTCTGATAATTATCAAATGAGATCTGGAAAATGTTCCCATTTAGCTGACACCACCACTGAGACATGTGATGGTATGAACTGTCATGAGGGAACATGTGAAATGAAGAATGGGAAACCTGAATGCAGATGTAACCTTTTCTTCTCTGGAAAGTATTGTCAAACCTACATATGTGCTGGATTTTGTCAGAATGATGCACGTTGTATTCCGTTGAACAAGATCCAGACTGGAAGTGAGTACAGTGCCATTTGTATATGTAAAGATGGATTTCAAGGAGATCGCTGTGAGATCGCCACAAAGGATTGTCTGGACTATTGCCATAATAATGCATCTTGTGATATAAACAGAAGCAGTCAAAAACTTGATTGTAAATGTAGAAATCCTTTCTATGGAGAAAGATGTGATCAGTGTCCTGGGTTAGATTGTTCTCCAGGTCTGTGCTCTATGGATAGTATCGGAGAACCTGCTTGTTCCTGTCCTCCGGGTGTGGACTGTTTAAAGAACTCCTGCTCTGGTTTTACCTGTTTCCACAATGGAACCTGTCACATGGTGAATGGTCAGCCCCAGTGCCTGTGTTCGGATAGCATGTACGCAGGAAGACAGTGTGAACAGGATAAATGTCTTTCTATATTCTGTAGGAATGGTGGATACGGTCACAGGATGGATGGTCGCTGTGTTTGTGTGTGCCAGAAAGGGTTTACAGGAGAGAAGTGTGAGAATACTCTGAGCGAGTATCTCCCCTGTCTAAACTGTGAAAATGGAGGAACTTGCCGAACCCTGAACGGAACCAAGGTTTGTGAATGCTCCCCGGAGTATGCTGGTCCAACCTGTAATATCAAGATACCTACCGGAACCAGTCCGTGCAAGCAGTTGGTTTGTCAAAACGGAGGAGTTTGTCAGACCTTGCGATCTAACCGTGGAAAATATTTTGCCCAGTGTATCTGCGATGAGAGGTTTAGTGGAGAGTATTGTCAGAGTATAAACCGTTGTTATAAACATTGTTTAAACGGAGGAACATGTTTCCCTGATGGAAGTTCTGTAAGATGTCACTGTACTCAAGGTTGGAGTGGGGGACGATGTGCTCTCAACTTCGGAGAAAACGGTAAGAATTATATCAAAAACATAGATTACAATACATGGATGGGACAAGTGTCTTTCTTGATGGTTAGAATCTTTTTTTATGATAATATTGAAGAGTACAATCCTTATCATCTTCTTTACTGATCCAAAATTGAATCAAATTGTGAAGGGCTACTTAGTAAAAATGGGTTCACATGAGGATAAAATATTTTTTTAATATTTCTCTCCCATACAAATACTTACTGTTTTGTCCTTAATTTAACTAAAGAATATGTCCTTAAATTGTTACTTTGTCAAGTTGTTATATATTTTGTTCTATAATATTCCATGAAGTTTAAGCTAGGAGAAAATTAAGAATAATTATTTTAAATCGGTAAGAGGGCTTGCTTGGGAAAGTTTTAAAAATTAAGATCTACATTTTTATTTAAACTTTGACAAATTTATTAAAACTAAAACGGATTTTTTTCTGAACAATTGCAAAGATTGACCGATTATATTGCATGGTTTGTTTTTATTAGATGAGAGAAAAGATTTGGATAACAGCGCTATTAACTCCTTGACTGTTACAATAGTTACAGTTTCTATAGTTGCTCTAGCACTACTTGGAGCTCTAGTCTACCTTACAGTATTCATCATTCAACGCAGACAGTAAGCTTTTATTTTCATTTTACTTTTAAACAAGCAATTGGAAATTAGACATTTTTCAGCTTGTTGAATATTAAAGTCTGGTTTTAATGCAAATAAAATAAAATATTTGATTCCTATAAAGTGAAGAATTCCTGTTTTCAAAGGAAATTGTGGATTTTCATGGAGAATTAAATTTTCAGGTTATCCTCTCCGTTTAAACACCATCGGATGAACGAGAGCGGGACGAGGTCAAGCAACCTGGAGTACTCCAACAGGATGTTCTTGCAGGACGACGAGGCTCAGGACCAACATGGTCTCTTCTCCATGGAGGAGCTCCAACCTGCCGCTAACTTTGTAAACCCTGTTTATGAAACTATGTTCCTGGTGAGCTCATTGATCCAACCCTGTCTTTATCTTTGATTTTAAATCATTCAACTAAAAAGTAATCAAGAAAGTTTTCTCATTTCCCGGTGTTTTGTTTAATACAACTTTACTTTCAGGAGAACCGTTCCTCGATAATAAAGGACGGAACAGTCTTACATCCTGATATCCTGGAGTTAACCAACCTAGAGTCGGAGAGGAGTGGTTTACTCCGATCTACGGATGCGCCACCTGCCGACGGTAGACCGGTTATTCACACTGATTCAGATTAATCTTCATATGTTCTCCCAATCCAGGGCATTATAGATCTAAACCTACTCCTAGGTTGTATCTAACACTAAACTATACTACCGAACTGAAATCTAATATTAAGTTTATAATAGTGCTCGGATATCCACACAAGCTTACATTTCATATAAGATTAGCTATACTCCTTTATTTATATTAAATAGTCACGTGAAAATATTTGAAAATTTGTTTTTTTTTTGAATAATGAAATAATATTTACAGTCAAATATTTACATCGCCACAAAAATTACATTTTAATGCGTATACCTAGGCTCAAGCTTATTTTTTAAGCTTTAAAATCTAAATATTTTATTTGACGTTAAACCTATGTTTTCTTACCCATTCATGAAAAACTAATCAAAATAGGATTACTAAATTAATTCTATTCAAAATATTTTTTTTATATTTTCTTCTTTGTATTTGGAATATTTCCATCCATCATTTCAAGATGAGTTTAGTATTCTACCAAAGCTCTGGTTTAGCGTCCGTAAGACTTTAAACTAATTGGCCTAAAATGTTTTGCACAAGCTGTTGCCAAATATTGCCATCTCGTATTTAATAATTTGCTTTGCAGTACACAATTATTGTTGTTTACTTTTGTGATATGTTGTTTATTGTAGAACGCCATGTTTTTTTGGCAAGGGAACCAATACCATAGCATTGTTAATGTTCCAATCCAAGTATGTTTTAGTGTTCTATCACAGTATGGCCAGGTAAAACCTTTGTCTGGTAAGTTTTCCATTTCTGTCTGGTAAGTTTTCTATTACTGTCTGGGAAGTGTTCCATCACTGTCTGGTAAGTGTTCCATTACTTTCTGGTTTTTGTTCTATTACTGTCTGGTAAGTGTTCCATTCCTGTCTGGTAAGTGTTCTATTACTGTCTGGTAAATGTTCCATCACTGTCTGGGAAGTGTTCCATTCCTGTCTGGTAAGTGTTCCATCACTGTCTGGGAAGTGTTCCATTACTGTCTGGTAAGTGTTTCAACAATATTTGATATGTGTTCTATTTCTGTCTGGAAAGTGTTTAACAACTCTCTGGTCATTGTTCTGGTTTCATAACACGGTTTTAATCCTAAATCAAATGAGCTTCCATTTTTCTTTGGTTCTTTGTTTTCCTGGTTCCTTTCCATGGTTTCCTCATTTCCTTTTTCTTTAGTTGTTCCCTGATTCCCTTGTTCGTATTTTTCTGTATCCCTTGTTCTATGGTTCCATGGTTCCCTGGATCTCTGGTTCCCCTGTTCGATGGTTGTCTAGATCTCTGGTTCCCTTATTTGATGGTTCCATAGATCACCATGGTTCCCTAGATCTTTGGTTCCTTTGTTCGATGGTTGTCTAGATCTCTGGTTCCCTTGCTTGATGGTTCCATATATCTCTGGTTCCCTAGATCTCTGGTTCCCTAGATTTCTGGTTCCCTTGTTCTGTAGTTCCCTAGATCTCTGGTTCCCTTGTGTGATGGTTTCCTAGATCTCTGGTTCCCTTGTTCTATGGTTCCCTAGATCTCTGGTTCCCATGTTCGATGGTTCCCTAGGTCTCTGGTTCCCTGTTCTATGGTAACCTTGTTCGATGGTTCGATGGTTCCCTGTTCAATTGTTATTTTGTTCGATGGTTCCCTTGATGCTTTGAGTGAAATGAATCTCTTCAGTATTTTAATTATATTTGTTTAATCTTTCGTTATATAATGTTGTGCCAAATACATTCAGTTTATCCAACACATTAAAATAGTATTTTTTATTAAAGGAATCGTAAACATAATCTTAAAAGTTTTAGAGTGGCATGTTCAATTCACAACTATGCCCTTTAAACCTTTATCAGATCACGGACGTATGAGTGTAGTTTCTCCTTAAGAGTGATTTGCGGGTTTATGCTGCGAAAACGATGAAAGAATTTGTCACAATTCAACACGTTTTTAGACACAAATAGATGATTTTCTCCTCCTTTTAGTGCCGTTGTGAATTGGAGGGTCACTTGAGATTATGTCTGTACAGATCCTATCAAGAAGGTTAAGATGAGGATAATTTGGAAAGTATCCCGTGTGTGCAAATTCATGTTCTGGGGTTGCAAATTTATTGCACGCTTTGAACCAGGAAGTAGACAGACAGAGATCAGGTAGTACAGCTTATTAATTTAAGAAATTACAGTGAGTCCCACTAGACATGATAAATAGAAGATTTGTACTTCCAGAGCCAAAAAATAGAAAATTGTACAAGTGCAGTGTGCAGAACATAAAAAAAGTTTTTAAAATATGGCCCCTATAGTTTTCATTTTAAAAGATTACAATTATGTCTGTTGTAAATACAAATGTTGTTTTTATTAAATGATCGAATTTTTGAACGAAATCTCCGGTAATTTTTAAATTGTTAATAAATGCTGTTGGTATATAGACTATGTTATAAAAATGCTAGGAATATTTTACGTGTGTTTTATGACTTACTAGCTGAAGGGCCCGGCGTTGCCTGTGGAAAAAATAACTAATAATTTAGAATTTTTTTTAGCCTAAACACCCCATGAGTGTCCACAAAAAAAATTCAGCCCAATCTGTTCAGCCATTTGGCGGGCTATACGCAACATATATACATATATATACGAATGTCTTGTTTTATTATATAGATATTTAAGGAACTAAATTAACTTACAGGGTGTCCCACGAAACATAACATTTAAAAAATCGTTATTTTTAGTTAAAACATCCTTTTGCTTCATTATCTTTTACTTTGAAATCAATTTTAATATAACATGACTCCCATATAATATTTTTATTGATCTTTGTTACCAAACAACTCAACAAATTATGGAAAAAGACATGCTAAACTATTCACCAACTGTCATGTTTCGTGGGACACCCTGTACGAAAGAATGCCTCCATAAATCTCAAGAAGACGACATTTATTTATTTTTCTTGTCAAGCAAGAAATCATGTTCAGGGATTTGCCATTCTAAGTTACGCGCACATGCCCCGTAAAATTCCAAAACAGAGTGAGTGGAATGGAATTTTGTAGATCCAGAAATTAGTATTTATTTAGGGTTAGGTTAGGTTAAAACACTTTCTGGGCCGAGTGCTGCGGCTATGACAGGCTAGGGGGCCGATCGCTGCGGCCACGGGTTAGGTTAAGTTATGACACTTTCTGGGCCGAGCGCTCCGGCCACTTGTCTTACATTTAAGACCCCACCAGCTGCCAGTCTCTACGCAGGCATCCCACAGATATTATTTTTCTGGATCTACAAAATTCAATCCCCCTCTCTTCGATCGCTGCGGCCACGGGTTAGGTTAAGTTATGACACTTTCTGGGCCGAGCGCTCCGGCCACTTGACTTACATTTAAGACCCCACCAGCTGCCAGTCTCTACGCAGGCATCCCACAGATACTATTTTTCTGGATCTACAAAATTCAATCCCCCTCTCTCTGATTTGGAATTTCACGGAGCATTGCGCGCAACAGAGAATGGCAACTGCCTCATGTTTAGTGGAACATACAGTGTTATCAAACTTAGTTATTTGTTTTGAGAGTTCCAGATCGTGAATGATGTAAATGATGTAAAGAAATAGATAATTTATGCATTCTAAATTAGCTAAATAATAATATTAAACTCTACATTCTTTTATTGAGTAAAATTGAAATTACAAATTGAGCAGAACCATCTAGGTTTCTTCGGTCCACACTGAGACAGGTTAAACTTTCCTTCACTAAATATAACTAGGTTTCTTCTTTTATACTCTATATACAGGGTAACCCACAAGGGATGAGACTTTCAAAGACGACCGAAAACTCAAAATATGACGATTCCAAGTTCAAATTAAGTTTATTGCCTGAAATATAGCATAAAGTGGTTTATATAATGATTTGGTAAGGAAAGAAACAAGTTTACAGTTGCAGGGAATCATGAATATAAAGTAAAGATAACATAAATTCACTGCAGTCGTCTCTGAAGTCTCATTCTTTGTGGGTAACCCTGTAGATAAAGGAGTAATCTCTGTTTGTCTGTATGTTTGGTATATGTTTGATATCCGATCATAACTCATGAGGCCTCTGAACAGATTTGTGCCACAAGGTTGTTCTGAGTGTCAATTGATATGAAGACGACATTCTTAGTACATTGGAGGGCAAAGTATCTAACCTTAATAAACAACCTTGCTTTGCCAAAAACTTTAGAAATTTGGTCAAATTAGATTTTTATGAAGAACATTAACAAAATTTTGTCCCAAACATAGTTTTTTCCAACTCACTCAAAGTAAAGGGGGGGGGGCAATTTTGTACAGGGTGTCCCACGAAACATGACAGTTGGTGATTAGTTTAAAATGTCTTCTTCCATAATGTGTAAAGTTGCTTAAGATCCCAAAGAGCTAATAAAAGATATTACATATAAGATAGTCATATTATAGTAATATTGAGTTGAACATAAAATATATATGAGTAAAAGATTTTTTTAACGAAATTAACTTTAAAAAGTCTTTAATATCTTACAGAGTATATGGAAGAAGACATTCAAAACTGTTCACCAACTGTCATATTTCGTAGGACACCCTGTATCTTTCTGGGATGTCTCAGCACCCGTTGGGGCCTACAAGCTCCATCAAACTCATTAGTTTAATTGATCCAGGGGGAGAAATGTACTCCTCTACCTGGATGCGTTTATGGGCTGGCAGAACCACAATGCCAGACTTAAGCTACAAATATTTTTTGGAACCGCTTTTCGTTTAGTTTAATTAAAAACCAGATTTGCCACTGCATATGAAAGAGTTTAGCATTGGTGTTGTGCATCACTGATGCCACCCTTTCATCAAAGTTATATTGACAACCCACTTTAACAAAGTTATATTGACAACTCCTTTTAACAAAGTTATATTGACAACTCCTTTTAACAAAGTTATATTGACAACCCCTCTTAACAAAGTTATATTGACAACTCTTTTTAACAAAGTTATATTGACAACCCCTTTTAACAAAGTTATATTGACAACCGCTCTATTTAAAGTTATATTGACAACCCATTTAAACAAAGTTATATTGACAACCCATTTAAGCAAAGTTATATTGACAATCCCTTTTAACAAAGTTATATTGACAACCCATTTAAGCAAAGTTATATTGACAACCCCTTTAAACAAAGTTATATTGACAACCCCTTTATGCAAAGTTATATTGACAACCCCTTTAACAAAGTTATATTGACAACCCCTTTAAACAAAGTTATATTGACAACCCATTTAAGCAAAGTTATATTGACAACCCCTTTTAACAAAGTTATATTGGCAAAATAAATTAGCCTGTTCATGAAATGACGTGCTGCTGTTTTTGTATTTTTACCTAGCAAGGTTTCTATGGGACTTTGTAGGAGTGCAATAAAGAATCTGCTTTACGGACTCTATCCTGCTACAACGAGGGCACTGAGGAACAGACATTTTTTTTATAAAATCTGACAAAATTTAAAATAAATTTGGTTTTTTATCTCAAACAATCTTTTGTGTATTTGATGTTGTTATGATTCAAATATAGTTTCACGAGTAGCTTAAAAAACTTAGGAAGTGAAATTGGTGCAGTAAACTTTAAATAATCGCTGTTTTTCATACTCATCTACTTTTTAATATCATGACTTGAGTCTAATGGTCTTCTTTATTTTTACTAGTTTTATGAGACTTACTGTATAAAAATATATTTTTGGACTTTTTTTCACAAAAAATCTGTCAAAGTTAATTGTTAAAACTTGACGGACAAACCTGGAGCTGGGCCTCAACTAAACCATATTGACTAAATGCGGGCTTTTTATCATAACAATCTAAAATATATAAAAATACAATTCTATGAATGAATAATAGGAATAACAAAAAAAAGTATCTAAACTTTAAAGTTGTTACGTGTCATTTTATTGCTGGAATTAATTTAATTTCGAAATATTTGTGTAAAAAAAAAGAATTGTACATACCTTCGAATAATTTATTTTACTAAGTTTCCAGGGCGCTCGTACACATCTTCGATTTAAACTTTGAAATATTTGCTTCATCTGCGCCATTTTCTCTTCTTGAATTAGCAAAAATAATAAACAAAAAATTTCCAGATTTATCGATTTTTTACGTGGATATTGAAAAAAAATGTATGTCAATTTTTTAATTCCGACCATTCATAAACCTTCCCTGGGGTCATGTGAGGTCCCTCAAAAAGAATTTGGCCGGATCGGTTCAGCCGTTTTGACGTTTTTTGGACACAAACAAACAAGCATAGTATATATATAGATTGAAAAGAAATCTTACTGACAATTTGATTTAATTTTTTCTTGTCATAAACCATAAACCATAAACTAAATTTTGAATATTTGAGCTTACCATAAAACGGATTGGTCAGAAAATTAAACTTATTGACAGGAACAAATTTACCTAATCCCAACTACCTTTACTCCAGTATCTTTTAGGTTGAAAAAGAAAAAATTAACAGCAACGACTATTTTTAGCGACTAGCATTGTTTGCAAAGGAATTGAATCTTTGCCACAGACTCTGATTTTCTGATCCCTATTTCTTTGCAACCCGATGTCGTAGATCTTAGATATTTCAAATTATGGATTCTTTTTAATCAAATCAACTAAGTTTGAAACATCAAAGGTTTATAACAAAAGGTTTGAAAATCTGAGTTTGTTGCGAAGACTCAATTTCTTTGAAACTATACAGAGTTTAAAATAAATGGTGTAACCCGCTTACAGCAATTCAGAGCAAAACAATTAAAGGATTAAAAGATGTAAAAATTAATATGGTTTAGCATTTTTTTCATACAGTCATATACATATATATCTCTGGCAATTTTTAATGCTTAAAAAAAGGCAGACCACATTTTGTGATTATTGTTTCATCAATAATATTTGTAAAATTAGATTGTAAAGTCGTCTGATTAATTGTAAATTAATTCCGGGTCTTTTTGATTAGGACTCTCTACTTAACCTTGAATTAACAGGAGCTACAGTTAGAATGTTTGATGGGGGGGGGGGGGGTCCGGATAATTATGAGATTATCTTAACGTCCTTTAAATACTACATTAATATGCTTATTGTGACACTCTTGACATTGTAGATATTGGTATATAGATAAGACTGGTGCATCAGGAGTGTGAGACCCAATATTGGTTTCCAGAATCCACAAAACAAACTTTTCATCAAAATTCATTTAGAAATTCGAATCTGTGAAGATTGAAACGATAAATTAAAACTTTTTTGAACTTTTCAATTTTATCCTTCTTGGTTTTCATAGAGATTGACATCAATTATAAAGTAATCAAGTCTTTTCCACAAACTTAAATTTTATATCTTTAAAGCCTGGTGGTTTAAACCTTTTCATATTTCAAACTTAGTTTAGTTGATCCGACATAATTTTTAGCTTGAAATGCCTATGTAAGGTCTACGACATTGGAATTAAAATTGAAAGTTTTAAGACTAATTACTATTTTTGAGATAATAATGCAGCTAGTTCCTGTTTTTATCTGTTGGAAGAGTTCTTGAATTAATCTTTGTGCACCAAAAAGGGACAGAAGGTTCAAATGACCCTATAATATAAAGTGGTAAGACCTACGTTCGGCTGATCAAGAATGAATAGAATATTGTGATTTAAAAGTGAATTGCGGACACAATGAAAACTATTGTCAGAATTTCCACTTTTTAAGATTAAAAAATGACAAAATCTGCCTCATTGTACTCAGATGGAGGGTTTAAGGGTACCATTGTAAATCCTACATGCCACTTTCTAAATAGATGGTCACGTGAAATTACACCTACAGTCCCTTTAAATGCCAGACCTGAGTGCTCAGGATGACTTTGAAGCTTCAGTCATGTTTACAATAAGCTTCATGACATCCTAGGTTTATAATTGACAGGATGGATTGTATAGAAGCATCCTTGGAGTTCATCTTCTCAATAATTACAGATGAATACTCAATTCTCTATCCTGGAACCAGCAGCTGTCAGATATAATCACATTTATTGAATTAATTGCATTAATTGCATTAATTGCCGGTAATCATATAATTTGACATTAATTATCATCTGCTTCTACCATTGATCACAACCAAGATTGATTCTAAAATATTAATTGCTTTTTGTCTTATCTCTCATTGATTTACGTTTTTAAAATGTGACATCAAAATCCGTTAATTGGATATATTAGAGAGAGAAAATAATTATATAAAGGGAAATATCGTCGTATGTATGACATGTGACCCCCCCCCCATTTAAAGGGAGACATGCCCGAATTACAACAATCCCCTTTAAACCTTTATCTGATCAATATAGTGATATTATTAGTTTAACAATTTTCTGTTTCCTCATTGTATCTGCACAATAGAAATCCGCACGTAGTTTTTTAGAGTAACTATAATTGAAATTTTCAACGTTAAAAACATGGATATTTATTCTAGATCATATTTAATTGTTCCTTTATGTATCGTGCATGCAACTCTATTATTAAAGGGAGTGTTCGCGAAAAATGATAGGGGGTGTAGGCTTACGGCGAAAAAATGTCAATGGAGATCCCTACTAATCTTACTTCTCTATGATTCCACGTGGCGGCAGAGACACTTAGCGGAAAAGATCGTCGTTTTAAGTGCATTTTATATAAAACAAATAAAAAATATTATGGACTATCAACTATATATGAATGCGTCGAAAAATTATCGATGATTATAGGTTGTAATATCTGAATGATTTGTTTGGAATTAAATAGATTTTTTTACGATCCGAGTTGTGATTTTCTGAATTTGTATGGACGCTACGTTCTTCGGTAAGAGTCGTTTTTAACAATTTTCTCCTTATAGACGCAACAGATAGAAGTAAGATTAGTAGCGATCACCATCGATAATTTTTCGCCGTAAGCCTATACCCCTTTCATTTTTCGCGAAAACTCTCTTAAAGGAGTCACTTGAAATTATTCTTTTTAAAATGTTTTTGTTTAAATAAATTAAATCAGAGGACTTTCTAAATAAATCAAAGATTAATGTTTACTAAATTTTCAACTTTAATTAAACTTAGATTCTTGCGCTCAACTGAAATTTTCATTTTTTATTTTTTTTAACTTGAGACGAAAATAAAAATTTGATATAAACGATATTCATAAATATATGAGGAAAATGTAGATTAATGAGAAATATATCAAAGCACTTTAAACAGGAACTTTAAAGAGGCAATTTTCAAGAAAAATAGGCAAAAATATCTAAAATTTGACAACAAAAGAACGTATTTGTGGATAGTTTAAAATGTTTAATGCAAAGATTTTCATAATACAAAGATGCGGCTGCATATATCACAAATGTTGTCTTTTCCGATAATTATAGGTCTTAAACGAATCTTTTGAACACCCTTTTCATTAGGAAGTTACTTTAATGCCTGCCTTTATAATCTAAACAATTTAAGATTTACAAAACGACATGGCAACATTTTTTGTAATCTTTATACCCGTCCCTCGTCACTCAATAGCATCTCGGAAAAATTTCCACAAATTGCCACAAACTCAAAGTTTTATTATATATTCAAATAGTCTAAGTTTTAAATATCAAAGTTTACCATCAGGTTTCTAAGATTTTGTGTTAAAGACTCAATTCCTTTGTTAAATAAATACGGACGAATTGGCGAATGGTTCGAAATATTTAGTGCAAAGATTTTCATTCTTTGTAAAAATAGAACATTTTATCAAAAAAAAAATTAAACTAACATATTTCAAACTATGATTTCAGTTATATAAAATAATTTAAGTTTGAATTATCATCAGGTTTCAAAGATGCAGGGATTGGAAAAATTGACTCAATCCCATGACATATGACATTGCGAATGGTTCGAAATATTCAGTGCAAAGATTTTCATATTAACCGATATTCAGGATATTGCAGACAAAATTACATTAACCGGACAGAGGAAGACGAATTTGCGTTTTTATATTGTTCAGCATGAACAGGTGCAGAAACACATTACTGAGTTTAGGACTAAAATTAACTTATAATTTCCTCTTAAATTTGTTCAAGTGTAAACCTAGATCGATGATTCTCTCCACTAGTTTCCTCCTTCAACCAACCATGATATTCTAAATTCTTTATTTTTATTCTGCGTAGAAAATATAAGCCTTGCATTGTCATTTAAATAATTCTTACCACATTCGATTTTCCCAAAATTTATCTCTTGTCTTATATAATCAGCCATTTCATTATCCGGGGACCAAATAAATAATTATGAAAAGTAGTTGAACTAACTAAAATTTGTATTAATCGATCTTTGTCCGACCATCAGGCA